ACTATCTAATGAGACACTATATCCACTAAATATTAATAATGATTTTAATGATAATCAGAAAATTCTAAAAATGGTAACTGATCCTATTTCTGAAACACCAAAAAATGTATCCAACATATCTTATAATAACAGAACGTATTATTTATTTATGAATGGAATCTGGTACCAAGTGTGTTACGATCCATTTCGCAACTAAATATCACTTCGTGATAATTAAATACAAATATAATGTTTATAATAAAATATTAACAAAATACAAATACCTATGTTAAAAGTAATAATAAAACAAACATAGTTTATCTATTTGTTATAAGGGGCCGTCCATAAACTACGTTACCAATTTTTCAGACTTTTTAGACCCCCTCCCCCTCCTTTGTTACCATTGCGTTAAATGCAATTTTGTAGATTTTTGGACCCCTCCCCCTAAATTGGTAACGTAGTTTATGGATGGCCCCTAATCTCGGTTGAAAAAAGTTAAAATGAAGTAAAATACAATATATATTTATCAATTATTGCAGTTTATTATATTTCACACATTTATAAATTTACATTGAAAAAGGTAATGAACCTTAACTAAAGAAAAAGGCTTCAGATACTAATGTATTGTAAAACTTAAGGAGTGGTGTGTCCAGCTTGATGAACCAGGATCACACCACTGTCCAAAACTGCAAACTTGCAGAAAAGTGCTTGGCAACGACCAAGGTGCAATAAACTAATGAATGATTTCAACACTGTAATTTCGATTAATAAAATCAATTTACAAAGGGAAATCTGGGCATTTGCCCGTGGGTCTTCGCGTTAGTAAGTCGTGGGGCAGTTTTGCCGTAATTTTGAGTATCAAGAAGTTCTCAACAGTTATTACTGAAAATTGTTAATGAAGTTTTAAAGTAAAGAATAATAAAAGCGCTAAATGAGAAATCGTGTTAAGAAAAATTGATTTAAGATAAATATTAGTGAAGTACAAATAAATTGATTAATGAAAAATGATACATTGACGAAAACGGATTACAAGAAGTTTAAAGGAATAATGTTTTAAAATTTTAAGTTAAAATTCAGAAATTTTATTGAAAACGCCGAAACTGGAAACGAGAATTTTTGTAATATGAATTATGTATATAGGTGAACAATTTGTACATATAATGCATCTTTTAATACTTCTTATAAAATTATAAAATGTAAAATAGTTTTGTCCACAAGTTTTTTCAATTTTGTAATAAGATTTTTTTCCCTATAATTTAACTGTTTATGGCACATTTTAATGTTATCTGAGAATTACAATCTAAAATAAGATCCATTAGCAACAAATATCAGTAAAAAAAGGTTCAAAAATTGGAAGTTCTACACTCAAAAACAATTTTTTTTGTAAAAATGTGAAGGTCACAAGAAAAGTGATCAGTACCGTGGTATTACTATTCTTTTAATCTAAACACTCTCTGTTGTAATTATTACGATTTTTTTAAGATTACAATAGAAACAAATTATCTGCTCAAAGAAAAGAATTATTTTGCAGAATTATCGGAGTTAAGTTAGTTTAAATGTCAAATTTCAGCTCCGTGGTGTCACATAAAATATCAGCTCCGTGGCGCCTGTGGCGTACAGTGTGAAGGTGCAAATTCATGGATCAACAGTTGCTACAATAACACATATTATAGAAGAGGACAAACATAGTTGTGTCCTTTTATATTTCAGTGGTTCGGCAACCGTTGACTTATTAAAAAACACCTTAATATTCGAAAAAACACGCCTTTACTTTTAGTGCTTAATTTAAAATGTCTTTATGTCAACCATGCAGAAGCACAGCACAGCACCTAATGATGAGGAAAAGTGATATTTAACATTAAAAAAACAAAATTTTTTTTCTTTTAAAACTGATCTTGAAATTGCACAGTTACGTGAAAATCACCCATACACATAAATAATATTTCACACACACACAAATATTACACATTTGAAAAAAAGAGATTGTGTTAGAATCATACACATGTTAAACAGATATATAATATTGTTATAAAGTAAAGATATTAAAAAGAATTAAAAGGGGATAAGTTTATATGTATTAGGGTTTTAAAGAAAAGAATAATACATTATAATTATTTACAATTCTGTTAAATTTATTTAACACCTCATTCAAATCTCCTGAATTACACTAATAATAAAAGTAGAGATTCTCACCTCACTACTTGAACAATAAGTAGGAAGGAGGGAATCCAACTACCGAAACAGAAAAAAATAAATATTTATATTATTTTTATAGTTTAACTATTTAATTTGTTTATTACAAAGTGATTTATCAATAAAATTTTTAACTTGTATTATAATAAGAAACTTTTAACTTTGTATAATATTTACACCAGGGTAACATATTTCTAAAGTATAAAGAAAATCCAAGAACTTTTCTTTATTTTTGGGGTAGTTCAGGAATAATGCTTCATTTATGATTTAAAAGTATATATATGTGTCTCGTTATAAAATTATCCAATCATGACAACAACATTAAAAAAAAAGTCGCTATTGATACAAGACGACCCACAGGTGAGGCGTCTTGCACCACTTATTTTTATAATTAAAGAAATTACATGAAATTGACTATTTAATATTGTTAAGCACCTTAATTAATTTTCAAAAAAGCTATAAATAAACAGTAAACTAAGATTTTTTTTATTATAAAGTAGTTTAATTAGAAGAAAAACATTTTTAAATTAAGTTACCATAAAATTTTCATAATAGTTAATTTTTTCTGATTTTTTCCCAATTTCTTTTTGGGCACCTTCTTGGAAGGTTTTTTCAAAGTATAAGGTTAGGTGCTGTGTGTAACTAACGCCATCTGTGATCAACACTCAGAAATCTCCAGAAATGTAAGAAATATCTCGTATGATGCATATTGCCCCGTTGTGCAACCAGCCCCTCTCTCCCCTACTTTAAAATAATGCAATAATAAAAATTTTAATTTCTCTACCTTCTACAATAAATTATTACAACTGAAAACCCTTTGATCTACAGACATCCGTTATTTAGTATTACAGATATGCGGCCTTTCAAAGAAATCAAAACATTCCCGAAAAATATTGATGTTATTCAGAGAAACTTTGACCCTGAACTAAAAATTCCTCTTCTATTTTTATGTTAATCGCAGTAGATATGAGTAATTTGATTTAAATGTATTTTTATATGAATTGCTTATGGTTCTTATAATTTTAAAATAATGATACTCTTTCTTATCTTATTTACTTTGTCTTGACATTTCTATACAAATATGTATTTCAATTAATCAGTAAAGTTACAAACATTTATTTACACTTTTTTGAAAATATTGAACTCACATAAAGGCAAATCCTTTAGAGCCCTCGAAAAGGTCTCTTATGGATTGTCCACATCATTGATTAGCAAAAATTTCATACAAACGAATATTTTTTTACACCGACAAATTAATGTTTCTAATGATTGTGAACAATAGAAAACACGTTTGAGACCCCGCACAAGGTGCCTGAATGGATCGCCTATATCATTGATTAGCAAAAATTTTTAAGTCTAAACTACGAATATTTTTTTACACCAACAAATTAATGTTAGATTCTGTAGAAATTGACACTAATGATAAGATGAAAATAATATTTTGAAAATATCTGGACTGGAAGATAAAATAAAAATAATTGGTGCACATTTTGCGTCAGTTTACGTACAAAATGTGAATTTAGGTCGACCAGAGTTAACAAATATTATAAACGAAAGATTAGAGCCATTCAAAAACGATTAATTAATAATGATTTGAACCATGGTAAAACTTGAATACAATTTAATTATACTAACAGGGCAACAAGTAGCTATGCTATAGACCAGTTAGCCTTTCATCAAATATAGGTAAATCAATCAAAAGATTTATGAACGGAAATATTATTAGGCATTGTACAAAAAACGAAATTTCATAATAAAGACACAACATTTTTTTAAAGGAAGTATTGACCGGACCACGTTTTTTATATGTTTTTAGGTCGCTGAATTCGAATCCGAACTCAGTTTTTCTCCATCACGTCAAGTTTCTTCAAAATGGCGGATCCAATATGGCTGTAGAATATTTTCAAAATTTATCAGATTTAATTAAAACTTTTTACTCGGGGGTTTTTGGGGTCGCTAAATACGAATTTTACCTTAGTATTAAAAAATTCAAAATGCCAGATGCAATATGGCTAACGAATTTTTTAAAAATTTACCAGATTTTGAATTTCTAAGAACTAAGGTGAAATTCGTGTTCAGCGACCCCAAAAACCCCCGAGTAAAAAGTTTTAGGCACAATTGGGTGAATTTTAAAAAAATCGACGCCATATTGGATACGCAATCTTAAATTTTGAATATTTACGAGTTTTTTATTGTTTAACATTATATAATATTTTTTCAGTGTGTTAAAGTTGTTTTTTAATAGATTCTTCTGCTTATCATTATTTATCTTATTTACAGTCAGTTTTTGCGAATTTTATTAATTTTTGAAAAATCTTGACGTGATGGCAGAAAACTGAGTCTAGAAATAAAATCAGAATATGTATGAATATGAATATCAGAACTTGTTAAAGGATAGTAAAAATCAATGGCTTTTCTTTCGGATTCGTAAATGTATAATTTCTCAATTCAACATAATTTGTTTTATTTTAAAAACATCTATGAATTTTATTCCACTATAAATTTTAAATAACTTGTTTTGATTGAAAAAAATGAAATTTCAATTAAAAGATAAGACAATCACAAGGTTTTCTCATAATTTCCCTTTGTAAATGTAACTGGGTCAAAAAAATATTCCAAGATTGTTTAGATCACCATTTAACATAACAATGGTTTCATGGATATAATAAATCAATCAGTAAAATAAAGAGTTCATTGATTCTTAATATAATAGTAAATATTGTAGTTACGAAATGTAACAGTAAAAACACCGGCTTCATTGCACATATATATAAACTTACAATCAAATATTTAACATTAAAATTTTTATTTTCCAAGTTGAATCAAAAATGAGAATCTGTAAGGCTATTGTTGCTTTTATTTGCCTTTGCACTCCTCTTATTGGTATGTATCTAATTTAAGTAAATTTCTAGCCATTCACTAAACTAAAATTGCAATTTATTGGCACGCTCTCCGTTTCAATAAAAATAAATAACGTTTTTACACTTTCTTTATACGAAAATCATAAATTAAAGTGTCAATGTTGGTAACTATACGTTAGTAATAGAAAAGAAATTTATGGTGTCAATTTTCAGTCTAAAGTAAAATTGAAGTAAAACTTGCTACGCGTCAAAAGTGCTATTTTAGTCGTTATTTTATTTTATTATTTAAATAATTTTATGGAAATGGAGCGTGACAAAAAATTGTGACTTTAGTGTTTAGTTTGTTTACTCTTTCATTTTTTTGCATTTCCCAACTTGGACATTGCTTTTTAAGACTAGTTTCATTAATACATAAAACCTTGTTGAATACAATTTTAAAAAATTATCTCCTGCCTTTTTTTCGTTTAATTTTTTTGTAAACATACAATTCTTCATAATCTAATGATTTCTCATTATTTAATTTTTTCATATTATTTTTTACTTACGGTTGGGAATTCTGACTGTGATATAGAATGATAATGAAGACGAAGATGTGGTGTATATGTAAAACTTTCTTTCTTAATATAAATTATATTATTTTTTAAAACAGGAGTTTTAGGTTCACCGCCTCGAAAAATTGTTGGCGGTACTTACTCATCACCAGATGAATTCCCTTATCAGGTGTCAATAAGAATGAATGGATATCACATATGTGGTGGATCTATTATTTCAACTCGACATATATTAACTGCAGCTCACTGTTTATATAACTACATTAATATGTATAAACAAATTACGGTTGTTAGTGGAACAACGTATTTATATTTAGGTGGTCAATCTCATTCTATTCAAACTTTTCGAATACATCCTGCATTTATAAACAATGCAAATTTCCAATTTGCCAATGACATTGCTGTTATAACTGTAAGTGAACCTAATAAATTATTATTTTCTGAATTCTTTATAAAAGGGGCATCTATGTGAAACGGACAACCTGAAATTTCTGATAGAAAATACTCACATATTGACGTTAATTATTCTTGTAATAAGATTCAATTCTCTAACTACAGACACTGTGTTGACATTTATTATATCATTTGATTCTTTTTCGATTTCATTATAACAAATTTCTTCATCGGAAAATAGATCATCATTTTTATCATTATGATTACCTTTATTATTTGCATCGTCATCATCGCTTTCTTCATCTTTTTCGTATTTTGGAATTGGTCTTTGATAATAGGTTACTGGATTTTGTGATAATGCATCTGCATTGACATTCTTTTTACCTACCTTATATATATACCATTTTAAAATCATATTCTGATAATTTTAGATTCCATCTTGTAACTCGAGAACAGAGATCACTTGAATTTTGAAATCATAACAATGGTTTGTGGACGGTAATACTTGTAAATTTTCTACCATACCATACCATAGAGTGTAAGACACAGTACACAATTGCAACTGCTTCTTTATTATAAGTATCGTATTTTACTTCATGTTCATTTAAAGATCTTGATGCATAAGCGATGGGTTAATCTTTTCCTTTTTCGCCCTGAGACAAAAATTCTACCCGAAGCATATCCTGATGCATCTGTCGTTAAAACAAAGGGTCTGTCAAAATCTGGACTCTGTAATAATGGTTCTTGACATAGTTTTTTTTTAATAATTCAAAAGCTTTATGTTGTTTTTCACTCCAATTAAAAGTCACGTGATTTTTTAATAATTGGTTTAAAGAGCCCGATAGCTTTTATAGTTATGATTTTTACAAAAATTCGGGGGACAACATGCCATCCGACAAAAAATCTGTACGAGATTCGTATAACATAGGCAATAGTATTAACACATTGTTAGTCGCTCGTACATGTGCAAGGCCTTCTTTTCTATTTCTCGTAATTGTGATTTTAGGACAAATTAATTTCATAATTAAAGAATTATAATTCAATACACGCCACGAGGACGTGACACATGTATTTTTTAATTAAAAAAACACAACAAATTTAATTTATTTAAATTTATAACCAGAATATTTTTTTATATTTTAGGTATTTATATTTAAAAATAGGGATTTTTCAATTAAAATTTTTGTGTTGTTCCAAAACCATTTTTGAAAAGCCGGGGGTAACGATGATAAAGAATGACTCAGTTAATTTTAAAAATAAAGTTTACTAATTTTTTAAATATTAAATTAAATATTTCAGCTGGAAACACCCATTAAAATTGATCATTCTCAACACATAATAAAACTCGCATCACAAAGTGACTATGGCGGATTTTATGGTGTTGTATCAGGTTGGGGAAAGACCAGTTATAGTGAAGAGAAGACTTTTCCGTATTTGTTGAAATTAGTGACAAATGTTATAAACGCAACTTACTGTCAAGAAATACTAAGTAGACAACTTTATAGTTCACAAGTATGTGCGCTTGCATTCTCTGCGTCCGGCACCTGTCAGGTTAGTCTAAATATAATGTGTTAATTTCTGTTTAATTAATTTTTTAGTTTTAAAATAATAAAATTATTTTCATGTTTTATGCAAGTAGATTATTTTTCAAAGTAATTATTTTTTTGTCAAAATTAATAACTGCACGGAGAGAAGGGCGTAGTACATTCTACTGACATGGCAGTTAAGTCTACTAAACACTATCAGTAGTACATTTTTTACTAAACGCGTTCTATCAAATTAACTGCAACTCTTCTCTCCGTGTGACTTTTGACAGTGGATCCATGTATAGGTAGTATAAGGTAGTATAAAAATAAAATTTTTTATTGTTTAGTAACTCTTAAATAATTAAGAAATTCCTTGGATCAATTTTAGTACTAGACAAAAAGAATATAAAATATTATAAATAATGAATACAGTAAAAAATATTACTATTGAATTTTAGGGTGACAGTGGTGGTCCATTGGCTGTTGGTAATGAACTTGTTGGAATCGTATCATTTGGATTTAAATGTGGAGCTGGTTTTCCAGATGTCTATACCTCAATTTATGCTTACAGAACATTTATCGAAGAAGTTATAAGGGAAAGTGGATTTTCTAACGAAATTCTGTATCCGAAAACGTATGATAATTCCAATATTGCTAGAAAGATTGTAACTAAGGTACAACATCCCACTACCTTATCAGACAATGTTACAATTTCACATAATAAAATTTATTACCTATTTAAAAATGGTCAATGGTTTCAAGTCCAGCATCAGTAATTATAGATGTGTACCACAAAACGTTTTCCCACTATTTAATGTAATTAAATCTAGTAAATAATAATTTATTTTTAATTAATTTATTTATTCAATTATACATATTTAAAATGATATGGAACAAAAATAATATTAAAATAATAAAAAATATATATCAATACATTCTTCTGCTTTATTTTAATAAATAACTTTAATTGATTCGTGTAATTTAAACATTGAATTTATAATAAATAAGACACATTGAAGTTAATGCACTTTAATTTAAGTTGTCCTCGATTCTAGTACAAGATCTTGCCTGAGATCCATACCCTTATAATGATTTATTAACATTGCTTTTAAAAGGATTCACAAGAGTGTGTCACATTTTTTATATTAGTTCGAAAATTATTTAATCAATATCTCTTAAGAAAAAACTAAACATTAATATTGTAAATCCAATAGATCCCGAGCTCTTGTGGAAGAAACAATATCTTTCTTTGAATTTATATATTTTTTAATGCCCTCTATAACATTCTGGGGTAATTTATTTTCTTGATTGAAGTACAATGCGTCATCAACAATTCTCATTCGATTTAAAACATGAATCTTTCTAAAATCTTCTGAATTCAAACAATCCACTAATCTGTTCCAATTTCTTTCATCATAGTTTACACGATACAAACCTGAAAATAATAAAAGCACCTTAAATTAAAATTCATTATGACAACTTTTAGAGTAGGACTAGTTAGTGTGGTTTAGAAAGTTGTAATTATTGATAAGTCGTGAAAGTAATAATAAATTTGGTTAAAAGTAATTACCAAAGCTTTGTACATTTACAATGTACCACCAATCATCATGAGTGAGACCATCGACTATCAATTTCTCATCGTGCGGATTCATCCAACTATTTACATGTGTCGATGAAAAATTGTGAGTGTGACTGCCTACTATATTTATTGGTATCCACCAGTTTTGATCAGCGAATCCTTTAGACGCTATTGAACTTGTTTGCTTCAATTTTATAGTGTTGCACGAATAATCTCTCTCAATATTAACAATAGGATGTCCGTTTTGTAATATATAAGTCTCCAAGTAGTTTCGAATGTTGAAATTATTCCTTTTAATTTGTGATTTCTCCATTTCTTCTTGAACGGTATTCCAAAATTGGTCTGTTGATATTGTCTTGTATTTACTAAAATTATAATCATTATGAATTACTAATAATTAAAAATTAATAATAATAAAATGACTTAAGGTCTTTAGTTCAATTATTAATTACTACTACTAGAATAGTGATTCAAAAAATATTTTTACTTACTAAGTTTGGATAATTGTGTTAATTATAGAATGGAAAATATTTTCTGTTAATACACCACTTATCATGTGCATCAATGCTTCAACTGAAATTAATAAAAATTTATATCACTATTAATTGGTAGGCAACGTTTATTTTATTAATTGTTAGAAAACTTTTGCTATCAACTAGAAAATTTTATTTTACTGTTGAACTTACTTTCTATATCATAATTCATCAAACTGCCTTCTTGAATAGTTGGTCCATTGTATACATTTAAATCCACATCTAGTGCATAAAAGGAATATCTGTACCTAGTGAATTCCACAAAAACTGAAAAGCTGTCCATCTTTAAAAAAATCAATTCTCTAATTACTGACATTTTATTAACAATTCTTAAAAATAATGAAAATTTGTTTCGGTGATTTTAACTATTTCGTTAATTTGTAAAGAAAATTATCGAAAGTCAAATTTAGTTATAAAAGTGGTAAAATCCAGAGTTCCAATGGTATTGTTTTTGAGTTTTTGCCCACATTTAAAGAAATCGGAAATTTTTTATTTAAAACGATAATTTTCGAAAAAGAGAATTAATGTTGTAAAATTAGCATTGAAAAGATAAATGATCCATAATAATAATATTTTGTAAATACTTTGCTAAGGATGATATGACTTATGTAGAACACAAGTCCCTCGGTAATCCAAGTGTCCGCAGGAGTAGCTGGAGTCATTATACATCCCAACCATTGACGTGCTAATTCATAAATAATGTGTACGTAAGGTTTTACTTCCCGATCATCTTCCAAATAGTCTGCATTTGGTTTAATGAGTAAACTTTAAGGAAAAAAAATTGTTTAATAATTAGAATATCAAAAATATTCAAAATTCTGTTTACAAAGAAAAACATTGCTTTTCATTAGAAAATTATATTATTAACGTCAGAAATGTTATCTTGCGTTATTTAAAAATCTTGATAAGAATAATGGGTACAGTCAATTACAATTCACCTTAAGTCTTTGCAGCCGCAGATATTAAACATAATTTCTAGAAATTATTGTGAAATTTTTCTAGAAATAGGCCGCAACGACTTTAGGTGAAATATAATGGATTGACCCTAATGAAAATTTTTAAATCTTGAGAAGTTTTTGTCAATTTGAACCAAATATAAAAGACACTTTTGTACAATTTTATACTTACTTAGTGATAACTACACCGCATTTTCCCATTGGTTCCTCATTCTGATCAAGAACTCCTATTAGCTGCATTATCGGGAAGTCGGATTTAATTCCAATATATTGTTCAAGTAATTTCATTGCATTCATTGCACGTGCAAGCGTGTGAAATGCTTTATCGAATGATTCCATATCAGAGTCTATTGAAAATGTATTATCTGAATTGCTGATATTATTATGAAAGTCAGTGACCATAATGCACACCATATTTGGGGACATTAAAGGTGTTTTCTTAAAATAAGTCCATTCATAATAGAGATTGTTTGGATCAGCGACAATTTCCTGTTCAGGCATATTTGAAATAGCTTTATGATTTTTTGATCGTTTAATCCTAATACTGAAAGTAGTCTTTATTGATAATTCATCCCAACATGGAAATATCTGACGTGCTCGAAGTGAGTTGAAGTACGTTGATACTAATAATCTAAAATGTTACAGAAAATACAAATTTTGCTTTTTAATATTTTTAGAGTGACTGTTTTCTATTGATTCCTCTTGTGAGATTCTTTTAGTATTTCTTAAATTTAATTATTTTAATTCACTGACAACTCTGTCGTACAAAGAAAAAAGTCCATAACTGACATTTGATTTTAGGTTCTTTTTCCCGTAAGACGAACAAGCAAAAATCAACCAAAAACAAGTGAGAGTTATAGACTTTTTTACTTTGTACGGCAAATCTAATGTTAAATACACAGTGCGCTAGAAGCAAAAATAGCTTTTACAAAGATGCGGACAAAAACGGTTTGTGTAGCATGTTTTGTATGTATTTGTAGGTTAAAAATCCGTGTGAATTAAAATCCTACCTGTTTCCGTTTTCGAGAAATGCATGAAAAGCTTTTTTATATTTGATAAACAATAAAATCCATTTCAATTTATAAAGAAGCAACTTCTCGCGGGGTAAATTTTTGTGGTAAGTAAGTAGTTTCCATGGTAATCTTAACGACAGCAAATAATTTGATAAAATTGTGTTTGGTTGAATACACCTTGCATTTAAACAGAATTGTGTTAAAAATTGTTTACTATTATAAAGTGTTCAACCGTTACCAAATATGTATAACTATTGTGATATAAATTTACCGAAAGATACCAGGGCTTCTGATGGGTTTCGCAATTACTTCATAAGCTTGACAGGAAGATCAATTGATAGAATAAAAACTGCTTCTGTTCTGATACCGTCGACACTAAAATCTTATGGAGATTTACGTAGATTATGAAGTATTTTGTTTGATAGGCAAAAATAAAAAGTATTCATAAAAACTGCCACAGTACCATAAATCCTTCTCTATTGGACGAAAATGATGATATGTTAGTTATACAAAAATGTATTATTCCGGACCTGCATATTATGCAAAGTTTCGTAAATCATTTATTTTGGGATGGTTTAGTTCCTTTGCTAGGTCGTGAAAAAACTTTGCTCTGTCCATATAGCTTAAAACTGGTCTCAAAAAATTATTAGGGAGAAATTTTTGAAGGAAATGCATGTAAAGTACTTTTTGAACATTCTGACATACTTTTAGATTCAAAAATTTATGGTGATTTTTTGCTTCTTGCGCACCGTGAATAATTCTGATGGTTTTATTGGTGAATTCTGATTTCCGTAAAATTATTTTTTAAAAGATTGTTATCTACTTATTCTCATATTTTTTCCGGAAAAATCCAGATTTATATGGATTCCATCCATCTTCTATTGCTCCAACGAATTTTAAGTTAAGAATATAATTTCCCGGCTGTATAAAATTTTCGAAGTTAAGAGTCACAAATTGTGATTCATGATCATATATATGACTTTGAGGAATTAAATTTTTATCAATTCCATTTAGTTTTGTTGCATTTTCATAAATTGTTAGTTGATATGAATGGAAGGTTAAGCTTTTGTTCGGCATAAAAACTTGCAGAAAAATTTTTGATTCGCCAATAAAATTTTTTGCCTCCATCATCAAGGAGGGAAAAATATTTAATTCATAATGATATGGTCTTGCATTATTGGGTAATTTCATTTTCAATTGGTGTGAAAATTGAACAAGAATGAAGAGTAAACAAATTTTGAAATAGTTCATCTTAAATTGTTTACTTATATTGAGACTGTAAATTTAATAAATAAAACGTTTTTTAGTATCAGAGAAAATTTTTTTGACTTTTTTAATGACGTTAATAAATTGCAGAAATAATACTAAAGTATGAAAAATTATACTAAATGAAATAAAATAATAAATAAATCAAGTGTTGAATGCGTTATGAAAGATATAAATTTAAAAAATTTGTTAATTAATTATATTACCTCTTAGATTGAAGTTTAGTTTTCAAGAAAGAACTGAATAACTTTTTTATTAAATTTCTTTGCTTTTAAACTTTTTTTTTCTTTGCTTATATGTGCTATTTTTAAACAAACAAATGTTATAAAAAATTAATTAATTCCTAAAATGAATATTCTACAATTAGAATTTCACAATCATTACAAACATATGATAAGATTGAGCAATGAATTATTTAATTTTGTGGTAATTTTGTAACCAGAGGACTGCTTATTTCAACTATTTACTACACTAAAGTACTATTATTTCTTTCGTTACCTAATTTTCACACACGTGTTTTTTAATCACTCAACATTACTTTTATATTTAGTTTTCTTATCAAATTTTTACATTTATATGAAAAAAATGTGTAGGTATTGTGTGGAAATATACTTAAAAAAATTAGAACGTTTTTTTCTTTCTATAATATTTTAATAGTATAAAATATTTATTTCTCATTAAAAATAACCACTTTCAAAGTAATAATTATTTATTATTAACTTACTTAGCTAAACATATATTCTTCTCCTACCTCCTGATATATATTTAAAAATACCAATTAAAATTTTGTCGGAGAATATACTTTTCCCATTAAAGAATAATATATCATCAACAATTCTAAGTCGATTTAATATATGGATATTTTTATAGTTCTCCGAATTCAAGTAGTCCACTAATCTGTTCCAATTCCGTTCATCATAATTAACTCGATACAACCCTTAAAAAAATATTTACTATTATGTATATTTTTATTTAATTCCTTTAAAATAAATAAGAAATAATTTAATTATTGTTGTTAAGCGTATAATTATAAAACTTTAAAATTGAACGTAATTGCATGTGATGGATATGAAGAGTAGAGACTTTGTTTTAGTTAATGTGCATGCGTCTGATACTTTAAGTGTGAATACCGACAAATCAATTACCCGCAGACTTTTAATCATAATGAGTAAGTTTTGTTGAAAATAATTACCAGTGCTTTGGACATTGACAATGTACCACCAGTCGTCGTGAGTCAGACCGTCCACTATTAATTTCTCATCATGAGGGTTTATCCAATTGGTGGCAAAAGTAGACGTAAAATTTAAAGTGTCACTGCTTGCAATGTTTACTGGTACCCACCATTTTTGCTTAACTGAGTCATTAGAATCGATTGAGCTATTTTGCGTTAATTTTATAGTGTTACATGAATAATCTCTGACGACATTAATGATTGGATATCCTTCTTGCACTATGTAAGGTTCCATGTACATTCTGAGATTAAAATTATTTCTCCTCAATTGTGATTCATTCATTGTTTCTTGAAGTGAATTCCAAAATTCGTCCGTTGTTATTGACTTGTATTTACTAAAATTTCAAATAATAAATTACACATAATTAACGGAAAATAGAAACAATTGACAATAATAAAGAAACAACAAATAAAAATACAAATGAAATGTATATGAATAGAGTACAAGAAAATTTAGAATCAGAAATGAGTTAGTGTAATTTGTAAGGAGCAAAGAGTAGTAGAGATCTAAATGTTTTGCAATACCCCTACTTCTGACTTATTGCGCGCGCATAATATTTAAGAAGAGAAAAATCATAAGTGCACACTTTTTCCTAAAAATTATTTTAGAAAAACTTACTATACTTCCACAATTTTCTTAATAGCCGCATGAAATATTTGTTCAGTTAATAAACCGCTTATCATTTGCATTACAGCCTCAGCTGTAAAATTAAAATTGAATTAAATAAATTCTTCTGTGTAAGCCATGAACGTCCACGGGATATCCTCAAATATCTGTTGCTGTTAGGGTAAATTATTTAATTTGTTAACGCTTACCTTTAATATTAAAATTATTTAAACTCGTTTTATCTTTCGCTGATGATACTTTGTATAAATTTAAATTAATGTTCAGCGCATCAATAGAAGCTTCTCTTCTAATGTGTTGCACAGATGACGACAAATTCATCTATTTATAAAGAAAAAATATATTTAAAAGCATTATATTTTCTGTTAATTATTTACTGTATGACTATCGGTCAAGAAAATCCAAACCAGTGTGTTTTAAGAAAGTTACATAAAAAATTCTGCACACTCTGATAAGGAACACAAAACTTACTCATGTCTTTATTTCTACTCTAGTACTTTCTTTTTTAAAAGGTTTAAAATAAATAAAATCACAACACTGGTCCGGATCTTCGGAGTAATATCCAACTATAACATGATCGTAATGATTAATTACTTTATTCAGGACAAAGTGACTCATATAGAAAACAAGTCCCTCTGTGATCCAAGTGTCCCCATAACTTGCCGGAGTGATCAAACATCCAAACCACTGACGTGCTAATTCATATATTATATGAACATACGAAATCATTTTATCGTTATCTCCCAAATTATCCAAAATTGGTTTAGTAAGTTCCCTTTAAAAAAGAAATTCCTAAATTTAAATATACTAAAAACAATATTTTTTAAAATTTGATTTCTACATACCTGGTAATAATTAAACCACAAGTTCCTAATGGTTTCTGATTTTTATTAAGTATTGCAAGCATTTGCATTTTTGGTAAATCGTATTGAACTCCAATGAATTTCTCCAATTGGGTTAGCGTATTTACTCCAAACTCGAAACTGTAAAATCCTTTGTTTACATATTCTTTACTACATATTACAACAACTTTTGAATCAACATTGGTGATATCATCATGGACATCGGTGACAACAATTGAAATCATGTTCGTTGACATTGGTGGTGTTGTTTGAAAAACTGACCACATATAACCATCTTCCTTGATTTGATCAACAATCCCTCGCATTAGTGTATTTGACAAAGCTACTTGATTTGGTAATCGTTTTATCCAAAGATAAAATGTAGCTTTTATTTCTGGCTCATCCCAACAAGGAAAAACTTGACGTGCATGAGGTGATTTAAACTGTGTTGATACTAATGTTCTGAAAAATTTTATAAGCATTCTTATATTTACAGTATGGGTCTCAGAAAATTAGAATGTGTTTTTTTGGGTTTACTAAAAACATGTTAAAAACTTTGAATGCGCAGACTATTTTGACCTGGGCATTAGGTTAGCTGGTTACTTATGTAATCAGTGACCACCACTTTTTCTTATGCACAAAAACGGTTCTTAAGATTTTTGCTTTTAGAATAATAACAATGAAATACAGATTGAAAGAAAATATAAATATTTAAGTGTTTAGGAAAAAGAAAACTGCAAATATTTGTATTGAACTTAATTCTAATACACGTTAAATAAAAAAGTATTGGAGACAAATTTATAATAAATTAAATAAATACCTATTCATATTTTTTTGTCTAAAGAATCCAAATTTATTTGAATCTAATCCTTCTCCTATTTCTCCAGTGAATTCCAAATGAAGACAATAATTTCCAGGTTGTATTTCATTTTCGAAATTGAGTATCAAGAATTGTGATTCAACTTCAAAGAAATGATTTTTAGGCATTACAGTTACACCATTTTGTTTGAGTTTCGTGTTTTTGGAATTTATGTTTAAATTTAATGAATGCAATGTCAAGTTTACGGTTGGTTTTAAAATGTTAAGAAAAATGTCTGATTCGCCCTCAAAAGTAAAAACATTAGAATTCGTTGGTGGAAACATCTTAATGTCATAGTGATACGGTAACGCATTGTCGGGTAATTTTTCATCAAATTGATGAGAAAATTTTAAAAAAATCAGAATTGGAAAGAATTTAAAGTAGTTCATTATAAAAGTAATATTTTTCTTGACACTAAAAATTTATAAAACAGTTTAATAATATGACAAATCTTAGTAAAAATAAATAAATAACTCTTACAATTGAACTAGTTAAAGGAAATAATTTTTATAAAATATTATACTTGAATTTAATGTTGACTATTTCAGACAAAATTAATTTAATAAACATTACTGATGTTCCCTTTTTATATATCGAAAAGATTACTAATAGATGCTAATTATTATAAATTTTTATTTAAAAAAATATGAATTTATGAAGCTTTTGTAAATAGTATAAAATCAAATTAATGGTAATTCTCTAAAATTTAAATCTTTCCAAGAATGACGAATTATTAAATTATAATAATGGATAATGATGATAATAAGGAATTTCTTAAAAATCTAATTATAAATAGTGGAAATAAATAATTCAAATATGTTTTAGATTTTGTTGATAATATATCATTTAAATTATCTTTATCAAAAATCGTAGGATATATTAGTGTAGCATTTCAGAAATATCGTTTTTTAGCATGTAACTAGATTTATATTTTTTGCACCCCTAGATATAAGCCTTTAACTTCTGATATCAGTAAAGTTTGTGGCACGTCATGATTTAGCTCTATAACTTTTCCAAAATAACAAAATATGCCCTTTTCTCAAAAAGGTGACGTGATAGAAAGTTTTCGACCCTGGATTCGTGTTCAGTGCGAGAAATCTGTTAAGGAACACTACCTTCCATTTTATTCGCAATAATAAAAACTTGAAATTTGCAGAACAGTATAATTTTCTTAATATTTGATTTTTTTAATAAAATTGAAACACATGTTACTATAAAAAATAATATATTCAAGCTCAGCTATTGAACTCATATTTATTATCATTTCTTTATTTCATATTTATATTATTCAATTTGTTTTATGGCATAAATATATATTGTATCTGTCGATATTTGAAAATAACTAACTTTTAAAATTATAATATTATTTGAGTACAAAAAATAAATGAAAAATAATAAATTTAAATTACTAATTTAATTTTTTATCACGATTTTTAATTCTAAAGTGTGTTTCTTTAAAAAATTGCTGCTTAATGTGTTTAATTTTCGTATGTTTTTTAAATAATATTTCAATTTTTTTGATAAATTCAATTTTATTAAATATAGTACATACGTTAGGATTTATTTCGTTTATTAAAAAAGTAATCAAATATTTCAAGAAAAAGTATTTATTAAAAGATTTTTTTAATACTTAAGAATTGGTTATATTACAATAATATTAGTTAAAATATTTTAAAATTGTATAAAAATGTGCGAAATACAGATTTCTTTAGTTACTAACAACAGAATCTACATTCGTATACCTGTCTGTTGTTCAATAAAACTTTTGTAAGCCCTAACTCTTGCAAAAGCACCAGGATGTTTACCACAATAGAATCCATATGATACAAGTCCAATAACTTCGCCATTGGCAACTAATGGCCCGCCACTGTCACCCTGAAAACCATAAGAAATCGTCTAGATAACAAGTTTCAAACATTTCTTTTCAATTCTTGCAACAGAGAAATAATAGAATTGTGTAATTTAATTTCGTCATTCACTTTACAATTTATTTTCTTCTTTTTCACTATTTTTATTTGATTTTCAGCAAAGTGAAGATGAAAATATCCAACTATACACATCTGATTGAATTTTTAGTCTTAATAAACAACTTACTTGACATGTGCTCTTTCCATTCATTGGTACAGTACACAAATGATACTCTCTAAGTTTTCCAAAGTCGCATCGTGAAAAGTCTGACAGTTTAACGTGAATATGTTGTAAATCTGTTGATCCCATTTGTGAATTATAGTAAGTATCACCCCATCCAGCGACAACAGCTTCAGTACCCATTGGATAATCTCTACTTGCTAGTTTAATAATTTTCCAATCAGAAAATTTTTGATTTGTCAAAGGTGTGCGTAACTATAGAAAACGAGAACAAACATAAATGTATCTATATAAACAACCCTTTTAATCATTAGAAAATAAATGTTTATTTCGTGTTACTCACTGTAAGAATAGCAACATCATAACGAAGGTATCTATCTTCTTTTTGATATTTTGGATGAACAGACACTTCTTCAAGTGAATAACCAACTCCTCCATAAATGAGACTATTAGTTCCAACAAATACTCGTATAATTTTAGGATTTTGATTATCTAAACAGTGAGCCGCAGTAAGAATGTGTTTAGCACTGATAATCGAACCACCACAAAATTGAAAGAAGGATCCATCATAACGTATCAGTCTTAATGAAACCAAAAATGGAAATTCATTGCCTACCACTCTCATGCCTTGGACTATTTTTTGAGGTGGCGATGCATTTGTACCTAGAAAGATTGAAACATATTATCAATAAACTGCTTACTCTTTATTTATTCATATAACATTTTAAAGAGCATAGATAGTCCCATGCAAAAAATGTTTTTGATTTTGTATATGTCCTAAATGGTTACTCAAGATTACACAATAATTTCTACAAAATTTTAGGTTACGCGGGTGTTCAACCCTCAATCCTTTTGGTCTTTATGTTTCACATTTTTCTAGTCCTGAAGCTGCTATCGCACTTTGGAAGATCTTGTGCACGAACTTGTGTATGTTCAGTCCAAGGATTTGGAACAATGATCTTGTGCAAAAACATGCAAAGTTTCGTACCAAGTGAAAATCGAGCGAGGTAACAATTGGACTCTTGTACTTTCGAATGGTCCTGAATAAGTATCTGAATAGTTCCAATTAATATTTCGTAACATAATTTTTGAAAACGAGAGTCTAAGAGTAGTTTCAGATTTGTGGCCTAGGCCTACTGGGGATACCACGTGAAAATGAAACGCGCCGAATATATCCTACCTCTCGGGTGGTGCGAAAATGGGTAACAAAATTTAAAAGTAAATGTTGTGTTAATTATTAGGACAGCTGTGCTGTCGATGAACATGAAATCTTAATGAATATTTAAGTGAGAAATGATTCGGATAGATTGTTAACTTCTTCCACCTTTAATGAATGCTGTGGTGTTACAAATTATTTATCTAAACAATAATAAAATATGAGTTAAAAAGTAATTCTTCAGTGCGATACTGTTTTGTGGAAGGAATATTGAACTGATTGCGGACGCTGCCATGCAACCAAAAATTAATTTCTCGAAAAAATCAAGGAACGCATATCTACAAATTACAGTAATTTTTAAGGACCCCTATAATCTATACAGTGAGAGAAAAATATGTTACGGGGTAGAATAATGATCTTACGGGGACCATCTTTAGTGCTACATATATAGACAGCTATCTTGATTGTATCAGATACAATCAGGTTGTACGGAGTAACATCTTTGATTGTAGTTGGTAGCATAACAATAGGCAACATCTTTAATGATACCGGATAACATCGTCTTTTACCATAAAGTTGTATGGACCGTTAAAAACTTATTGTTTAGTTAAAATAGAAATAGTTACCCAGAATAAAGGCACATAAAGCCAAGAAGATGAAGTCTATTCTTGCAGAAGTCATGATTCAAAAATGCTTGAACTTCAACTGTAACATACTCAATTCAAAATTTTCTCTTATATCCAGATCATCCCTTGTTTTTTCGAACTCATTGACGTCTATTACTCTAATTTTAATTAAAAATTTACATATAACTATTTAACTAATTTAAATTAAAAAGATGTTTTCATTTCCGTATTTATAATATCATACAATAACATAGATTATATTTTAATCAATTCTTTAGTACGCAATTCTATTTTAGACGCATACATTAAAACACTTAGAAATGTTTTATTGTCATTTCCTAGTAAATAGCTGATATATATAAATTTCTGTATATTTCCTTTTTTTATTTTTCCTATATCTTGGACGTACATTTGACTAAACAATATTACATGCTAATGTTCTAATTTAATAGTAAATATCTAATGCATAAGATATTTATAAATTTGTAATGTTTACCTTTCCTAACATTGCATGCGATTACACTTTACATTATTTTTATTTAATTTAGGTATATTATTTATAGATAAAGGACACAAACTTGTACGACATTAAATATTTTAATTAAAAGAACATGCGTCAGTAAATTGAAAATAACAAATAAGTGTTCTATACTATAGAACCATTTATAAATGTCGAATTTAATATGACGGATATAAAATTTGACTGAATTTAAAATATTTATTTCCGTAAATTTTGCGTCTTCTTTATGATCAGCAAAAAATTTGCTTCTTCGTGGAAGAAGCAATATCATTTTATCATTCTTTGGAATTTTTTTTACAAATCGATACAGTATATTTAGTAAATTAAAATAAAGAAGAAATTATTAAAAAAGTAAGTTCTGGGTTGGATGTAGCTCAATATGATTTATTGGTATTTTCTGAAACCTCATTTAAAGAAATTTATATAGAAAATAATATTCCTGACCGTGAGTCAACTACACTACACACACGGTGGGTTTGAATGAACTTCAACCCAAAGATGCTTGCGTATCAAAATTTCTTTCTGATTTCTTTTCTAGGATGTTCCCTGATAATTTTGAGCCCAAAATGAAAAAAATCGCTTGGGCCGTTTTTGAAAAAACTCATTTTTTTGATTTTTTGAAAATACCAATTAACTTTTTTTCTAAGAAAGTAAATAAAAGTAAGGTTATTATAGGGTTTTAATCAATTCAATTAATATAAGTAAACGGTCCCTAGGTGCTGAATATATGCATCAACTAAAACGCTGTAAAAAATCTGAAAAAAACCCGTTAGAAAGTTGGTTTTTTTAAAAATTACTCCCTTCCATTGCATTTTAACCCGTTAAAGATCCTCACAAAAATTAAAGCTTATAAAAATATCTGTAAATTGCAAAAATTCAATGATTTATCTTTAAAACTGTCGACGTTATGACCATTAAAGTATAAAAAATTTATCAACAATAAATTATTTTCTTTTTATTTCTATAACGTTACATTTTTAATATCTTTGGTATAACGATGTTGTATTAATTTAATCACTGGGACTGAAAATTCAAGAAACATGAATATCGATATTACTTTAAAATGATAATCTCATTACAAGCGTCATATATGTCATTTGTGATTTTCATAATAATGTAAAAAAATTAATGATGTCGGAAACTCATGCAAAAATCCATAATGAAAATTTTTTTACCATAATTTCCAGTTTACTTTGTCTGATCACCGGAAAAATTCTTTTTGTTTTACCAAAGCACAACAAGCAAATTTGTTGCTTATTTACATTACACTTAAAAAAAAATATTCTTAATTTAAGAATATATATTATACTAAAAAAGGTGCCCAGGATATTACCCACTTAAATTAAGTGGGAAATATTCTTACTATAAGAATATATTCTCATTGTAAGAATATTTCCACTTAATTTAAGTGGGAAAAATCCTGGGCACCTTTTTAGGGTTTCGTGGCAAAAACCCTTATAGCGAGACGTCGGTGTCCGTCCGTAGTTCTTACGTCTTAAGTAAGTCTCTTATAGTGAGACTTTAATATAAGTAGTTCTTTAAGTCCTAAGTTTTAAGTCTTATGTATTAAGTCTTATGTCTTAAGTCTTAAAACAACATAACAACCGTTGCCATGGCAACGTTAATATGGCAACGTTAATATGGCAACGTTGCTATGTTAATGGTTGACATAACAACCGTTGCTATGTTAATGGTTGCCATAACAACCGTTACTATGGTAATAAAAAAATTTTTCAATCTTAAGTACAAAAAAATTTTTTAAATAAATTATTATTTATTTATTTTTTTGTCACTTTAGGCCATGAAACCCTATGATGTAGGCGCATTGCGCCTGCTTCTCTGACTAATTTTTTATAGTATATATTCCTAAATTAAGTTTATTTTTTTCAGTGTATGCGTTTTTGTGTGTTTTCGACATTATTAACTTTTTTTACATTATAGTTATGAAAGTCAGAAATGACGCTTGTAATAAGATTCTCATTTCAAAATAATATCGATATTCTTTTTTTTAATTTTAAGTACCAATGATTAATTAATATAACATCGTAATACCAAATATATTAAAAATGTAATGTTATAGGAATAAAAAGAAAAAGGGTGTTAATTTTCAGACGGTTATAACTATGGTTCTAATTAAGCTAGAAACATCTACTTTTTTTGGATGTTCTCAAAATTATGTACACTTTAATTTACCCATAAGTAGTATATAAAGTATATAAAGTAGTATATGTATATAGTATATTTTTAGATTTACTGGAAGCAAGTTATTTCACAAAAACTGAAACTTTAATTTTTTTTTGGGTTTTCAGCTGTTTTTAGATTTTTTACAGGGTTTTAGTTGATGCATATATTCAGCACCTAGGGACCGCTTACGTATGTTAATTGAATTGATTAAAAACCTATAATAATCTTACTATTATTTACTTTCTTAGAGAAAAAGTTAATTGATATTTTCAAAAAACGAAAAATTGAGTTTTTTCAAAAACGGCCCAAGCGATTTTTTTCTTTTTGGGCTCAAAATTATCAGGGGCCATGCTAGAAAAGAAATCATAAAGAAATTTTGATACGCAAGCATCTTTGGGTTAAACTCAATTCAAACCCACCGTGTGTGGTTACTTTAATTGTTTAACAGGAAATATTATGTTGTTTTATAAATCAAAATAAAAGTACCCTCAATCTCATGCCATGAACTTCAAAATAAAAAATCTTAAAGTGGAAAGTTTCTTCAAAGATTTGAGAACAAACCTAAAAAATTAGATCTGGACATTTACCTGAATTTGGAAACATTTTTTTCCAATAGTCACCTGAAAATTATGAATATAAGAATTATAAAATTTGATAGTGCCAAAGCTGTAATCCAGGCAATAAGGCTGGAATTGATTAGAATTAAAAAAATGAATTCCATTTAATACCTGATTTTTCCAATACTAAGGAATAGATAACAGCCAAGTTAAATACCTTTTTATTCCGTTTAAGCAAAACGTAAAACGGAATTAAAACTTTTATGTATTGAATATGAATAATATTTATAATTCTTTTTCAATAAATATTTAAAAAATAATAATAAAAAGTATTTTAAATTGAAATTAATAAATCATTTACTGTAATAAAGAAAAATATAATAGGTTAAATAAGAGATTTATAAATGAAGGACACCTAACCCAAAATTTGAAAGAGAATTACTGCAATTCAGAAAATTCAAATTACGTGAGAGATGCGTGTCATTCTAACCTACAAAGGTTCGAATGACATGCATCTCAAAGACTCAAAGGACTTGAACTGATTATTAATCACTTTGATTAACAACAACATAATAATTGTAATCTTCTTATTTATTAAAATATAACAAAGTTTTAATTTGCACCATATTATATATGCACGTAAAGCCGGTTAAAAAAACAAGCACATTACAATTTGTTACAAATCCTACAAATCTGACTGAAATCACCTTGAACAAAACCATTTATTATCTCTTTTCTCTTTTCATCGTTTTTTCCAGTAACCATTTTCATTGGTTAATTTTTTGTTTGCCTAGAAAGTGTTTGTTATTATTATATTTGTTATTAACCTATTCGTATAATTAATTTTTTATTTATTTTATTTTTTGTCTTATTTATTTTAAAATTAAAAAAAATTAATTTAATTAAATTAAATAAAAAATTACTTAAATTTTTAATTCTATTCTATTCTTTTTAACAGAAAACAAATTTACGACTGCTAATAGCTTTTAAATTTTAGAATTAAGTGGAATTCACTTTGTTGGCGATTTATCCTACTCCGTTGAACTAGAAAAAGTGGAAAAATCAGGTATTAAAAAGAATTAAAATTTTTCACCTCCATGTACGAACGTGAGATAACTTTAAATCCATCCAATTCCAGCCTTCTTGCCGGGATTCCACAGGAAGTAAGAGTTACTTACGACGTTGAAGTTTCGCCAGAATTTTTGTACATGGTCTTAGTAACTATATTGGTATGATTGTTGTTCTACGATTTTTTGTATTTGTAATGAAATTCGAGAAGAGTACATATGGCAAACGTTGAATATCAGTCAAATTATAATAGGAATGCCTACTGCAAGAGAACCTAGGAAATGGTTGGAGAGAATTGTTTTTGGCTCAATATTGATTACATGCATTTTCTACACAGGTTATTTTTATTCCGTAATACTCGACATCAGTTTTCGTTCGGCTGCTGAAATTTCAAATCTCAAAGGATCTTGTTGATTCGCAATTGGAGCCTAGAATGACGTCCACTCACAAAACATCATTGTCGAACAGTCCAATATCTAACGTAAGAAAATTAGTGAAAAAAACCAAAATTTTTCGAAGTAGAAAGATGGAATATTGTTTAAAATACATGATTGATTATCGAAACATAACCTGCATTCTTAAAAATGCTGAATATTTTGTAAATTTATATGAATCTAAAAACGGCGAAACAAATGTTACAATATTAAAAGAAACTGTTGGATATGCTGCTACTACATTTAGGTCAAAGGCTCACTCACCCTATATTGATCGTTTTAATGAAATAATTCTAAAAGCTTCAGAGTTCGGATTCCTTAAAGATTATTATCGATCTGACGAGCGTTTAAGGAGTAATATTTCGTAACTAGAAATTATTGGAAAGAAAGAATTACTACTTGTTCTATTTTATGTATCAGTAATTGGATATTCTCTTGCCATCATATCATTGTTTTTCTTCTTGAAGTAATTTCATCTAATTTTAGAAGCAAAAATTTGCAGGAATCTAATTTTAAATTTGTTAATTAGAGGGAAGTAATGTAATAGTAAATTCTTATAATGCTAAAAGAACAACACTCAGTGGGTAAATAAAAGAATGTTGAAAATTGCGATTTTAGTGTTTGCGTTTGTTTACATTTCAGCTTATTTTTTTAATCCAGGAACTCTTTAATAAATAAATTATATAATTCCTAATAATAAACAAAATGATATACTCGTTCTACATTTCGATTCAAAAACTAATAAACCTGATTTTAAAAAAAGCAAAAGCTGCGCTCATAGAAGATGTTGACAGGAAATAATTTATAGATCGCTAACAGGAGACAGCGTGTATCAGCCACGTGACCGTGAAAGATTCTCAATTCCTGATTCTTTGGCACAGGCGCCCTTCGTATTCACGTGACGTCACAAAGCAGAGCGGAAAATATCCCCTCAACTCGTTGCTTTGTATTATACAATGGAGGTTAGTAGAACACAAGGCGCCACTATGTTATAACCTTCTCCACGTGCTGAAAGGAGTAAAGGATCGGTTCGGTTGTAGAACTCTCGCCTAAAAGTGCCACAATTCTTTCCCGCGAAAACTATAAAGAGTAGAGTGGGGGTAAAACACTTTCCCCCTCTCTCTCTCTCTTCCTCTCTAGTCTTTGAAATCACTCACGTGTTAATATTTATATATTATGGCTCTTATCAGATGTTGCTTTGAAACTGATGCACAAGAAGTTTTTGAATCTGTAGCAAAAAAGTGTACTGACCCTGGATGTAAGTACAATAAGAAAATAAACTTCGAGTTTTTAAATTGGAAAAAAATTGTGTTTATAATATAATTGCAACACCAATATGAAATGAATACTCGACATTATAATAAAAATTAATTTCATTCAAATAAACGATTACATCTTTTTCTTGAAAATAATTATTTATTTCTTAATAATAATAATTATTTATTTTATTTATTTGTAAGAAATAATTTTTATGAAATTAATTAAACGGTATTTGCATCAAATACTAAAATTATTGGTTCAAATACAATTTATTTGATTTGAAATAAAAATTATTTGATTCAAGTAAATGTTCATTTAATAAATCGATAATTGATTATTAGAATCAAATAATAAATCTTTTTTCTGTGAAATACAATTATAAAAATATAACATATTTGTAAGAATAACTATACTTTTTAAAATGCATTTAATTTCCATTCACTATTCTCTAATTCTGAGATTATATTTTTGAATAATAAAGTGATAAAAAAATATTTATTAGCAAACTATTTTTTTCATAGGTATGATTGATTTTTACTTAAATCTATTAGAGGAAGTTTTTTTTTGAATTCTATTTCATGTTTGTTCAGTAATGAATAAAATTTATGATTTGGTATAAGTAGCATATGTAGTTTTATCTAAATTACTGTTTAATATTCCTCGTTATGTTAGTAAGAATATATTTGTTGAAGGCCTACAAAAATGTGAATACATATTCCAGATAAAGTTTTTAAATAATGGAAATGTATCGGGTAGTCGAACATATTGATTTTCGAAGACATTGATATTTCATGTTGCATTGTACCATACAAAATCTAGGTTATATGAACTGAAATGAATATTATATTGTTACTTTTCTATTGTGATATTAAGATAAACACAAATTTATAATATAATATATTACATTTTTAATGTTTTTATTAAAGATAAAATTATTCCAATTTTTTAAATAAAATTAGAATAAACCCTTTTGAAAAGTTTGCAAATTTATATCGGTTAATATATAAATTTTAATTTCTCTTTATACTGATATTATTTTAATAGTAATAAAAATAATAATAACGATCATAATAATATTTAAAAATTATTTTATTCATATTCTATTATTATCTAAAGTTTAAACTAAAATTCATTTTTAAATCAATTTTTATTGAAAAATTCTACGAGAATTCAATTATTAAAAAAAAAAGTAAATTATTTATTAAATAATTGAATGTTTCTTAAAATTTATTTAAAATTGACAAATTTTTAAATAATAGAATTCTTTTGACGAATTTTAATAAAAAATTTTTAAAAATAGCTACTTTTTTCAAGGAATACGATTAAAATTGTATTAAAAATAATATAGAAATTCTGACATGAGTTTTATTATTTCTAAAAATATAATTGAATTATTGAGAAGAAACTTATAAAAAATTTGTAAATATTTGAATTCCTGTGAAATTTTTATTATTTATGAAAATAATTAAATGTTTGCGTAGAATTTTATAAAAATTGTTTTTAAATAAATTGAATTCTTTTGGGTAATTTTATTAAAATTTTTAAAAATAATTGAATTTTGAAGAAGAATTTTTTTATTTATAACAGATAATAATGGGATTTTGTCGAAATTTTTTTGTAAACTTTGAACATACATAATTAAATTTTGTGATAAGAATTTTATTACTTTTGAAAATAATTGAATTTCTGCAATCATTTGTAACTTCTTCAAAATTCAATTTTTTTAGTGTTTTTAACTAAAATTCTTCTATAAATCCATTATTTTTAATAAGGGAGGGTTCACAAATGATGTCACGTAATTTTTCGGGATTTTAGACCCCCCCTCCCCCTGTCACGCAATTTCATATGTAAAAATACATTGTGTCACGTATAGTAGAGACCCCCCCCCCCCTAATTAATTAAATATACATATTGACAAGTTTAATTAATTTTAGAAGATTTTGAATTATTAAAATTTTTCAAAGATTTAAGTCCATTCAAATTTCTAATTAAATTCATTCAACATTGAAATTTTATAAAATTTCAAATTCAAATCGTTTGAAGTTCATTTATTTATGAAAATAATGTAAACGCAACTCTTTTAAAATTGAATATACGAAGTGACAAAATTTAAATTATTAGTACCTTTAAAATTCCACTCAGATGGCAGTAGCGGATAGACAGACATCAGCGCCTCTAACAAATAAAAATTGAAGCTCCTGCTTACATTTGCTGCATCGGTAAATGAAAAAAGCTTAAAATTCTATTAATTAAATAAAGCGACGAATACCATTTTTAATTACCTTTTATTTAAATTTTACTATACGATATTAAATACAATATGAAAAATTTAATTAAGATTATTTGAAAAATCAATATAAATCTTTATTTTTCATTTATAAATGTTTTTGTAACTCCCGCTCTTTGAATGACACTTGTGACGTGTGTTGCCTCTGGAATTGATCCAGGTTGTGCACACGGGGAATGCGAGAGAGTGAAAAATAAAGTTTTTCTCCCAAAAAAGAGAGATTATCATTAAATCATGTTGGGTAAAAATACGATTTATTTTTTCCCCAAATTAATGAGTTTTTTGTATTTTTATTAAATTTTTTTGTGCTTCAGGTTGCTGCTGGTGTTGTTCAGCACTTCGTCCAAGATACAAACGTCTCGTTGATAACATTTTTCCTGTCAATCCTCAGGTAGGTTTTTGTATTTTCTTTAGAATTGAATTTTTATTTTGTACATAGTTTTAAGTTATTTTTTTGTAAATAGTAACTATCTATGAAATTATCGTCTTTAAATTACTTTTATTCGTTGACTCTTCTATTTTGAAGTTTTACCTTTTTTTAAATTTATACCATTTATACTAATTTTAAAATTCTTTTTTTAATTCTTTTTATATTTTTCAACTAGTCTCTACTTATTAGCTTCATTGTTATTCTTGATTTTGTTATTTTCGTATTTCTCAGCTCTTAATTATTTATACTTTTTGCGTTAATTTTTAATTTCTTTTTAAATTTTAATTAATTTTTCTCTGCATTTAATAATTTTAGTCTAGTGTTAATTTTTTTTGTACTCTCTACAGAAATATAAGATTTCGTGACTTTCAAAAAAATGTCCAACTTCTATTTTTTAAATTTTTTATTCAAGTTGAGATTATTTTTTGAGGTGAAAAATTTTTTCTTTCCGTACAATTTTTTTTTGTTCATTTTAGCTGCGATGACGTAATTCGTGACCTTAATTTAATTTTCCAATATTTGTAACATCAAATTTCAAAGAGATGTTCACTTATGTTGTATCATCTAATGAAGATTGAAGATCATCAATTTTTTTTAAATGATAGAGTCATGAAAAAAGAAGTTAAGTTAGATTTTAACATTTCTTGTAAAGCAATTATAACAAATTACATGTAATTAAACATGTTTGTTTATTTTTTTATGTTGAAATTTCAAAAGGCAGAAATTGAATTTTTTTTAACCATTAGTTGGAGAATTTTTCTTCATACCTGAAAATTACAAAGAAATTATCGGGTTTTTCCAGTAAAATTTATGATTTTCGGAGAAAAATTCTATATTTACTATCCTTTATTTTTGAATAAAATATAAAAAAATTAAATTAAAACTATGAAAATTTCGAAGAAAAATTTTATCTTTACTACTTTATTTTTGAATATAATAAATAAAATTAAAAAAAAATTAAAATTCTATTAAAAATATGACTTTATTTTTATTGAATGAGTATAACAGTGAAATTCGAGGTTCCAATAAAAAAATTATTATTTTAGGATGGATTGGTCAAGAATAATATGGAGAAGCTTACATTCTATTCACTGAGCAGTCCGGAAAAATTGGATCGAATTGGCGAATATTTATTTCAACGTGCTTCGAGAGATATTTACAGGTAACAAAAAATTAAATAAATGAAACAAGGAACGACAGGGTTGCCACGGGTCGGGGAATTCAGTAAAAAGTCAGGAATTTTTATTAAAAGTAATGGAAAATTAATTATTAGAATTCACAAGAAAATTCTGAATTTTTTTGTGTATTTTTTGTGTTTGACTCATAAACTATAAAATTACCACGAATTCTAATACAAAACCTTCAATTTTTTTCTATTTCTGGACAATAATTTCTATTTAAATAACTCAATTATTTTTTTCATAAATAATAAAAATTTCACAAGAATTCAATTTTTTTATTTGAAATACAAATATCATAAAATATTTCGAAAAAAATCAATTATTTAAAAAGATTTTTATAACATTCTTCGCAAGAATTAAATTATTTTTTTAAAAAATTCATAAGGTTCTCCGGAAGGATTCAATTATTAATTTATGAAAAATAAAATTATTCTCAAGAAATTCAATTATTTTTAAAAGTTTTAATAAAATTCGTTGCAAGATTCAATTATATTATTATAAAAGTAATAATACTCATCGTAGTATTTCATTTATTTTTAATACCTAAACTTTTATTAAAATTCTTCGCAAGAATTCAAATAATTAAAGAAAAAATTTAGTAAAGTTTTTCACAAAAATTCAATTATTTTCATAAATAACAAAACTCATCGCAGAATTTCAATTATTTTTAATACATTTTTAAACGAATTTCTCCAAAAATGTAATTATTCTTAAAAAATTTATTAAAAATCGTCAAATTCTTGGCAAAATTTCAATTGTTTTCAGAAGTTTTTCCCCATTTCAATGATTTTTAATATCTACTATTTTAATAAACTTTTTCAAAAGAATTCAAAAATAGCAATTTCTATTATTCGAACTTTTGATTATCTGAATCAGATCCTGATGCCTGAATTAGTTCGGATAATTCAGTTTCCACTGAATTTAAAAAATTATGAAATTTTAATAGTATAGTCATTAATGTCTTAAAAATAAATCCGGGAATAATTTAGTTTTAGGTCCGGGAAATCCGGGATTTTGCCGGAAATTTGAAAATCATAATTCACTAGACACCCTGAAAATCCATTGCAAAATTTGGATTATTTTCAAAAGTGATAAAATTCTTCGCAAAAATTCAATTATGTTCAAAAATTTGTTTAAATTCTCGTCAAAACTTCAATTATCTTTAGGAATATTAAAATTCTTCTCCGAAATTCAATTATTCTCAAAAAATCTTTAAAACATTGTCAACATTTCAATTATTTTCATAATTAACAATATTTATCACACGAATTCAATTATTTTCTAAAGTAATAAAATTCAATTATTTTCAAAAATTTTAATAAAATCCCTTGCAAAATTTGAATTATTTTCAAAAGTAATAAAATTCTTCGCAAAAATTCAATTATGTTCAAAAAATTTTTTAAACTCTCGTCAAAAATTTCAATTATCTTTAGGAATATTAAAATTTTTCTCCGAAATTCAATTATTTTCAAAAAATCTTTAAAACATTGTCAACATTTCAATTATCTTTATAAATAAATAGCAAAATTCTTCGACAAAATTCAGTGATTTTTTAAAAAATGTTATTAAAATTCATTAAACTATTTCAATTATTTTCATAATTAACAATATTTATCACACGAATTCAATTATTTTCTATAGTAATAAAATTTAATTATTTTCAAAAATTTTAATAAAATCCATTGCAAAATTTGAATTATTTTCAAAAGTAATGATATTCTTCGCAAAAATTAAATATTGTTCAATATCTACTACTATTGTCATAAAATTTACCAAAAGAATTTAATTATTTAAAAAAAAAATTTAATAAAATTCTACAACAACTTTTAATTATTTTCAAAAAATAATAAAAATTTCACAAGAATTTTATTAATAACAAATTTTTTTTTATAAATTTCTTCGCAATCATTCAACTATTTTCATAATTAATAACATTTTTACCGGGATTCAATTATTTTCGTAAATAATAAAATTCTTTTTAGGAATTCAATTATTTTCAATAGAATTTTAATCGAATTCCTCAAAAAAATTCTTAAAAATTTTATTAAAATTCGTCCAAAAAATTTAATTATTTAAAAATTTGTTGATAAAATTTTTAATTGGAATTGAATTCCAAGAAACATTCAATTGTTCAATAAATTATTTATTTTTGTATTTAAATAATTGAATTCTGGTAGAATTTTCTCATAAACATTTATTTAAAAATAGATTTCAGTTAAAATCTTGGATTATAATAATTGAATTCTTTCGAAGAATTTCATTAAAATTTTAAAAATAATCGAATTTTATTCAGACATTTTTTTAAAATTGTCTTAAAAATAATTGAATTTCTACCAAAAACAGTTTTATCAAAATTTTTTAAAATATTTGAATTTCTGCTAAAATTCTGATATTTTTGAAAATAATTGAATTCTTGCGAAGAATTTTATTAAGACTTTTGGAAATAATTGAATCACTGCAAAGATTTTTATTATTTTACGAAAATATTTAAATTCTTGCGAAAAATTTTATTAATATTTCTGAAAGTAATTGAAGATCTGCTAAGAATTTTGTTATTTTTAATTTATGCCAAGAATTTTATTAAAATTTTTAAAAATAATTGAATTCCTGTTAATTTTTTACAAGAATTTAATTATTTTTGAAAATTTTAATAAAATTCTTCGCAAGAATTCAATTATTTTCATAAATAATAAAATTCAATGCAGAATTTCAATTACTTTATTTATTTTTAATATAATTTTAATCGAATTTTGTCGAAAAATGTAATTATTCTTAAAAATTTCATTAAAATTCGTTGATAGAGTTCAATTATTTGAAAATTTGTTGATAACGATTTTTTATGGGAATTGAATTTTAAGAAACGTTCAATTCTTCAATAAATTATTTATTTGCATTTTTATTTGTATTTAAATAATTGAATTCTAGTAGAATTTTCTAATAAAAATTGATTTTCATTTCATAAAAATGAATTTCAGTTAAAATTTTAGATAATAATTGAATATTAAATGCAATAGAGCGTGAATTTTAAAAAATAATTGAATTTTGTAATTAATTTTTTTGAAAAAGTTTAATTGAGTTTTTTAATATTATTTTTAGTTTCTATTTTCTAGTATTTATTTAATTGAAGAATTTACGAATAATTGAAATTTCGTAAAATTGAATATTGTAAAGAAATGAATTTGAAAATTGTCGAAGAACTTTTTCGAAAATTATTAAAAATAATCGTTATAGGGTAACTGTACCAATTGTCGAGGGTTTTAGGCAACATGTGACTTTGACATTTTTTTCTCGGAAGTAAATGCACTTTAAAATTTGATTTTTGTATATTTGGACGAAGGATCTAATAATGTTTAATATTCATATTTATTTTTTTAATATAAACTAAATTGTTAAGCAAAAAATATATTTAAAAGTCAATCGAGCAAAAGCACCATTTGTCGATGGTCTTGTGCTAATTTCTCGAGGGTCTGTTCCAATTGTCGAGGGTATGACATTTTTAAACATATAACCCAATATAACCTAACAATTAACCTGTACAGATATTAGAAAATCGAGTAGATATTTATTTTTTCGATAAAAATATTATAGAACATTACCAGAAAACAAATATATTTATTTAACTATAATTGAATAATTTATAATATCGATATAAAACATTTTTATAGTAGATGATACAGGACAGAAAATTATTTAACTGTTTTTAAACTTTTATAAATATAAGTTAATTAAATTTAATCAATTTTGTTAATCAGACATTAATTGAAAAAATAAATTAATTTAAGTCACATTAAATTTGTAAACGAATAAAATATACTTTTATTACGAACTGTAAATATAATGGTTAATTATAATTAAACTATAGTACAAAATTTTTTAGTTTTAAATAATGCATTTTTTTATTAATTTTTTTTCGGTCTTCCTCGTTTTTTTGGTTGATTATTTTCTGTTGGTTGTAAATTTTTGGAGCATTTTTTTTCTTTTTCTCTGTACCTATAAATGTTTGGCATTTATGTTTGACGTTTAGTAAATAAACACTTAACCATCGATAAATGGTGTATCAGCGAAAAAAGTGACTACACCAATTTTCGAGTCATTACCTCGAAAAATGGAACTGTCAAAAAAAGGAACCAAATACCGATGATTTGCTTTTAAAAAATATTAAATATTTTTTTTAACAAAAAAACATGCATACAAAATTAATTTAGTTCGTGTACAAAATTATAATAATAATTTTGTACACAAAAAGTCATTATAAATACGTTTAATTTGCATTTCTAAAAATCTGTTTTAATCAACCTGAAGTATTAAGAAAATGGAGATTCGTGTAAATTTCACAGCAGTGAATTATAATATTAATTAAATAATTATTTTAGTAGAATCGCTACGAAATTTGTATATATAAATATACAGTTGAAAATACAAAGATTATTTAGAAATTTTTTTTGTTCTTAAATATTATATATTATACTATTTATCTAAAAAAGAAAATTATTATCCTCGACAATTGGAGCACCCTCGGCAATTGGTGCAGTTACCCTACCTAAAGAAGAATTTTAGATAAAAATTCTTAAAATAATAATTGAATTGATAATGATTTTAATTATTATAAATTATTTTTATTAATAATTATTATTAATTATTATAAAACATGAAGAAATCGATGACTTCGAGTCGAAGACTCGGAGTTATCGATTTCTTCATGTTTTATAGTTATGAAAAATTAAATTTCTAGTTTTAAGTAAAATGTTCTCTTATTTGATTCTTCCTGATTCTATTTTTGTCAGTTGGTCCGTAAATGGTCCGTAATTTTTAATTTTTGGTCCGTAAAGTCCGTATTTTTAAATACTTTCACTGCTTCGAGCCCTGAATTTGAAATTTTTGAAAATCTTATTCTTAGGAAAAAAAATAATAATTAACTATTTATTTAAAAATGAAGTTATTGATTGTTTCGAATAATTTTACAATTAAAGAAATTCGTAAATAAATGTTACAGCACATTTTTTTCAGTATCTAATCATTTTTAGAGTGAATCGCAGAATATATTCTTTAGGGTCAGGGAAAAAGTAAACATTTTTTCTGGAAATTAGGAAAAAACAAAATGAAATTTTTGTGGCAACCCTGAACGAGGATAAAAATAATATCCAACCCTATTTTGAACAAGGGTAATAAGTAACAAACACTGTGCCTAATTGAAGTAAACGACGTTTTTCCAGACGACGCAATGGATTCGTTATTATTGCAATGGAGGCGATGGATCAACTATTAGTAGCATGTCACGCACAAACATTAAATTTATTTGTCGAGAGTTTTTTGAAAATGGTTCAAAAACTCCTCGAATCAACGGATCCACAATTACAAATTTTAGCCACACAATCAGTGAGTTATTTAATTTCCAAGCCAATATGCATTTTATTGCATTTGTCTTCTCCTTTTAAATAGATCATCCTCTTAATATTTTTCAAATTTCATTAATAAAAAAGAAAAAAAAATTGATTCATTGCTTTATTGTATGATTTCGCTATTTTATATATGTTTCTTAATCGTAACTTACTTTACTAACGCCTCTTATTAAGTTGAACAAATTTCTTTCAATTTCTAGTTTGTTAAATTTGCCAACATCGAAGACGACACGCCGTCTTATCACACACGTTACGATTTCTTTGTATCAAAATTCTCTGCGATGTGCCACTCCAATCACGATGATCCCGCCATTCGCAAACAGATACGACTCGCAGGAATACAGGGCTTGCAGGGTGTTGTGAGAAAAACATTGTCCGATGATCTTGTGGAGAATATTTGGGAACCAGTTCACATGGATAAAATTGTTCCATCTCTTCTTTATAACATGCAAAACTCGAGGCAAGTTACAAAATAATGATGAAAACAAAAAAAGAATTTGATTTTACAGGCTTCGCACTCATCTACTAAAACCTACTATTTACTACTTTTTTTACGTTATGCTACTATTTGAGTATTTTTTTAAATTTCAGCCACTAAACGCTACTATTTCTGTTTTTTTTTAGAATTTTCACTACTTTAAATTCGCTGATACTAGAAATCAAAAAACTATTCTCAAAAATTATAATCAAATTCTTTAAATCGATTCAATTATTTTTAAAAAATATTCGAAATTGAATTACTTTCAAAATCGAGTATTTTCATAAAATTTAGTAAAAAAATTCAATTAATTAAAAAAAATTGATAAAATTCAACCAACATTCAATTATTTACATAAATAATCAAATTTCCACAGGAATTCAATTAATTTAGAATAACAATTTGAAAAAATCAATTATTTAACAAAATTTTTATACAATTCTTCAAAATTATTTAATTACTTTCACTAATAATAACATTTTCATTAAAATTCAATTTTTAAAAAAAATTTTTGATAAAATTCTAAGCTTTTTTTTAATTATTTTCATATATAATAAAACTCATCGAAGAATTTCAGTTATTTTTAATACTATTTTTAATTAATTAATCGAAAAATTCAATTATTTTCACAAAAAAAGTTTTCCACAAGAATTCAATTATTAAAAATAAAATGTTCATAATATTTCAGGGTGGCCACATGTCAGTAAAGTCAGTAAAGTCAAGGAAAAAACATTTTGTCAGTAAAGTCAGGGAAATGTCAGGAAAAAAATTTTTTGTCAGTAAAGTCAGGGAAATGTCAGGAAAAATTTTTTTGTCAGGGCAATTAAAGAAGAAGGGAAATGTCAGGAAAAAAAATTTTTTGTCAGTAAAGTCAGGGAAATGTCAGGAAATATTTTTTTTGTCAGGGCAATTAAAGAAATTAAGACGGTCATGCAATACATTTTTTGCTCTAAACAAAAAAATTTTTGTCAGGGAAATTCGTTGTTATGTCAGTAAAATGTCAGGGAAATTGATAAACTCAATCTTGCGGCCACCCAGTATTTATTATATTTCGAAAAAATTAATTATTTAAGACAATGTTTATAAAATGAAATTGTTTGCAACTATTCAATTATTTTCATAAATAATAAAATTTATCGTGGATGTAAATTATTTTTAATACAATTTTACAAGGATTGCTCAAAAAATGTAATTATTTTTAAAAATTTAATTTCAATTCCTCTAAAAAATCAATTATTTAAAAAAATTTTTTTTTTAAATTCTTTGGAAGAATTAAATTATTATTTACATATAAGTAAATATTTCTTCGAAAGAATTCAATTATGTCGATAAATAACAAAATTATTTCCGAAAATTCAATTATTTTGAGTCATTTTAATAAAATTCTTTTGCAAAATTCAATTATTTTCATAAATAATAAATAACAATATTCATCACAAGAATTCAATTATTTTTAAAAGTAATAAATTTCTTCTTGGAAATTCAATTATTTTAAGAAATTCGAATAGGTTCGCAAGAATTCAATTATTTTCACAAATTTTATAACATTTTTCATTGAAATTAAAATTTTCGATAAAATTGTAAGCAGGAATTCAATTATTTTCATAAATAATAAAATTCATCGCATGATTTCAATTATTTTTAATAAAAATAAATGTAGCTCAGTTGGTTAGAGCAGTCTACCGGCAATAGAAAGGTCGTGGGTTCGTATCCCACCATGCCCCCGATTTTTTCCTAATTCTTTGATATTTCAGAAATTATTAATTAATTTCGAAAAATATTTTTCAAGAAGGCAGGTTTCTGTATTTAGGACAGCTGCGCTGTCGATACATGAAATTAAGTGCTGTGTGAGAAGTTGATTCGGAAAGATTGTTAAATTCACCACCTTTAATTATTTTTAATAAAATTTTGCAAGAATTGTTTAAAAAATGGAATTATTCTTAAAAATTTAATTCCAATTCCTCGAAAAAATCAATTATTTAAAAAAATGTTTTTTTTAATTCTTTCGAAGAATTCAATTATTAATTTACAAAAATATTTTAGCATTTTTCACAGATATTGAATTATTTTCAGAAATTTTAATAAAATTGTTAAAAAGAAATCAATTATTTTAATTACAATTTTAATAATTTTTTTTTTAAATTACTCAATTATATTATTTTTGATTTTAATAAAAATGTTTCCAAGAATTCAATTCTTTTTAAACAATTTAATAAAATTTTTCTGAATAATTCAATTATTTTCATAAATAATAAAATTCTTCTCAAGAATTCAATTATTTTGTAAAATTTTAATAAAATCATTTGCAACTATTCAATTATTTTCATAATTAATAAAACTCATTGCAGAATTTCAATTATTTTTAATACAATTTTACAGGAATTGCTCAAAAAATGTAATTATTCTTAAAAATTTAATTTCAATTCCTCGAAAAAATCAGTTATTTGAAAAGATATTTTTTTACATTCTTTAGAAGAATTTAATTATTTACAAAAATAATTATATTATTACAAAAATAATTAATATTTTAATAAAATTCTTTGAACAATTCAATTATTTTCATAAATAACAATATTCATCACAAGTATTCAATTATTTTTAAAAGTAATAAATTTCTTTTTGGAATTTCAATTATTTTAAAAAATTCTTATAAAATCGTTCGCAAGAATTCCATTATCTTCATAAATAATAAAATGCTTTTTAGGAATTCAATTATTTTCATAAAAAAAAAATTAAAATGCCACACAAACATTCAATTATTTTCAAAAATTTTAATAGAATTCTTTGTAAAATTTAATTATTTTTAAAAACTTTTCGCAATTCAATAATTTTTAATATCTACTATTTTCATAAAATTTCTAAACAGAATTCAATTATTTTAAAAAAATTTTGTAAACATCTTCGTTAGAATTCAATTCTTTTCATGAATAATAAAAATTTCTCAAGAATTCAATCATTCACATTAGAATTTGCATAAAATTTGTCGAAAGAAATCAATTATTTAAAAAATTTTATAAAAGTTTTGGCAAGCATTAAATTATTTTTGTAAATATTTAAATTCTTTCACGAATAATAGACTTCGTTGCAGGAATTTAATTTTAAATAAAAATATTAAATAAATTAATATTTTTGATGAAAATTAGGAAAAAGTCAGGAAAAGAAAATTTAGAATGGAATTTTTGTCAGTTTTATGAAGTTTCTAAAACGAGTTTTTTTTTTTGTCGTCAAGTTTAATTTTTGGATACCTATTTTTTTTAGTTTGAAAGCTATACTACTTTTTGCTCCTTTTCAAAATTAATTATCGAATGCGAAGTCTGGATTTACTTTAGGAAATTAAGTTAATTAATTATTTTATTTCAACTAAAGTGGTCGCCGATTAATTTTAAAAAATTGTGATTTTATTTTTTCAAAAAAAAAAACTATTACTTTTCTACATTTATCGATTTTTTGTACAGGTATTTCGAAAAGCCGGATGGAACTCCAGAGAGTCCAACGGAGGAAAGATCGGATCCACCTCAATTTGCAGAGACTTGCATGAGAGAACTGGTCGGTCGCGCTTCCTTCGGTCATATTCGATGTGTCATAAAACCCATTCTAAGGTATTTTTTTCCGATATTCAAAAAATATTACAATTCTTTTTATTAGATACTAAACCTAATGTTTGATTCTTTCAGACATTTGGATCATCATCAGTTGTGGGTTCCCAACTTCTTTGCGATTCATACTTTCCGAATTATTATGTTCTCCATTCAGGTATATTCTTCCTCTACATCTTCTATTTTTTATTTCTAATTTTATAAATGATTAGAATCTAATTTTAAAATTGATCCACTAATTTTGTAAATTTTCTCTTTACCACAGTCACAATATTCCTACACAGTGGTGGAGGCTTTGATGACGCATCTCGACGATCATTCACAGTCGACTCCGAAAATACGAACAAGCATCGCTGATACATTATCGAAGATCATCTCAATTGCCGCCGGTGAAAGTGTCGGTCCATCCGTACTGGAGATAATTAGCTCTCTGCTCTCACATTTACGTGTGAGCGTGACACGTAATCAGGTCTCATCGAGTGACGAGCAACAATATCAAGAGGCTTTAATCAACGCACTCGGCGAATTCGCCAATCATTTGCCCGATTATCAGAAAATTGAAATCATGATGTTCATCATGGGTAAAGTCTCGTACAATCAATCGGATCGAATTAATTCCATTGGCAAGGGCGATGTTCTCCTTCAAAGTATTCTATTGAAATCTCTCCTGAAAGTCGGCACCAAATATCAAACAATACATTTAAATACAACATTTCCGCCTAGTTTCTTGCAACCATTACTCAGAATGTCATTGGCTTCCGACGCTGAAATGCGACTTCTCGTGCAACAAATTTTCCATACTTTGATCGATCGACACCGAAATAGTGCCAAATTTACAAAACCCACGTGAGTTGATATATTTTAAATTTTCCCTTCTTTCCAAAGCTCGAACTAGATTTGTAAATCCCGTAAAGTTACTTAAATTTGCTTCAAGTTCGAAAAAGTCAGTTTTTGTGATAAAAAGGTCCGTAAAGTCCGTAATTTTATTAAAAATTTCGTAAATTGTACGATATAATTTGGAGAATTTTAGAAAAATTATAAATGATTGCAGAAATTCAATTATTTTCAAACGTAATAAAATTCTTCGCAGAAATTCAATTATCTTCAAAAATTTTAAATTTTAATTCTCTTTATAAATAATAAAATTCTTCTCCGAAATTAAATTATTTTCAAAAAATTTAATTCCGAAAGAATCAATTATTTTTTTAAAAAATAAAAATTTCACAGGAATTCAATTATTTAAATAGGTAGAATTTGCATAAAATTTTTCCAAAATTCAATTATTTTCATAAATTTTAAATTTCTTCTCAAGGATTTAATTATTTTCATAAATAATAAAAATTTCAATTATTTACAAATTTTTTGTATAAATTTTTTCGCAATAATTCAATTATTTACATAAATAATTAAAACTTTTACAGGGATCCAATTATTTTCGTAGATAATAAAATTCTTTTTAGGAATTCAATTATCTTTACAAATAATTAAAATTCATCACGGAATTTCAATTATTTTTAATACAAATTTAATCGAATTTCTCGAAAAAATGTAATTATTCTTATAATTTTTATTAAAATTCGTCAAAAGAATTCAATTATTTAAAAATTTGTTGATAAAATTCTTTATTTATATAAATAATTGAATTCTAGTAGAATTTTCTAATAAAAATTGATTTAAAAATGAATTTCAGTTAAAATTTTAGATTATAATTGAATATTAAAAGCATTATAACGTGAATTTTTAAAAATAATTGAATTTTGAAATTAATTTTTTTTAAAAAGTTTAATTCAATTGTTCTTTATTTTATTTGAAGATTTAATTTTCTAATGTATAATTTAATTGAAGAATTTCGGAATAATTGAAATTTTGTAAAATTGAATTGTAAACTAATGAATTTGAAAATTTTCAAAGAACTTTCTCAAAATGTATTATAATAAGTAATGCCTATAGAAGAATTTTAGTTAAAAAGACTGAAAAAAAATTAATTTTGGAGAAGTTACAAATTATTTTAGAAATTCAATTATTTTCATAAATAATATAACTCAATGCAGAATTTCAATTATTTTTAATACAATTTTAATCAAATTCCTCGAGAAATGTAATAATTCTTAAAAATTGTAGTAAAATTCGTCAAAAAAATTCAATTATTTAGAAACCAATCAAAATTCTTGTTATAAAATTCTTTTGAAACAATTCAATTATTTTTTTCAAATATTTTTGGAAAATTTTTCGCAAGAATTCAGTTATATTTACACAAATAATCTTCGCAAAATTTCAATTAGAATAAAAAAATTTTCACAGAAATTCAATTATTTGAAATACAATTTTCAAGAAATAAAAATTTTTCGAAAGATATCAATTATTTATAATACAATTTCAATTAAATTATTAGAAATAATTGAATTATTCTTTTAAATTTTTATAAAATTTTTCAAAAAAATTCAATTACCTAAAATATTTCAGTAAAATAGTTTAAAATAAATTATTTTTAAAAATGTTGATAACATTTGTTTATAAGATTTAAATTAACTCCATAAATAATAGAATTCATGGCAAGAATTTAATTATTTTTAATACAATATTTATTAAATTATTCGAAATAATTGAATTGTGCTTTTAAATATTCATAAAATTCTTCAAAAAAATTCAATTATTTTTACAAATAACAAAAATTTTTCATAGAATTAAATTATTTTTAAGAAATTTAATACAGTTCGTTAAAAGAATTAAATTATTTTCATAAATAATAAAATCCTTTAGAGGATTTTTATTATTTTTAATACAATTATTTTAAATAAATTTCTCGAAAAATATTATTATTTTCAAAATTTTTATTAAAATTCTTTGAAAGAAATTAAATTCTTTCATAAAATTCTTTATAAGTATTAAATTTTAAGAAATAATTATTCAATTACTTATTTATTTTCGTATTCGAGTAATTGAATTCTTGTAGAACTTTCTAAAAAGATTTGATTGAAAAATAAATTTTAGTCATAATTTTAGATTATAATTGTATATTAAAAGCATTATAGTGTGAATTTTTAGAAATAATTGAATTTTTTTTAATGTTATTTGAAGTTTTTATTTTCTAATATTTTGAAAAATTTCCTAATAATTGAAATTTCGTAAAATTGAATATTGTAAACAAATAGATTTGAAAATTCTCAAAGAACTTTTTCGAAAATTATTAAAAATAATCGATTTAAAGAAGAATTTTAGTTTAAAATTCTTGAAAATAATAATTGAATTGATAATGATTTTATCACTCGGTCATCTTAAATTATTACAAAACATGAAGAAATTGATGACTCCGAGTCGACTCGGAGTTATCGATATCTTCATGTTTTATAGTTATGAAAAAATTTAATTTATAGTTTTAAGTAAAATATTCTCTTATTTGACTCGGACTGGTTATATTTTTGTCAGTAATTGGTCCGTAAATGGTCTGTAATTTTTCGTTTTTGGTCCGTAGAGTCCGTATTTTTAAATACTTTCACTGGTTCGAGCCCTGCTTCTTTCGTATAGTATTCTGTATTTTAAATTATATATCATTTTTTTTCAGAATTAACATTCTGGAGCTGGATTTAATGATAGAGAAATGCTCTCGTCCTGACGTGATATTCATACGGAAGCACGGTCCGGAAATTTATATGGCACTTTATGAATCTTTGGAAATGACAAACAATTCAGTGGAAAATATTGAATCGATCTACACGACCCTCGCACTATTGGCCGTTGAATTAGCCTCCGAGGAGACTATTCTCGAACTCCTGAGGCTTGTTCTAAGTCTTCAAGATCTTGCTCTCACAAGTGGACAAATCACAATGGCAGTCAAATTCAATCTTCACGCAATCGTCATTTCCCTTCTTGTTCTCATTTCCTACGTTTGTAATATTTCATCTCTCATGGATTATGCCTCAAAGGTACGTTACAATCTATAATTTATATATGAAAGAAAAAATTAACAACATAGATTACATTTATTCAAGAATTTATATATTAACAAATTTTATTAAACGTAAAAAATAGAATTTGGTATTTAGGGAAATTTTTACTAAAATTATTTCAAATATTAAATTAATTTAAAATTTGCTATTAAAGTAATCAAAAAAGAAATTAAAACCTATTAATAAAATATTGATAAATTCAGGGTGTCTACTAACCGGGAAAACCGTGAAATAGCCGGGAATTCTAAAAAACAATTCAATTATTTTCAAAAGTAATAACATTTTTCGCAGAAATTCAAATTATGTTGAAAATTTTTTTTTATTTCTCCTAAAAATGTGAATTATCTTTATAAATAATTGAATAATGAATTGTTTTTTTTCCACAATTCAATTATTCTCAAAAATTTTAATAAAATTCTACGCAAACATTTAATTATTTTCATAAATATGTAGTAACATTCTTAGGAAGGAATCAATTACTTTTATAAATAGTAAAATTCTTTGCAGAAATTCAATTAGTATCAATACATTTTAATAAAATTGAATTAATCTTTTCAATTATAAATTTATAATTATGAAAAGACAAGATTATTTTAAAAAATTGAAAAAATTCTTTGTTTAATTCAATTATTTTCCAAATTTTTAATTAAAATTATTAAAAGAAACATTATTTTCAAAAAATTTTAAAAAACTCGTCAAAAGAATTTAATTATTCGTAAAAACTCTAATAAAAATTTTGGAAGCCATTTGTAGATTTATTTATGTTCGAAATAAAATAAATTTAAATTTGACGAGAAAAAAACTGGGAAAAATTAGTACAAAGCCGGGAAATATCTGGGAATTTTGTTGAACGAAAATAGTAGACACCTTGAAATTTCTATCTTTTTCCGTGCGATGAATTATTCGTATTTTCTCTTTAGTCGGTACAGTATAAAATTTTCCATGTTTTCAAGAAACAAAATATTTTGAAAAGGTTTAATACACAGATATGAACAATTTGAAACAACTTTTTATTAGAAAATACAAGGTACTAAGTAAAGTGAATTTTTATTCGTCACATTTTCTTCAGACAAGATTTTCGAAGTCAAGTGAATCTGAAAATAAAAGAATTTCATTTTAGTGACAGTGGAGAAAAAATTTAAAATTATGTTTTGATTTAAAAACAGGTGGTCGATGAAAGATTGAAGGAAGCGATATACTTACTGCCGGATTTACGTTCTCAATACGACATCAATTTACCGTCGCGAATTCCTCCAGCTTTGCTTGTGGATCAAACGGTCGTGAGCGAATGTCTCAAGGGCTTGGGTCTTGAAACGGGAAAGCTTCATCAGGGCTCCGGATATAGCGGAAGTTCCATGCAACACAGACATTCCTGGGTCGATAGCGCTGGCAGAAATTCATTGGCGGACATCAACAATGGCACAAACGAAGTCGACAGCGGTGGTTCTTCTCCTGGCGTTCAAAAGGTGCTGAAAAATGATAAAAATAATAGTGATAACAATTACAATAATAATTCATAATTCTACTTTATATTACTAAATTAATTCTCAACATAAATTTTTATTTTTCCCCTTTTCCAGAAATTACCAGGGGAGGAATTAACTTTCGAGAATATGAAACGAATTTTAACGGAGAATAATAATAATAATCAAATTGTCGAGGAAGAAAAGCGTGTGCAAATCTCGCAGCTATTTCAAAGTGCACCCTTTGAAGATCTAGTCAATAAAACACAACCGAAGGTAATAAATTTTCATTTCTTATTACAAATTTTATCAAGAATATATTACTGACAATAAAAATGAAATTTTTATTTTATTTTAGAACGATGCCTTACAGAACAAACTTTCCGAGATATTTAACACTTTAACAATTGAGCCGAAAATTCCCATAACACAAGGTACAACACCATCGGATTCCAAGCCGACACAACTCCCTGCGTATGAAATTCATTTTCCCGAATTATTTGTCTATTAAAAATTCTTTATACAATTGTTTATTAAATTTCAAAGAAATTCTTTTAAAAATTTTCGTCACAAATTGTGATGAATTGACAAAAAATAAATATATATTTATTTATTATTTCGATCATGTCAAAACATATATACCTATATATAAAAAATTATGAAATGACAAATGTATTGTAAATATAATTCTTTTAGTTCAATGTAAAGTATTTACATTCGTTTATTTATTTTGTTATTTGTTAAGGAATGATGAAAAAAACTTGTTAAATACTGTTACAAAAACAAAGTGTTGCGTAAGAAAATGTATAAATAATATTGTTCTTCTTTAAGGTGTTGTTTAATTCTAAGAATGTTAATATAAGTACAAGAGTAACGATATTTATCACAAATTTGTGATAAGTATTATTATTTATTCACATTATTAGAATGTTCACAAAAGTCGAAAATTTCTTTTTAATAAATGGTATTTTTCTTAAATATATGCTTCAATTTATTCAGGGTTGCCACAGGTCAGGAAAAGTAGAATTGGTCAGGGATTTTTATTAAAAACTCTGGAAAAAATTAAATGTTTAGAATTTATAAGAAAATTATGGATTTTTGTGTCTTTTTGTTTGCCTCATAAACTATGAAATTACCACGAATTCTAAAACACTTCAAATTTTGTCTACTTCAATTATTTTCAAAAATAATAAAGTTCAATTATTTTTAAAAATTTTAATAAAATTCATGTCAAATTTTTAATTATTTTTAAAATGTTACATTAATAAATTCAATGATTTTTAATATTTTACTATATTAATAAAATTTCCCAAAGGAATTCAATTATTAAACATAAATTTTGATAATATTCTATACAAACATTCAATTATTTTCAAGAAAGTAAAAATTTCACAGAAATTCATTTATTTAAAATAGAATTTGCATAAATTTTTAGGAAAAAATCAAATGTTTAAAAATTTTACATTAAATTCTCCGCAATAATTCGATTATTTTCATAAATTTCACAATTCTTTTTAGGGATTAAATTATTTTCATAAATAATAAAATCATTTGGTGGAAGTCAATTATTTTCATAAATAACAATATTCATTACAAGAATTCAATTATTTTCAAAAGTAATAAAATTCTATTATTTTCAAAAATTTTAATAAAATTCATTTCAAAATTTCAATTATTTACAAAAAATTTTTTTAGTTAATAATTCGTACATTTATTATTTTATTAAAATTTCCCAAAAGAATTCAATTACTTAAAAACAATTTTAATAAAATTCATTGCAAAATTTCAATTATTTTCTACAATAATAAAAATTTTACAGGAATTTAATTATTAAAAATAGAATTATCATAAAGTTTTTCGAAAAGAATCAGTTGTTTGACACTTTTTTTTATAAAATTCTTCACTATAATTCAATTATTTTCATAAATAATAAAACTCATTATAGAATTTCAATTATTTTTAATTCAATTTTAAATAAATTCCTCGAAAGAATTCAATTATTTGAAAATTTGTTGATAAAATTATGTATTTTTCGGTATTTTAAGGAACATTTAATTATTCAATAATTAATTTTAAAAATTAATTTCAATTAAAGTTTTAGATAATAATTGAATTTTTGAGAAGTTACTAATAATTTTAATTTTTAGAAATAATTGAATTTTGTAATGCTTCCAAATTAAAATCTTTGAAAATTTAAAAAGAATTTTATGAAAAATTATTAAAAATACTTGATTTAAAGAAGAATTTTAATTACAAATTCTAGAAAATAATAATTGAATTGAAATAATGAAAATAATTTTAAAGAAGTTACAGTAACAATATTCTTATATTATAAATATTAAATCATGATTTTATCACTATTAGAGGTGATAAAAATAATATTTCTTTGATTATCTAATCATTTTTAGATTTTTTGTTTTTTACGCATATATTATTGTCAAATTATAATAAATAATTACATTATTTAGTAAATTAACTTACTTTTAAATTTATTTTTTTTTTACATATTTAGGATTTCAACATTCTTTTTAGTATAATACAAATATATAAGTATTTTATTTCTATACTTATTATATAAATTATTTATTGTAATGATAAGAAATTTGTAAAATTAGGTTATGTTAAGATAAATTATTAGTTCAACACACTTTTTTAATTACAAAGAACGAAAAAAAAAATATTTTGTTTTTTAGAAGATAAAAAAAATTTTCTTTCAACTATTTTCTCAGGAAATTATAAAAATTTGGAATGTGACCTAGACAGGTAGCGCCCCTGACGGTCGCTATAGCAGTCGAAATTTCTTTTCCGACGGGACCACATTTTTTCGGAAACCGCATTTCGGTGGCATCAAATCTCGAGGTAAGTAAATTTTTATGTCATAAAACGAGACTTTATACATGAAATATTTAAAAATCTACAATAAACAATTGTCCCTAAAGTTTGTTACATTCGTTTTATTCCATTTTCTTCAAGTTTTCGTATTTTCATTTCACAGAAAACGCAAACATGGGCGTGAGAGTGGAATCGATTACACCTGGCGATAGTAAGTATTTACGTGAATTATATCACACGATTTTCTATTTCTGTCTCAACTACTATTATTCCTCTGCACGCTTACTAAGCTTTAAAAATTTATTTTTCTAAAATTTACTTCTACCGTACATTTCATTTTACCAAGTACTTTAAAAATTTATAAATGAATCTTTCTATATATATGCGTATAAAAGATCATCAAGTATAATTTTTCCGGCTCCAGCAGCGCTTTCTTTTTCTCGTAAGACAATTTTTTTTTGTCAATCTTTACTTCCTTAATTTCAATATAAAGGAGTTAAAAAAAATTGTGGACAAATAAGAACAAATTAATAATAATAATTTTATAAATTTAAATTTTTTCCTCTTCCTCTCCAGGCAGAACTTATCCCAAGACTGGACAAACCGTTGTCGTACACTATACAGGTATGTAAACTTAAATTTTTTACAAAACCTCTTTAGAATCATAACCTCGAAATTGTATTTCGAATCACGATTCTACTAATATTTCCGGTTAATAAAAATTTGATTGAAAGAGTTAAAATATTGCATAACATAGATAAAAAAATACAGAAAATTAAAAATTACGATAATAATTCTAGTATTAAAAAAAATTTAATTAAATTTCTTTGAATTTCGTATGAACTTTAATAATTTTCCTGTCAATAATAAAATTATCAGGACTCGAACCAGGTCCGTAAATTCCTTAATGGTGCGTAAATTTGCTTAAAATCCGTAAAAGTCAGTTTTTTTGAAAAAAAAAATTTCAATTATTTTCAAAAATTTTCCTCAATTCAATGATTTTCAATTTCTACTATTTTCATAAAATTTGCCAAAAAAATTCAATTATTTAAAAAAAAATTAATAAAATTCTACTCAAACCTTTAATTATTTTCATAAAATAATAAAAATTTCACGGAAATTAAATTATTTACAAAATTTTTTATAAACTTCTTCGCAATCATTCAATTATTCATAAATAATAAAATTTTTACAGGGATTCAATTATTTTCGTAAATAATAAAATTCTTTTTAGGAATTCAATTATTTTCATAAATAATAAAACACATTGCAGAATTTCAATTATTTTTAATACAATTTTCATCGAATTCCTCCAAAAATGTGATTATTCTTAAAAATTTTATTAAAATTCAAATTTTATTCCAGATTTTTAGAAAAATTTTTATTTCATTTTCTAGAATTTTGAACTAAAGTTTTACTCAAAACTTTAATTATTTCTCAAATTATTTAGATATATAATTATTGAATTATTTTTATGAATGGCACATTTTTCGATAGAATTCAATTATCTTCAATACAATTTTTATAAAATTTTTCAAATGAATTTAATTATTTTAAAAAAATTTAATATTAATTAGAATATTTTTTAATAAGAAATCAATTACTTTGAATACAATTTTATTTGATTTATTCCTAGAAAGAATTATAATTTTCTTCGCAAGAATTCAATTATTTTCAAAACTTTTAATAAAATTCTTCGCAGAAATTCAATTATTTGCAAAAATTAATAAAATTATTCACAGCAATTCATTTATTTTCCAAAAATAATGAAATCCTTCGAAGGAGTTCAATTATTTATTTAAAAAAATAAAATTCTTCACAGGAATTCAATTATTTTCAAAATTTATTATAAAATTCTTCGCAGGAATTAAATTATTTTCAAAAATTAATAAAATATTCACAGGAATCCAATTATTTTCAAAATTTATTAAAATTATTCGCAGGAATTTAATTATTTTCAAATTAAAATTCATTCATTCGAAAAAATTGAATTACATATTTAAAAAATTTTTAATAAAATTTTTTATGGGAATTCAATTTTCAGAAACATTCAATTATTCAATAAATTATTTATTAATTTGGTTTTTTTATAATTTAATTCTCTTAAAATTTTCTAAAAAAATTTGATTTAAAATTGAATTTTAGTTAAAATTTGAAATAATAATTAAATATTAAAAGCATTATAGAGTAAATTTTTAGAAATAATTGAATTTTGAAAAGGTTTCAATTAATTTTTTTCGGAATCTTAAAGAAATCAAAGGTAAGATTATTTTAGTGTTTATTTCATTCAATTCTGTGAAGCTATTCAAAAGTTATTCAATTATTATTTAATAACTTTTTTGTTTATAAAAATATTGTATAAACATAATATAAAAAACTTTTTCGTTTTTTTATGCTGAATTTTCTCCAAAAAAAATTAAGTGATTTGGTTGAGATGGAAAGAAGATATAACGATTTCAAAATTTTTCCAAAATTTTGACATCTCAAAAACTACTGAATATTTTGACGTAATATTTGGTGGAAATATTTCTTTTTATGTGTAGATTAAAATTCCTAAATTTCATTGCAATTGGTTTACTTACTCCGAAAAAACTAAAATCTCCCATGGAATCGCACTTAATTTAATTTTTTTATATTATTTGAAGTTTATATTTTCTAAAATATATTTAATTGAAGAATTTACAAATTATTGAAATTTCGTAAAATTGAATATTGCAAACAAATAGATTTGAAAATTGTCAAAGAACTTTTTCGAAAATTATTAAAAATAATCGATTTAAAGAAGAATTTTAGTTTAAAATTCTTGAAAATAATAATTGAATTGATAATGATTTTATCACTCGGTCATCTTAAATTATTACAAAACATGAAGAAATTGATGACTCCGAGTCGAAGACTCGGAGTTATCGATATCTTCATGTTTTATAGTTATGAAAAAATTTAATTTATAGTTTTAAGTAAAATATTCTCTTATTTGACTCGGACTGATTATATTTTTGTCAGTAATTGGTCCGTAAATGGTCTGTAATTTTTCGTTTTTGGTCCGTAGAGTCCGTATTTTTAAATACTTTCACTGGTTCGAGCCCTGAATCATGCAAAATTACTAAAAGGACGAATAGGTATTTTTATTTCGATTAAAAAATTTGATTTTTTAGTAAAAAATGTAATAAAAATATATTTCTCCTTAAAAAATGAAATTGAAACAAAAAATTGTTTAACAAATTTTTAAAAAATTTCAATCAATAAATTGTATAAGTATACACATTCTGCTTGGTCGTGACTGCATAAAATTTTCCATGTTTTCAAGAAAAAAATTATTTTTTTTAAGGGTGAAACACAAAGAAACAATATTTAAACAACTTTTTATTAGAGAAAATATACATTTAAAGATACGAAATAAACAAATGGTTTGTAGGTACTTTAAAGGACGGTAAAAAGTTCGATTCCAGTAGAGACCGAGGTGTGCCATTCAAATTCAAGATCGGCAGAGGCGAAGTTATCAAAGGTTGGGATGAAGGCGTTGCTCAAATGAGTGTCGGACAACGTGCAAGATTAATTTGCTCTCCAGATTACGCTTATGGTTCTCGAGGACATCCTGGAATATATCCTTTTACTACTTTATATTCTAGAACCATATTCTCGTCAAATTTAATTTAAAAATCACCAAAATTAATTTCTATACATAGTTTATTATTTTTTTAAATAAGCGTACAAAAAGACATACATTCAAAGCCTTTGCGACCTATTAAAAAAATATTAATAAACTATAATAATTTTGTATTTTCAAACATTAGAACAAAATTTAATGGAAATATTCTAAAAAATATTTTTTTTTTCACTTTTCGCTATTTTTTTTACGTTACCATAAATTTAGTTTCATATAAAGCAATCATTTCAGGTCACTGCTTTTGTGTGATCTATTTATAACTTGAATGTGTTATATCTTGAATGTATTTCCAACAGGTAATCGAGTTTTGCTGCATTGTAAAAAAATTCCATTAAATTTTATAGTAAGAGATATAAAGACTAAAACATTATAAATATTATTAAATTGAAGAATCGAAAAATTAACAATTTTACATCACAAAAACTAAGAATAAAATTTTTTTTTAATTTTAAATAGAAAATCGTAAAAATATAAATTTTAATTATGTTTATAAATATTTTTATATTAATATAATATTTATAATTAATATATTCTCCTTGACAAAAGCACACTATTCCGCCCAATGCTGAGCTCACCTTCGATGTTGAGCTGATAAAAGTGGAACCATGAACATCCTCTCCTGAAAAAAATAAAAATCGACCAAATTTCCTCGATTTCAACAATCACGGAATTTTAAACTGTAATAAAAATTGCATTTTACTATCGGGTTTATTGAACCTTGTGTTTAGGAGATTTCCTCAAATATAGACGGCGCACTTAATCACTAAAAAATTTAATTAATCTTCAATTTCTTAATTAAATAAAAAAAACCCAATGAAAAATGAAGAACTTAAAAATTTTTCCTAAAACAAGGTCGATATATAAGATATTTTCATGAATTTCTAGAATCTGAAATGTTAACAACACTTTTTCTTCACTATATCATTAAATTACATTTTCCAAAAGTCAAAACAAAATATAAAAATATATATATGTACTTTGTTCATTCCAATTTATTCTTAGCAATTTTGTAATCTTCTAGTGCATTTTGTACAAAGAAAAAAAAATTTGCATTCAATCAGTAATAATTATGATCGTTTGTATCAATTCTGTAAACTACAATAAAAGCTGTCTTAATCTTAAACAATTAAAAATTATTACCTCAAATTTAATCAATATTATTTTCCTTTTACCCTTCAGGGTTGCCAAAAAAATGTAATTTTGTTTTTCCCTGACTTTTCACTGGTTTCCAGAAAAAAAGTTTGAATTTTTCCCTTGACCCTAAAGAATATTCTGTGATTCACACTAAAAATGATTAGATATCCAAAAAAAATTTTCTATTACATTTATTTACGAATTTCCTTAATTGTAAAATTATTCAAAACACCTTTAAAATTATTTTCATCATTCCACTTCAATTATTATTTTCTACAATTTTTAAATAAAATTCTTCTTTAAATCGAATTATTTTAAATAATTTTTGAAAAAGTAGGTACTTTTTTGAGAATAATTTTCAAAATCATTTGTTTACAATTCAATTTTACGTGAAATTTCAATTTATTCGGAAATTCTTCAATTAAATATACATTAGAAAATAAATAGTTTGAATATCTAATTTTAAAAAATGCTTTTTGAAAAAATTAGTTTCATAGAATTTTTAATTAAAAGTAGGAAAAATTCAAATTTTCAAAGATATTAATTTGTAAGCTTTACAAAATTCAATTATTTCTAAAAATTGCAATTATTAGTAATTTCTCCAAAATTCAATGATTATCTCAAACTTTAACTGAAAGTAATTTTTAAATTAATTTTCATTAGAAAATTCTGCGAGAATTCAATTATTTAAATACAAAAATAAATAATTTATTGAATAATTGACTGTTTCTTAAAATTCAATTCTCATAAAGAATTTTGTCAAAAAATTAAATAATTAAATTTTTTCGATGAATTTGTCGAAATTGTTTTTAAATAATTGAATTCTTTTGGGAAATTTTATTAAAATAATAGATATAATATATACAAATCATTAAATTAGAAAAAAAAATTTGAAAATAATTAAATTTTATTACTTTTGGAAATAATTGAATTCCTGTGATGAATATTGTTATTTATGAAAATAATTGACTTCCTCCGAATGATTTCATTGTTTATGAAAATAATTGAATTTTATTACTTTTGCAATGAATTTTATTAAAATTCCTGAAAATAATTGAATTTTGTCATTTTGCTATTCATTTATAAAGATAATTAAAATTCCGACGACAATTTTTGTTAGTTTTTTTGAAAATAGTTGAATATTGCAAAAATCAATCATTTTCATAAATATTCATCACAAGAATTCAATTATTTTCAAAATTAATAAAATTCTTCCCAAAAGAATTGTCAATTATTTTCATAAATAATTCATCACAAGAATTGTCATTATTATCAAAAATTTTTAAAAAAATTCTTGCCAATGTTTCAATTATCTTTATAAATATCAAAATTCAATTATATTCAGTAATTTTTATAAAATTCAATTATTTTCATAAGCAACAATATTCATCAGAAGAATTCGATTATTTTCAAAAGTAATCAAATTAAATTTTTTTAATTAAATTTAATCTGAAAATTCAATTGTACTTCGCCGCCTCGTCCTCTAGATCACACAGGTAGTACCGTGGTATTATACGTTCCGCCACAATAATTTCAAAGTTAAAAACTTTTAGCGCCTCCAACAGGTGGCGTCCTATTATCTAGCCCTCTGCTCGTCATTACGTTGTATTGTGCGTTCCTTGCAACATCGCGTCTCTCGTTGTTAAAAGAAAAATGAGTTCATCGTCAGGAGAAAATTCATCATCCGAGAGTGACCGTCGTCATCATAAGAAGAGGAAAAGGAGCTCATCGAAAAACATCGATCGAAAAATAAAGAAGGCGAAAAAAGAACTTAAGAAACTCAAGCGTGCTCGATCACGCACTCGCGCGAGTTCATCGTCATCAGCCAGTTCACGATCAGTGTCGCCTAAAACGGTAAGATCAAACAAGAGGCATAGCCCGAGAGGCAAATCTCCTCTCCCTTACAGGAAAAAAGACGGACACGACAAACGATCTCGAGACCGAGAGTCCAGATCGCCCGGAAGGCGAAGTAAAGAACGTACCCCGCGAGGGACGCCGTACTTCAGTCCCGGCAAGAAACAGCGAGAGGTTAGTCCTAGAGATAACCCAAGCACAGTTTCAGGAAGTCGCTCGCGATCCAGAAGTTTTTCCCGTTCTCGATCCATAACCCCATCAGGAAATTCGTCAAAAAATTCGCACCGTTCACATCAAAAAACAAATCAAGATGGCGGCGAAAACGTGGCCAAAAAAGACGCCAGTTCTCTGTCGGTAACAGCTGAAAACTCAATGCTAATGTTGTTAGGGGAGGGCGCGCCAGAGGACGCGCATCCCAGCGAACCGATACATAACACTGTTGCTGATCTGTGGATAAAAATATTACAATTTGGATTGCCGCCAGATGCCTCTAAAGCGCTAATAAAAAAATATCAGCTACCAGAAAACTGTTTGCTGATGGGAGCGCCTCAGCTGAACCAGGAAATAAAATCTGGTATGGGAGTGACAGCCTTAAAAAAGGATCAACACCAAGTGACAGCTCAAAACAAACTCGGTGCTGCGATTAGTGCCTTAGGTCAAGTATTAACAGTAGTGCTACAAATTAAAAAAGAATCTAAAGATCTTGACGCCGCTACATTGGTGAGCATATTTTCGACATTGTGTGACATCGGCAGAATATTGACCGATATCCAGCATGGCCTGTCGATGACGCGGAGGTCATTTATAGTGCCGACGTTTAGCATCTTGTTAAAACAAATAGCCGATGTAACGCCAGTGGACACTTATCTTTTTGGCGAAAACTTATCGGAGAAACTTAAGTCTGCGAAGGAAGTGGAGAAGTCCGCGAAAGACATCACCAAATCCAACCAAAGTTCAAGTAAAAGTTACGTGAACAACAAGGAGAAGTTTGCGGGGCCGCCAAAAAATAAGAGCAATTTAAACTACAAAACCCCCTCCTCCAAGAAGAACTATCCGAACACGAATTTGAGGAAGAGGGGGCAAGAATCGAGGACACCACGCAACCAGCCATATCGTCGTCAAAGGACCCAGTGGTAAGTTATAAAGCAGGTCGAATAAAATATTTTATTAGCGAATGGGAAAAGCTGACACTCGATCCCTCCATACTGAAATGCGTTCAGGGTTACAGTATACTTTTTGATAGCACTCCGACGCAGTTGTTTAAACCAACAGAACCTCAACTTTCCGTTGAAGAATGTGTCAGGATGGTAAAAGCCATTTCCCACATGCAAGAAATAGGTGCTGTTTTCCCATGCGACCCGTGCGAAGGTGAATTTTTATCTTCTTTTTTCTTAAGGCAAAAATCTAACGGCGATGACCGATTTATTTTAAACCTTAAGAAACTGAACAAATTCATCACAGCAACTCACTTTAAGATCGAGGACCTTAAAACAGCCTTGCGGCTAGTAAGTAGAAATTGTTTCATGTCGGTGATTGATATCAAAGATGCTTATCTTATGATACCAATAATAAAAGAACATAAAAAATTTCTCAGATTTCGTTTTCAGGGGGTCACTTACGAATTTAGTTGCTTACCTTTTGGGCTTTGTACAGCACCACTGGTTTTTACAAAACTATTAAAGCCGGTGGTACAAGTACTAAGAAACCAGGGCATTGTCTTAGTCATCTACTTGGATGATATACTAATCATCGCTGAGACTGAGAAGCAATGTGGGAAAAACGTCACGATAGTTCGATCTCTTCTTAACAAACTGGGGTTCGTTATAAGCGAGAAGAGTCAACTCAAACCTTCAAGAATATGCACGTTTTTAGGTTTCGTTATAGATAGTGAAGCATTTTGTGTTCGACTAACAGATAAAAAACGAGTATCAATAGATCAAAAAATTCAAATCTTTTTAGGTAAAAAGACCTGCAAAATAAAGGAGTTAGCTCAATTTCTCGGAACATTGGTGGCTGCCTGCCCGGGAATCAAATACGGGTGGCTCTACACCAAAAGGTTAGAACGCGAGAAATATTTAGCTTTAGGAAATTGCGGTAATAATTTTAATGCTACCATTTCCCTCCCTAACCTGATTCAACCTGATTTGCAGTGGTGGTCTCTTAACGTAAAAACATCAACCAACCCAATCAGAGAATCTAAATTTGCAATTGAAATTTTCACAGACGCTTCGCTAACAGGTTGGGGCACGTTCTGCGATGGAAAAGTGGCTAACGGTCTGTGGAGCAAAAAGGAGCAGGAACTCCATATTAACGCATTAGAATTGATGGCCGCGTTTCTAGGGTTAAAATGCTTCGCCAAAAATTATTCTGAGTGTGAAATCCTCCTTCGTATGGACAACACGACGTCCATTGCCTATGTAAATAGAATGGGTGGGATTAAATACCCTAAGTTAACCTATCTTGCCAGTGAAATCTGGAAGTGGTGCGAGAAAAGAGACATATGGGTCTACGCGTCTTATCTACCGTCAAAAGCCAACGTAGATGCAGATGAACAGTCACGTATCCTTCCTGAAGAAACGGAATGGGAACTGTCAGATAGGTCATTCAAAAAATTAGAAAGAGAATTAGGGCCATTTAATATAGATCTGTTTGCGTCTAGAGTCAATGCCAAATGTAGGAAGTATGTGTCCTGGAGACGAGATCCAGACTCCATACTTGTCGACGCTTTCACTATGGATTGGCGAGATCAGCTTTTCTATGCATTCCCTCCTTTCGCACTTATCTTGCGAACCCTTCAAAAAATAAAAATCGACCAAGCCGAAGGCGTGGTTGTGGTACCAAGGTGGCCTACCCAGCCTTGGTACCCATTATTCATGTCTTTAGTCGTATCAGAAATTATTACTTTCAAGCCAAGTAAAAAACTTCTTTCTTCCCCTCACAGAGATCTACATCCGCTTCACCACAGCCTTTCCCTGGTAGCAGCTCGCTTATCAGGGACGGTTTCAAAAGCAGAGGTGCGACAGAGGAGGCTGCAGAGATAATGGCGAAATCAATCACGGAGAAAACCATGAAGCAGTATGCAAAACCGATCCATCTATGGTGGGAACATTGTCGAGACAATCGCTGCAGCCCGTTTCATTGTTCGACGTCAGAATGCCTAAAGTATTTTACGAAAATTAACGAGAGCACAAAATCCTACAGTACTCTAAATGTACATAGAGCAGCTCTCTCACTTCTTATGGGCAATGAGCTTGGAAATAACGCAAGTATTAAAAGATTCTTCAAGGGTATTGCTGTCCTAAAGCCGCAGAAAGCAAAATATAATACCACCTGGGACCCGAAGCCGGTGCTGGATTACCTCTCATCTTTTTATCCTATTAACAATCTTACACTCGAAAAATTAACGAAAAAACTGGTTACAATACTTGCCTTGTGTACTGCACAAAGAATCCAAACTCTAACGCTGATTGAACTACAAGACATTAATCTGAGAACAGAGCCTATTACAATAAAAATCCCCGCACGAATAAAAACGACGAGGAGAAATGGCTACCAACCTTGTCTACAAATCCCGACCTTCACAGATAAACCTGAAATATGCGCCGCTACCACGCTTCGAGAATATATCCAAGTAACCAAGGCACTTAGACAAGGCAACCAGGAAAATGGAAAACTACTCATTACCGTCAATAAACCGCATCGACCTGCAACTGCTCAAACAGTCAGTCGCTGGATTAGGGACACTCTACAAGCCAGTGGTATAGATACGGAGACATACACCGCTTATAGCACTAGGCATGCGTCAACGTCAACCGCTGCCCGTCGAGGTGTAAACGTCGACTTAATTTGCAAAGCAGCTGGTTGGACAGCGAATTCTTCAACGTTTGCACGGTTTTATAACCGTCCCATTGTAAGTGAGGCTTCTTTCGCAGAAGCAGTCATTAGAAATTAAAAAAAAAAAAGAAAAAAAAAAAAAAAAAATCCTTTTATTTTATCACTATAATAATGTTTAAATAATCAAACGAACTGTTTCGTATTTATATATTTCGTATTCTTACAACATTGTTTCTAAAATATAATTAATAAAAATTATATGTTTAATTCAACAAAAACGCAAAACAGAAAAATCATTATTCACTTTAAAAATCTACCTGTGTGATCTAGAGGACGAGGCGGCGAAGTACAATTGAACGATTGAACGAACTTACCTAAAGTGAAGTTCAATCATAATTGTATAAGCCGCCTCGTCCTCTAGATCAAACCCACCACTCCCATAAACAAAAGTTGTTAATTTACCCGGTCATGATTTTTATTGCAACTGTTTTGCTAAACTTTCAAATGTAATGACGAGCAGAGGGCTAGATAATAGGACGCCACCTGTTGGAGGCGCTAAAAGTTTTTAACTTTGAAATTATTGTGGCGGAACGTATAATACCACGGTACTACCTGTGTGATCTAGAGGACGAGGCGGCTTATACAATTATGATTGAACTTCACTTTAGGTAAGTTCGTTCAATCGTTCAATTATTTTAAAAATTAATAAAATTCGAATTTTTTTAAGTTTTAAAATAGTTGAATTTTTGCGATGAATATTGTTATTTAAAAAAATAATGAATTTTGCAATGAATTTCATCAAAATTCTTGATTATAATTGAATTTTGGCGAAGAATTTTGATATTTATAAAGATAATAATTGAAATGTTGGCTAAATTTTTTTTTAGATTTTTTAAAAATAATTAAATTTCTCAGAAGAATTTCATTAATTTTGAAAATAATTGAATTCTTATAATGAATACTATTACTTATGAAAATAATTGAATTTTGCAATGAATTTTATCAAAATTCATGAATATAATTGAATTTCGACGAAGAATTTTGTTATTTATAAAAATAATTGAAATGACAAGAATTTTTGAAAATAATTGAATTTCTGTATGTCAAGAATTTTAATATTTATTAAGATAGTTGAATTCTTTCAAAGAAATTGCGTTCAAATTTTTAAAATTAAAACTAATTTCAACAGAATTGAAATTAAAATTTTTTAAGAAAATACTTTATTAAATGATTTACAAGTAATAACTTTATGGCATTTCTTCAATACAATTAAGTTATTGAAAATAAACTATTGCCAGAAATATAAATAAAATATTTAAAATTCCTTAATTTTGAATATTTTAAATAATACAGACAAAAAATTAGAAAATTTTGTAAAAGAAAGAAAGAAAGTCATTTTTATTTCCTACAAGATGATGTTTTTAAAAAATTTTAATTATGAATTTTACCTTTTTTTAATTTTTGTTAGTCTGACTGTCGACATTGCGCTAATTACATAATTCAGGAGTTAATAATTAATGGACAAAATTTCAAAATTTTCCTAAAGGAAAAAAATTATTTTTATTCCAATAAGTTATTTACAAACAAAGTACTTCGAAAGTTTTTTTTTTATGTTCAATGTTAGTTTGTTGTATAAAAAATAAATAAGGCAGTCATTAAGTACATACACCAACTCAGTTCAAATCTTTCTAAATAAAAATTAAATATTTCTTTTTAAGTTTATGCGTTGCACCTTATTAAATATACGTATAAATATTAAGTATAAAATCTCTTCTTTTTTTTAATAAATGAGAAAAAAAATTGCTTAACGTGTGAAAAAAACAATCGGAATGTACAACTGAAAAATACATACATATTTTCGACAAATAATTATTTCTTTTCCACACACACACTCACTCACATACGATTGATGATTCTAATATAATAATTAGAAAGAAATTTTTTGCTATATTCCAATCTTCATGTTCATTGAAGCTTCGGAGTGTCCTCGTCGTAAAATCTTTCTAGTAATGCCCGTGTTATGCTTCCTGGCACTTTTTGATGTTGTTGAATTAACTCGTCAAGTGCTGTCGAGACCTGTGAAATATAAATGTAAAAAAGGTATTTAATTTCAAAATTTTTAATTTTCCGAGTAAAAATCTAGACAATTACAATTTTTTTCAACTGTAAGATTCTTTTTGAATTTTTGAATTTTAACAGATGTGTTAACAATTTTTTTTAAAATAAATTTTAATAATTTACCTTCAACTGCAATTGCTCGGGCGTGAGACTCTCATCGTATGGAATTGGTTTTCCTACAAAAGTCTTGAGCTTCACCGGAAATCCCCCGTAAATTGGAACAAACGGAAACCTCGTGGCCGCATATAATCTCAACCAGAATCTTCGACCCCAACTGATGGTCCTAAACGCCTCTCTAATATTCCTCGTGAAGAAGGGAATAATGCACTAAAAAAACAAATCTTTTTTTAAAAAAAAACTTTTTTTTACATTTCTATAATAAAATATTCTCGCAAACAATCTAATAAACACAGGACTTGAACTAGGTCCGTAAATCCCGTATGGGTCCGTAAATTTGCCTGAAATCCGTAAAAGTCCGTTTTTTTTTTAAAAATAGGTCCATAAAGTCTGTAATTTAATTGAAAAAAGAAGGAAAATTTCATAAATTGTACGATATAATTTGGAGAATTTAAAAGAAATTACAAATGAATGCAGAAATTCATTTATTTTCAAAAGTAATAAAATTCTTCGCAGAAATTCAATTATGTTCAAAATTTTTTTTAAATTCTCGTCAAAATTTCAATTATCTTTAGAAATAATTAAATTTATCTCCGAAATTCAATTATTTTCGAAAATTTTGATAAGTAAAATTCTTGGCAAAATTCAATTATTTTCGAAAATTTTCCTTAATTCAATGATTTTCAATATCTACTAATTTAATAAAATTTTCCAAAAGAATTCAATTATTTAAAAAAAATTAATAAAATTTTACGCAAACCTTTAATTATTTGCATAAAATAATAGAAATTTCACAGAAATTCAATTATTTACAAATTTTTTTTATAAATTTCTTCGCAGTCATTCAATTATTCATAAATAACAAAATTTTTACAGGAATTCAATTATTTTCGTAAATAATAAAATTCTTTTTAGGAATTCAATTATTTTCAGAAATAATAAAACACATTGAAGAATTTCAATTATTTTTAATACCTACAATTTTTATCAAATGACTCGAAAAATGTAATTATTCATAAAAATTTTATTAAAATTCAAATTTTCTTCCGGATTTTTATAAAAATTTTTATTTCATTTTCTAGAATTTTTAACTGAAATTATACTCAAAACTTTAATTATTTCTCAAATTGTTTAGATATAATTGAATTATTTTTAATAAATGACACATTTTTCGATGGAATTCAATTATTTTCAAAAGAATTTTTATAAAATTTGTTTAATGAATTTAATTATTTAAACAAAATTTAATAATATTTTTTGATAAGAAATCAATTTCTTTGAATACAACTTTAACCGATTTATTCCTAGAAAGAATTATAATTTTCTTCGCAAGAATTCAATTATTTTCAAAACTTTTAATAAAATTCTTCGCTGAAATTCAATTATAAAAATTAATAAAATTATTCACAACAATAATTCATTTATTTTCTAAAAATAAAATTCTTTACGAGAATTCAATTATTTTCAAAATTTATTAAAATTCTTCGCAGATTTTTAAAAATTAATAAAATTCTTCGCAGGAATTTAATTATTTTTAAAGTTATTAAAGTTCATTGCAGAAATTCAATTATTTTCAAAGAACAATAAAATTTTTCGCAGAAATTCAATTATTTTTAAAAATTAATAAAATATTCTTAGGAATTAAATTATTTTCAAAAATTCTTAAAATTCTTAGCAGGAATTCAATTATTTAAAAACTTTTCATAAAATTCTTCACAAGAATTAAATTATTTACCTTAAGTAATTGAATTCTTTACAGAAATTGAATTATATTTTCAAAAAATAAATTCTTACACAAAATTCTTCGCAATAATTCAATTGTACTTCGCCGCCTCGTCCTCTAGATCACACAGGTAGTACCGTGGTATTATACGTTCCGCCACAATAATTTCAAAGTTAAAAACTTTTAGCGCCTCCAACAGGTGGCGTCCTATTATCTAGCCCTCTGCTCGTCATTACGTTGTATTGTGCGTTCCTTGCAACATCGCGTCTCTCGTTGTTAAAAGAAAAATGAGTTCATCGTCAGGAGAAAATTCATCATCCGAGAGTGACCGTCGTCATCATAAGAAGAGGAAAAGGAGCTCATCGAAAAACATCGATCGAAAAATAAAGAAGGCGAAAAAAGAACTTAAGAAACTCAAGCGTGCTCGATCACGCACTCGCGCGAGTTCATCGTCATCAGCCAGTTCACGATCAGTGTCGCCTAAAACGGTAAGATCAAACAAGAGGCATAGCCCGAGAGGCAAATCTCCTCTCCCTTACAGGAAAAAAGACGGACACGACAAACGATCTCGAGACCGAGAGTCCAGATCGCCCGGAAGGCGAAGTAAAGAACGTACCCCGCGAGGGACGCCGTACTTCAGTCCCGGCAAGAAACAGCGAGAGGTTAGTCCTAGAGATAACCCAAGCACAGTTTCAGGAAGTCGCTCGCGATCCAGAAGTTTTTCCCGTTCTCGATCCATAACCCCATCAGGAAATTCGTCAAAAAATTCGCACCGTTCACATCAAAAAACAAATCAAGATGGCGGCGAAAACGTGGCCAAAAAAGACGCCAGTTCTCTGTCGGTAACAGCTGAAAACTCAATGCTAATGTTGTTAGGGGAGGGCGCGCCAGAGGACGCGCATCCCAGCGAACCGATACATAACACTGTTGCTGATCTGTGGATAAAAATATTACAATTTGGATTGCCGCCAGATGCCTCTAAAGCGCTAATAAAAAAATATCAGCTACCAGAAAACTGTTTGCTGATGGGAGCGCCTCAGCTGAACCAGGAAATAAAATCTGGTATGGGAGTGACAGCCTTAAAAAAGGATCAACACCAAGTGACAGCTCAAAACAAACTCGGTGCTGCGATTAGTGCCTTAGGTCAAGTATTAACAGTAGTGCTACAAATTAAAAAAGAATCTAAAGATCTTGACGCCGCTACATTGGTGAGCATATTTTCGACATTGTGTGACATCGGCAGAATATTGACCGATATCCAGCATGGCCTGTCGATGACGCGGAGGTCATTTATAGTGCCGACGTTTAGCATCTTGTTAAAACAAATAGCCGATGTAACGCCAGTGGACACTTATCTTTTTGGCGAAAACTTATCGGAGAAACTTAAGTCTGCGAAGGAAGTGGAGAAGTCCGCGAAAGACATCACCAAATCCAACCAAAGTTCAAGTAAAAGTTACGTGAACAACAAGGAGAAGTTTGCGGGGCCGCCAAAAAATAAGAGCAATTTAAACTACAAAACCCCCTCCTCCAAGAAGAACTATCCGAACACGAATTTGAGGAAGAGGGGGCAAGAATCGAGGACACCACGCAACCAGCCATATCGTCGTCAAAGGACCCAGTGGTAAGTTATAAAGCAGGTCGAATAAAATATTTTATTAGCGAATGGGAAAAGCTGACACTCGATCCCTCCATACTGAAATGCGTTCAGGGTTACAGTATACTTTTTGATAGCACTCCGACGCAGTTGTTTAAACCAACAGAACCTCAACTTTCCGTTGAAGAATGTGTCAGGATGGTAAAAGCCATTTCCCACATGCAAGAAATAGGTGCTGTTTTCCCATGCGACCCGTGCGAAGGTGAATTTTTATCTTCTTTTTTCTTAAGGCAAAAATCTAACGGCGATGACCGATTTATTTTAAACCTTAAGAAACTGAACAAATTCATCACAGCAACTCACTTTAAGATCGAGGACCTTAAAACAGCCTTGCGGCTAGTAAGTAGAAATTGTTTCATGTCGGTGATTGATATCAAAGATGCTTATCTTATGATACCAATAATAAAAGAACATAAAAAATTTCTCAGATTTCGTTTTCAGGGGGTCACTTACGAATTTAGTTGCTTACCTTTTGGGCTTTGTACAGCACCACTGGTTTTTACAAAACTATTAAAGCCGGTGGTACAAGTACTAAGAAACCAGGGCATTGTCTTAGTCATCTACTTGGATGATATACTAATCATCGCTGAGACTGAGAAGCAATGTGGGAAAAACGTCACGATAGTTCGATCTCTTCTTAACAAACTGGGGTTCGTTATAAGCGAGAAGAGTCAACTCAAACCTTCAAGAATATGCACGTTTTTAGGTTTCGTTATAGATAGTGAAGCATTTTGTGTTCGACTAACAGATAAAAAACGAGTATCAATAGATCAAAAAATTCAAATCTTTTTAGGTAAAAAGACCTGCAAAATAAAGGAGTTAGCTCAATTTCTCGGAACATTGGTGGCTGCCTGCCCGGGAATCAAATACGGGTGGCTCTACACCAAAAGGTTAGAACGCGAGAAATATTTAGCTTTAGGAAATTGCGGTAATAATTTTAATGCTACCATTTCCCTCCCTAACCTGATTCAACCTGATTTGCAGTGGTGGTCTCTTAACGTAAAAACATCAACCAACCCAATCAGAGAATCTAAATTTGCAATTGAAATTTTCACAGACGCTTCGCTAACAGGTTGGGGCACGTTCTGCGATGGAAAAGTGGCTAACGGTCTGTGGAGCAAAAAGGAGCAGGAACTCCATATTAACGCATTAGAATTGATGGCCGCGTTTCTAGGGTTAAAATGCTTCGCCAAAAATTATTCTGAGTGTGAAATCCTCCTTCGTATGGACAACACGACGTCCATTGCCTATGTAAATAGAATGGGTGGGATTAAATACCCTAAGTTAACCTATCTTGCCAGTGAAATCTGGAAGTGGTGCGAGAAAAGAGACATATGGGTCTACGCGTCTTATCTACCGTCAAAAGCCAACGTAGATGCAGATGAACAGTCACGTATCCTTCCTGAAGAAACGGAATGGGAACTGTCAGATAGGTCATTCAAAAAATTAGAAAGAGAATTAGGGCCATTTAATATAGATCTGTTTGCGTCTAGAGTCAATGCCAAATGTAGGAAGTATGTGTCCTGGAGACGAGATCCAGACTCCATACTTGTCGACGCTTTCACTATGGATTGGCGAGATCAGCTTTTCTATGCATTCCCTCCTTTCGCACTTATCTTGCGAACCCTTCAAAAAATAAAAATCGACCAAGCCGAAGGCGTGGTTGTGGTACCAAGGTGGCCTACCCAGCCTTGGTACCCATTATTCATGTCTTTAGTCGTATCAGAAATTATTACTTTCAAGCCAAGTAAAAAACTTCTTTCTTCCCCTCACAGAGATCTACATCCGCTTCACCACAGCCTTTCCCTGGTAGCAGCTCGCTTATCAGGGACGGTTTCAAAAGCAGAGGTGCGACAGAGGAGGCTGCAGAGATAATGGCGAAATCAATCACGGAGAAAACCATGAAGCAGTATGCAAAACCGATCCATCTATGGTGGGAACATTGTCGAGACAATCGCTGCAGCCCGTTTCATTGTTCGACGTCAGAATGCCTAAAGTATTTTACGAAAATTAACGAGAGCACAAAATCCTACAGTACTCTAAATGTACATAGAGCAGCTCTCTCACTTCTTATGGGCAATGAGCTTGGAAATAACGCAAGTATTAAAAGATTCTTCAAGGGTATTGCTGTCCTAAAGCCGCAGAAAGCAAAATATAATACCACCTGGGACCCGAAGCCGGTGCTGGATTACCTCTCATCTTTTTATCCTATTAACAATCTTACACTCGAAAAATTAACGAAAAAACTGGTTACAATACTTGCCTTGTGTACTGCACAAAGAATCCAAACTCTAACGCTGATTGAACTACAAGACATTAATCTGAGAACAGAGCCTATTACAATAAAAATCCCCGCACGAATAAAAACGACGAGGAGAAATGGCTACCAACCTTGTCTACAAATCCCGACCTTCACAGATAAACCTGAAATATGCGCCGCTACCACGCTTCGAGAATATATCCAAGTAACCAAGGCACTTAGACAAGGCAACCAGGAAAATGGAAAACTACTCATTACCGTCAATAAACCGCATCGACCTGCAACTGCTCAAACAGTCAGTCGCTGGATTAGGGACACTCTACAAGCCAGTGGTATAGATACGGAGACATACACCGCTTATAGCACTAGGCATGCGTCAACGTCAACCGCTGCCCGTCGAGGTGTAAACGTCGACTTAATTTGCAAAGCAGCTGGTTGGACAGCGAATTCTTCAACGTTTGCACGGTTTTATAACCGTCCCATTGTAAGTGAGGCTTCTTTCGCAGAAGCAGTCATTAGAAATTAAAAAAAAAAAAGAAAAAAAAAAAAAAAAAAATCCTTTTATTTTATCACTATAATAATGTTTAAATAATCAAACGAACTGTTTCGTATTTATATATTTCGTATTCTTACAACATTGTTTCTAAAATATAATTAATAAAAATTATATGTTTAATTCAACAAAAACGCAAAACAGAAAAATCATTATTCACTTTAAAAATCTACCTGTGTGATCTAGAGGACGAGGCGGCGAAGTACAATTGAACGATTGAACGAACTTACCTAAAGTGAAGTTCAATCATAATTGTATAAGCCGCCTCGTCCTCTAGATCAAACCCACCACTCCCATAAACAAAAGTTGTTAATTTACCCGGTCATGATTTTTATTGCAACTGTTTTGCTAAACTTTCAAATGTAATGACGAGCAGAGGGCTAGATAATAGGACGCCACCTGTTGGAGGCGCTAAAAGTTTTTAACTTTGAAATTATTGTGGCGGAACGTATAATACCACGGTACTACCTGTGTGATCTAGAGGACGAGGCGGCTTATACAATTATGATTGAACTTCACTTTAGGTAAGTTCGTTCAATCGTTCAATTATTTTGATAAATAATAAAACTCATTGCAGAATGTGAATTTCTTTTAGTACATTTTTAATCAAATTCATCGAAAAATGTAAAGATTCTTAAAAAATTTATTAAAATTCGTCAAAAGAATTCAATTATTTAAAAATTTATTAAAAAAATTCTTTATGGGAATTCAATTTTCGGAAACATTTAATTATTCAATGAATTATTTATAATTTAATTCTCGTAAAATTTTCTAAGAAAATTTGATTTAAAAATGAATTTTAGTTAAAATTTGAGATAATAATAATTAAATATTAAAAGCATTATAGAGTGATTTTTTTTAGAAAGAATTGAATTTTGAAAAAGTTTTCATATTTTTAACTCACAATTCTGTGGAATTAATTTTTCTGAGAAAGTTTAATTGATTTTGTTTGAAATTATTTGAAGTTTTTATTTTCTAAAATATATTTAATTTCAAATAATTTACGATAATAATTGGTATTTTATAAAATTGAATTGTAAACAAATGAATTTGAAAATTCTTAAAGAACTTTTTCAAAAATTATTAAAAATAATGCATTTATCGAAGAATTTTAGTTATAAAAACAGGAAAAAATGATTAATTTTTTGAAAAGTTACAAATTATTGCAGAAATTAAATTATTATTATTTCAAGAGTAATAATATTCTTTGCAAAAATTAAATATTTTTAAAAAATAATAAAATTCTTCTCAGGGATTCAATTATTTTCACAAATAATAAATCTCATTGCAGAATTTCAATTATTTTTTAAAATTTTATTAAAATTCGACGAAAGAATTCAGTTATTTAAAAATTTGTTGATAAAATTCTTTATGGGAATTGAATTCTAAGAAACATTCAATTATTCAATAAATTATTTATTTTTGTATTTAAATCATTGAATTCTAGTAAAATTTTCTAATAAAAATTGATTTTCATTTCATAAAAATGAATTTCAGTTAAAATTTTAGATAATAATTGAATATTAAAAGCAATGTAGCGTGAATTTTTAGAATTAATTGAATTTTGAAATCAAGTTTTTCGAAAAAGTTTAATTGAATTTTTTTATATTATTTGAAGTTTATATTTTCTAAAATATATTTAATTGAAGAATTTACAAATTATTGAAATTTCGTAAAATTGAATATTGCAAACAAATAGATTTGAAAATTGTCAAAGAACTTTTTCGAAAATTATTAAAAATAATCGATTTAAAGAAGAATTTTAGTTAAAAATTGTTGAAAATAATAATTGAATTGATAATGATTTTATCACTCGGTCATCTTAAATTATTAGAAAATATGAAGAAATTGATCACTCCGAGTCGAAGACTCGGAGTTATCGATATCTTCATGTTTTATAGTTTAAAAAAATTTAATTTATAGTTTTAAGTAAAATGTTCCCTTATTTTACTTGGACTGGTTATATTTTTGTCAGTAATTGGTCCGTAATTTTTCATTTTTATTCCGTAAAGTCCATATTTTTAAAAATACTTTTCCTGGTTCGAGCCCTGTAAACAGAGAGACTTACCACTTTAGCTTCGAGAGCGACTTTAGCGAAGCCAAGTCGTTTTTTCCACATGAGTCGATAATAAGAGTCACCAAATTGCGCCTCGTAAACGCCACCAGGTGAAATTGCGAGCATATTTCCCTCCTTGAGAATTGATGAGCACGTTTGTACTGTGCCTGGAATGACTTTAAGAACATCGGATATAACTGACCAGCCAGGAACGTTGAAGAGAAAACGATCGGCAACAGTGTGAATTAATTTCGAATGGAATAGAAGCACCCTGGATAGGAAATAGTAAAGATCAGTGGGTATTGCACCATGATAATAGACAAACAATATTGGTTGATCCACGGGAATATTTTCGAGTCCAACAACCTCGTAGCCGTGCCATATCCAACCGTGAGCGTCCCAAAGTGCAGCGACAACTTTACTGCCCGCGTCTTTCCAATCAGCTTCATACGCCTGTCTCAATCTTTCCCTAGAAAAATAATTCAATAGAATGTAGCATTTAAACTAATTTCAATAGCAAAATAAATTTTATTTAATTATTTTTCAAATAATTGAATTCTTTTGTAAAATTTTATTAAAATAGCAGATATTGAAAATCATTGAATTGAGGAAAATTTTTGAAAATAATTGAAATTTTGCCAAGAATTTTATTAAAATTTTTGAAACTAATTTAATTTCGAAGAATTTAATTATTTCTAAAGATAATTGAAATAATGATCATTAAATAAAAAAAACCCCTTTAAAGACGTTTGAAAATAAAAAATCGCTATTTAAAAAAAAATTTCGTCCTCAAAGAGTTAAATATTCTTGAGCAGTAAATCAATTAACTCTACCATCAATTCCATCACAAGCACTTTTTCCATGAGAAGTTGCAAATAAATGCCATTCAATTAAAAAAAACATTAGTACAACAATATTAATAACTAAATTGATAAAGTTATTTTATTCGTACCATCAATTCCATCACAAGCACTTTTTCCATGAGAAGTTGCAAATAAATGCCATTCAATTTCAAAGAAACAAAAAACAATTGTACAAAATTGATAAAATTATTTTTATTCGTATATTTTTGTAAAATACAAACCTGTGTATTTTGTACACATAGAGTATCGATGCAGAAGCATACAGAAGTATCACAATCATTAATGGAAGTAAAAATGTAATAATAAGTGGCATCAAGAGCCAGGAAAGCCACAGTGTGAAGTCAACATCGATGTAATCAACTAAAAAAATTAATTTAAATAACATATAAATAGAAATCATCAAAAGAAATTCAATGTATATTCCCATCTATAAATGAAATTTTTAATTCTTCTAACTACAGTTACAAACTAAAAAATCTTATTTAATCAAAGTATAAAAAATACTTACCAATAATGTGTTCAATACTGTTCCAAAGATTCGATATGGAAAACATTTTTAAAAAAAGAAAATTTATATTATGTAAATACAAAAAATAATAAATATATAATATGTATATAACTTCAGACTTTCTTGAGAAAGAATACGTTGAATGACTCGCACATATTGCATATAAAGACAAAGACGAAGAACGAGTTTTTTTAGAAACAAAAACCCGTTAAACGTCAGTCAACAACGTAATTTGATTATTTTGTGTAACGATTTCGATTTCTTCCTATATTTATTTCTCACATTAAAACTGTGATATATTAAATTTTCATATACAATTCCCGTTTTTCTATTTAACAACATTCGTTGTTTCACTTATTGACTTCATTGTAAAGTCATCGCGAACAATTTTAAAAATGTTAATTTAATCGTGATTCGCATTTTCGACATTTTAATATATAATTTTTTTTCTTTTCTTTTACTACAGGGCCTGTATATTTATGATGCGACGAGACGTTTCTCACTAATTTTGAGGTTATGTACGTATTCGATAATCGACATTCGACTGATCAAGAAATCGAATTTAAATTTTTTGTCAAAAAAAAATTAACAATTACCTCTTGAATTACCTACAAAGTGTGTAGAATATTTTTTCTAAGATAATTGATAAAATAATAATAGGATAGAAATTTTAAAATTCCTGTGAAAGTGGCCGAACTTTTAATTAAAAGTATAAAAAATTCAGATTTTCAAAGATTTTAATTTAAAAAATTTACAAATAAATTCAATTATTATACCTAAAACTTTAACTATTATATTGAATAATTGAAATCTTTCGACGAATTTTAATAAAATTTTTTAAGAATAATTAGGTACATTTTTCGAGGAATTTGATTAAAATTATATTAAAAATAATTAAAATTCTGCAATAAGTTTTATTATATTTTTGAAAGTAATTGAATTTTTGCGAAGAATTTTTAATAAATTTTGAAAATAATTGAATTTCTCCATGCATATAGAATTTTAATAAATTTTGAAAATATAATTGAATTCCTGCGAAGAATTTTATTAATTTTTAAAAATAATTGAATTTCTGCTAAGAATTTTAATAAATTTTGAAAATAATTGAATTATTCATTATAAGAATTTTAATTTAAAAAAAAAGTAATTGAATTCCTTCATAGGATTTTATTATTTTTGGAAAATAAATGAATTGCTGTGAATAATTTTATTAATTTTTGCAAATAATTGAATTTCTGCGAAGAATTTTATTAAAAGTTTTGAAAATAATTGAATTCTTGCGAAGAAAATTATAATTCTTTCTGGGAATAAATCAGATAAAATTGTATTCAAAGTAATTGATTTCTTATTAAAAAATATTCTAATTAATATTAAATTTTTTTTAAATAATTAAATTCATTTGAAAAATTTTATAAAAATTGCATTGAAAATAATTGAAATTCTACAATGTGTTTTAATATTTATGTTATTATTTTTCTATTTGTAGGACCCTAATTGAAATTGAAATTTTTTAATATTTATGAAAATAATTGAATCCCTGTAAAAATTTTAATATTTATGAATAATTGAATGATTGCGAAGAAATTTATTTTAGAAAAGAATTGAATATTCGTGTAGAACTTTGTCAAAATTATTTTTAAATAATTGAATTATTTTCTTTTGAAATTTTATTAAAATAATAGATATACAAATTATTGAACTAAGAAAAATTTTTGAAAATAATTGAAATTTTGCCATGAATTTTATTAAAATTTTTAAAAATAATTGAATGCTTGTGATGAATATTGTTATTTATGAAAATAATTGACTTCCTTCGAATGATTTTATTATTTATGAAAATAATTAAATTTCTGAAAATAATTTAAAAATTTATGAAAATATAATTGAATTACTGCGAAGAATTTAATGCCATATTTTAAAAAATTTGATTTTTTCGAAAAAATTTTATACAAATTCTATTTTAAATAATTGAATTCGTGCGAAATTTTTATTTTTTTTGGAAAATAATTCAATGTTCGTGTAGAATAATATTATCAAAATTATTGTTTAATAATTGAATTCTTTTGGGAGATTTTATTAAAATAGTAGAATAAATTGATTAAATTGAATTCTTGTGATGAATATTGTTATTTATGGAAATAATTGACTTCCAATTGACTTTAATGCCACATTTGGTTTTATCGGAAAAATTTATGCAAATTTTCTATTTTAAATAATTATTGAATTCGTGTGAAAATTTTACTTTTTTGGAAAATAATTGAATTTATAATAATTCGTGTAGAATATTATCAAAATTTTTGTTTAATAATTGAATTCTTTTGGAAAATGTTTAAAAAATAGTAGAATATTAAAAATCATTGAATTAAGAAAATTTTTTGAAAATAATTGAAATTTTGACATGAATTTTATTAAAATTCTTTAAAAAAATTGAATTTTGGCGAAGAATTTTGCTATATTCATTTATAAAGATAATTGAAATGTTGACAATTGTTTTTTAGGTTTTTTAAAAATAATTAAATTTCTGGGAAGAATTTTATTAATTTTGAAAACAATTGAATTCTTGTGATGAATACAATTATTTATGAAAATAATTGAATTTTATAAAAATTCTTGAATGTATGTAATTGAATTTTGGAGAAGAATTATTTTGCTATTCATTTATATAAAGATAATTGAAATGTTGAGGAGATTTCTTTTTTAATTTTTGAAAATAATTGAATTTCTGGAAAGAATTTTAATATTTATTAAACTAGTCGAATTGCTTTCAAAGAATTGCGTTAAAATTTTTAAAATTAAAATTAATTTCAATATACATAATAATTGAAATTAAAATTTTTCCAAAAAAATATAGGTACATACCTGTAAATTTGATTTTAGCGCCTCATCGTGACGAACCTGAAATTCAAAATGTCGTTCGTCTTTTGTCAAATAGGTTAGGACGGGGGTGCATTTGCAGCAAACTTCAAGTGACTTTGTAGTGTGGCGTGTGGCATTTCCCTGGGCGATTTTTGCTGGTAGTGTGTGGTGACCCTGGAAATACATTTCATTTTTACGAGTCTTTATTTCGTGTTTAATATTTTTTTTTGCCATGAAATATTTCGTCCGCGTATTCCATTATAGTCACAATTAAATATAATAACGTAACAATAATAAAACGTTCTGGTTGAAACGTGAAATATCGTTGGGCGTGTGCAACATTATAATCACAAACACGCCTAACCGATATACCCTTTCATTCTCTCTTGTCGTCGAAGTCGTCGTCGTCGTCGTTGTGGTGTATATGGCTTTGGAAAGTTTCGATTTCACAAGCATATGACGTGCATCGCGAGTCATTATACGGAAAAGGAGCGAAATTTGCCCGTCGTTTACCAGGCAAATGAAGGTAAGCCAATTAAAATCAATACATTTAATATTTCTCTTTTTTTCCAACGTCTTTTTCTAAAGTGTGTATATATGATAATCGATTAAAACTCTCGCGCATTTGGTCCTTTTCAAAAGCCACGTAATCGCTGCAACATGCGCGCAGCTTCCTTTCATCCGACATTTATTGTTTGGAATTTCGAATAAAAAAAAAATAATAATTTCCAAATATTTACATTGATCTTTCGTTTTTATATCCTTCAAAAAATAGTCATCGTTTGTCATAGAGGAGTGAGAGTAAATGGAAGTCAATTGTGTGTACGGTCGTTCGGTTTGCCATTCGTCAGGAGTCTAATTTTCCTTATTTTCTCTTTTTTTATTTTCTTTTATTTCTTTTGTGATGTGAATAGTTATTTTTTCATTAAATTGATTAATAATTTAATTATTGTTAGATACGTTTCTAATTTGTATAATTATTATTTATATTGCAACTCGAATCAAATGTCAAATATCAAGAGATTTTATATCAATTTCGGGATTGACCTTTTATCGGAACACGTGCACTTATTTTTGATAGTGGTGGGGGTACCGGTTTATTTGACATTAATTTCCCGCCTTTTTTCATGTCTACTCCGTTAACATACACAAAATCTGACTTATGATGTACATTTATTTCGTTGCACTGGTTGCACTTCACATGTAAAAAAACATTTTCTTTCGATACAAAGTCATATGGAGAGATTAAAATAATTATCTCGAAATTTGAATTATTATTTTCCGTTTCACAATTTAACCCAGGAATTAGCAGGTGTTACTTTCAATAAACGGAACAAGAAACAAAAAAAATAAAGTCTGTAAAATTATTACTTTACTGTTACTATTTATTGTGTTTATGTTTTAAAACAGTTTTAAAACTTAAGTAACACATTTTATAGTACATATTTATATAGGTTACTACTTTTCAAGAAAAAGAAACAAAATTACTGAGACTTTACTTGTTTTTTATAGTAACTTGTAACTTTTGGAAAAAGCTACATACTCACTTACTTTTTTAGCAAAGATTAATTTTTTATACCAAATGGAAATTTTATAAAAAGTAACTTACTAATACTTATTAATTATAAACTTACTAATTAATAATAATTTGTTAATTGTTACTTTTTAGTAACTTGTTACTTTATACTAATTTCTCACAGATATACATTTTAGTAGTATCTGAGAAATTTTATAACTTCTTAGATTTATAGTATACCTTGTTAATTTTATAGTAAATTGATACGTTTACAGTAACTTTTCTCTTTTACAGTAAATATCAACGATTATAGTAACTTGCTACTTTTATAGAAAGTTTTAAATTTACAGTAACTTGTTACTATTATAGTAAATTGTTACTTTCTTAGTATGTTCCTTGTGATTTTTAAAGTAATTCGTTACAATAAAAGAAATATTTATACTTATAGTAACTTGTTACTCTTAGGGTTCCTTGTTACTTTCACAGCAACTCGTAACTTGCTACTTTATCAATAACTTTTTACAATAACAATAACTTCTCTATTTAACAGTAACATATTACTTTTGGAGTAACTTTTTACGTTTATTGTAAAATGTTACGTTTATAGTAACTTTTTACGTTTATAGTAAAATGTTACTTTTAGAGTAACTTGATACGTTTATAGTAAAATGTTATTTTTTGAGTAACTTGTTACTTTTACAATAAAATGTTACTTTTTGAGTAACCTGTTACTCTTACAATAAAATGTTACTTTTGGAGTAACTAGATACCTTTATTATTAACTTGTTACTTTCCTAATAAATTGTTACTTTTACAATAAAATGTTACTTTTGGAGTAACTTGATACGTTTATAGTAAAATGTTACATTTGGAGTAACTTGTTACTTTAAAATAAAATGTTACTTTTGGAGTAACTTGATACGTTTATAGTAAAATGTTACTTTTCTAATAAATTGTTACTTTTACAATAAAATGTTACTTTTGGAGTAACTTGATACGTTTATAGTAAAATGTTACATTTGGAGTAACTTGTTACTTTAAAATAAAATGTTACTTTTAGAGTAACTTGATAACTACAGTTAAATGTTACTTTTGGAGTAACTTATACTTCTATATTAACTTGTTACTTTTCTAATAAATTGTTACTTTTACAATAAAATGTTACTTTTGGAGTAACTTATACTTTTATATTAACTTGTTACTTTTCTAATAAATTGTTACTTTTACAATAAAATGTTACTTTTGGAGTAACTTATACTTCTATATTAACTTGTTACTTTTCTAATAAATTGTTACTTTTACAATAAAATGTTACTTTTGGAGTAACTCATACTTTTATATTAACTTGTTATTGTAGAGACATTTTTTACTATCTCAGTAATTTGCTTCTTTTCAAGTAACTTTTTTCATTTGTACAGTAAAATGTAACTTTTAAAATAACACGTAAGGGGCCGTACACATAATACGTCACGCGGCTAGGGGGAGGGACGGGGTCTGAGAATTGTGACTAAGTGTGACATGGGGGAGGGGGGGTGAACTCATGTGTTACGTCACAATCTTTTAAATTCAAAGATTATAAGAAATTATATGTGACAATGGCACTTTTTCTAAATAAAACAAGTTAAAAATGCTCTAAACTATTTAATATCTATTATATGTACCTGTTTAACATCTATTGGTATATTATTTATAATATGATAAGTAATATATTCTCTTAATTTGAATCAGTTAAAAATCATGGTTTTAACTTAGAATCAGCAGTGACTGACTTTTTGCTTCTTAATCAGTTAAAAATAACTGAAAAATTATCCACAAAACACCGAAATTTTTCTAAATATGTATATTAAAGATTTGCTTGCATACTTCGAAAAATTTACTTGCAAAGTTTATTTTAAAATTGTGTAAAGATTTAAATTTCTCACTCCAATAAATGTTTATCCTCAAATTTTCTTAAAAATATAGCTTGAAACTTTCCTGAACATTTGAATTGCATTTTCGACTATACTTTCGTGAAAATTTTCCTGAAAATTTAAGTTAAATTTTCAGGAAAGTTTTGCGCTAAACATTTATTGAAGTGAATTAGAAATTTTGAAAATCTTAGTTCCTATGGAAAAATAAAAATGGTTAATTATTTATTTAGAAATATGAAGTTATTGGTGTTTTTGAATAATTTTACAATTAAGGAAATTCGTAAATAAATGTAATAGAACATTTTTTTTGAGTATCTAATAATTTTTAGAGTGAATCAGAATATTCTTTATGGTCAGGGAAAAAGTTAAAATTTTGTCTGGAAATCAGGGAAAAACAAAATTAAGTTTTTGTGGCAAACCTGATATTGCAACAATAAGTGCAAAAAAAATTTCTAATTGTAAATTTATTTTTAAAATTAAGTATATTTTTTATAAATATTAAGTGAAAGAACAAATTTTCCGAATGCAAAGCTTAAAAAACTTTTTAGGCATAATATATGATAGTATTTTGAAAGCATAAAAAACGTCTCGTTGAAAAGCATAAAGTTCCTGTCCCTATTCATAGCATTTCAATAAAATGGTAATTTTGTGTTTTTACTTATCATAACAGCTTGCCTCTTTTGTACTAAAGTGTTAATTTTTTCCAAATTCTAACTTTCTGGCGTTACGAAGATGTTTCTTTAAAAAGATTACTGAACTTACTTTTTATAGACTATATTATTGTAATATTTCAATAAATAGTAACATTCTTCAGTTGCTTTTGTTAAATTTGTTAACACGTCACTATACTGTCCATTAAAAAGAAAAAAGAAAAAGAAGTGGAGAAAAAGATGCTCATAATGCTTTATCGTTGTACGCTTGAATGAAATTGCCTTTATTTTAACGTTTTGAAATTTGAACGTAATTGTCATTGATGGGAGAAATAAAATTTGTAAGTCGATTGAATTTTGGGTGGCAGATAATGACAGACGATGAAGCCACCCTGGACTCAATGGACACGGAGGAAGATATTTTCAGCCCTCGCGGGCGCAGGAACAGTGGCCCAAATGCACGAAGAACAAAAAGCCTTCGCACACTGCGATCTCACGCCTCAACAAGTCCACATATTGCCGCAAGACATAATCTCAGCGTTCGGCGTAGTACACGCAACAGAATGCAGACCTACGATAATCTCAACACTAGTTGGATTCTAGGTACTGAATTCTAGAAGCAACCAAACAAAAAATTTTAATTCTCGAGATTCTGATTTCGAAAAAAACAATACAAAAATTTAATTCCCAGGATAATTTTTTCTCTTAATAAGTTTCCTGAAGTTGACGTCAAATCTAAAAGCGTAAAAGCTTCTAAAAGATAAAGTCATCTTTTTTTGGCCTTTAAACATCGTCGTCAATTTCAGGGACTTTTTTTATAATTAAATTATTTAATATAAAGCCGAAAAGAGTTTTTCTTCTCTGCTAATTGATAGTTTTTGATTCAGGAACCCAAACATTGAAGGGATATCCAATGTTCCCGCAAAATGGATCGTCATCGGAGAAAGAAATGGTGGACGATGTCCCGGAACGTAAACGTGATCTCAGAGATCGAATGCCGCTTAGATCGAGGGAGAATCATCAGTCGAAGGTTACGACTCGTCATATTCGTGATCGAGCGGAACACGACAGACCAATTCGTGAATTGCGCGAAAGACCGGAGCGCGAACATAATGAGAGAGCGAATCACGATCATAAAACCAGATCGGAAAGAGAGAAAAATATTCGCGACATAAAGGAGCGTAACGAGAGGGAAATTAAGGTGAAATCTGAAGTGCACGATAAGTCCGATGTTAGAACAACGAATAATGAGGAAAAGGACACCAGGTATTTATTTTTTTATTTTTTAGTTGTATATTAACCACTTATTTTTTTAGAACACATTTTTAGTTGTATATTAATCAAATTTATTCTTTTTTAGAACACGCAAGTCTGACAGTCCTGGAAGATTGAGAGAAGGGCCTATTACTAGACATTCCGGTAGTTCACTTAAAGATAAAGCCAAGGCAGAAGAGAACGAAGCTGATGAGGAGAGTTCGCATGAAAGTGAAAAGGCCGGGAATAATTCCGATAATGGACCGGTAAATTATTTTTCTTAATTTCTTTCTTTTTAGGGTAAAATTTACTGACTTATCGTCAATGTTATATTTAGTGCTACTCATGGAAACATTAAAATTATTATCTAATTTTTTAGGGTTACACGGATATGTATACTCGGGTTAAGAGAACAAGACGAACGTCGCAACGACAATTGTCGAGAAGTAAAAAATTAGCAGGTAAAATATTTTTCAACTCATTTTATGACCGATGAATTCTTCACGAAAAATTACTTTCTTTCTTTATACAAAAACATATTTTCTACATACATATATTTATAATTTTTGTAGATATTTTACATAGTTTGTCGCCTATTTCCTACTTTCTCCTTTTTCATCCCTTTAAATTAATAAAATACCCTAAAATCATACATTTTCTCCCCTTTTGCTTCCTCATGAGGAAGTATTGTAATAAAAAAATTTTTCAAATTCGATTTTTTGACATATCTTTGTTATTTGACCTCGGGAATTCAAAAATGACATTTTTAAAATTAGATATTAAACTTTTAAAATACTTTTTTTGAACCTAATTCGATTAGAAATTACGAAATTATTGGTATTTTAAAAATCAAAAATTGTAAAAAAAATCTTACTTTAAAAAATTTTTTTTTAAATGTGGAAGTAACTTTAAAGTCTTATAAATAACTTGTAAAACTTTAAAAATCGCTTTAATTTATCTAGTTTTTAACATAATTCGATCAGAAATACAAAATTATTGTTATTTTAAAAACCAAGAAGTATGGAAAATATCATTTTCTCAATTTTTTTTTTTATGGACTTAACCAAAATATTTCAAATTCGATTTTTTAGAATATTTTTTATGTCTTTTTTGATCTCAGGAATTAAAAAATTACATTTTTATAAATATCTCTAGCTAAACTGTGAAAAATGAAAAATTAATTTTGAAAATCTCCATGAGGAAGCAAAGTTTTTGATGAAATAAAAACAATAAATTCATCTTCTAACTTGGCAGCGGTTTTTTCCTTATTTTTATGAAAAATTTTTTTAAATTGTCATTTTAATAAAAAAAATTTACTATTTTAAAAATTAATTTTTTTAGCAAAATTGTTCAAATACTTTTTTCTCGAACATTATAATTAGCTATTAAAAATTCTTATTTTTAGAGTAAATTTTACTATTTTTGAAGTAAACATTTCTAATTTTTATAAAAAAAAAAGTTGTACCTGACAATAGTAAAATGCTATTCTGGAAATAACAATTTTTAATATTAAATTTTACCATTTTTGAAGGAAATTTTTCCAAGTTTCAAGTTAATTTTACTAATTTTTTTTTCTGAATTTACTTCATATTCTTAAATATTTTAAAATTAATTGAATTTTGAAGGAGTTGCGTTTACAATTCTCATAAATAGATGAACTTCAAAAGGTTTTAAATGGAAATTTTAGAAAATTTAAATTTTCAATAAATTTAATTAGAAATTTTAAAGAACATAGATTTTTGAAAAATTTTAATAATTCAAATTCTTCTGAAGTTAGTTCAATTTTTTAAATATATTTAATAAATTATTAATAATAATAAATTTATAGAAGAATATTTTCGTTAAAAACACTACAAAAAATTAATTTTTGGAGAAGTTGCAAAATAATTATGTTAAATTATTTTCAAAAGTTATGAAATTCTTTGCTAAAATTCAATAATGTAAAAAAATTTATAAAAATTCTCATCAAAATGTCAATTATCTATATAAATAATAAAGTTCTTCTGTGAAATTCAATTATTTTCAAAAATTTTCATGAATTCAAAGATTTTCAATATCTACTATTTTTATAAAAATTTTCCAAAGAATTCAATTATTTAAAAGAAATTAGAATAAAATTCTTTAAAAACATTCAATTATTTAAAAACATTTTTATAAAATTCTTCGCAAGAATTCAATTATTTAAAAAAAAAATGTAATAAAGTTCTCCGCAAGAATTGAATTATTTTTATAAATAATAAAATTCTTCTCATGAATTAAATTATTTTTAAAAATCTTAATAAAATTCGTTTTAAGGTCATGTTATTCAGTGGTCATGTGTCCCATATACTTTACTATGTGAACACGTGACTACTGAATAACATGACCTTAAGAATTCAATTATTTTTGAAAATGCAATTAATTTGAAAAATTTTATTGAAATTTGTCAAAAGAATTCAATTATTTAAAAATTTCGTTGCTAAATTTTTTTATAAGAATTCAATTTTAAGAAACATTAAATTATTGAATATATTGTTTACTTTTGTATTTAAATAATTCGATTCTCATAGAATTTTCTAATAAAAATAAATTTTTTTGAAAAAGTTTATTTAATTTTTTGTTGAAATTATTTGATGTTTTTATTTTCTAATATATATATATATATATATATATATATATATATATATATATATTTAATTAAAGAATTTCCGAATTGAAATGATGAAAATAATTTTGAAGTAGTTACAGTAACAATGTTCGTATAATATAAATTAATGATTTTATCACTCTGTCATTTTTAATTATTATAACTTTAGAATTTCAAAAAGGTTTGAATTTGAATGTTTTGAAGAATTTTAATTCCTATGGAAAAATAATAATGATTAAATATTTATTTAAAAAAGAAGTTATTGATGTTTTCGAATAATTTTACAATTAAAGAAATTCGTAAATAAATGTAATAGAATATTTTTTTGAGTATCGAATCAATTTTAGAGTGAATCGCAGAATATTCTTTAGGGTCAGGGAAAAAGTCAATGTTTGGAAATCAGGGGAAAGCAAAATTAAATTTTTGTAGCAACTTTGTTTTGTAATTTGTTACAATCTCCAAAAGGAATTTTTCCAATAAGAATTAAAAAAAGTGTGTTTCTTTACCAATTTTGCACCAAAAAGTCAATAATAATAATTGAAGATTGTTAAATTTTATCTCATATGGTTAGCAGAATTTTTAATGTAAATTTTAATATTTTGAAACAAAACGGAATTTTATTTTATTGTTTACGCTTTTTTACAGTTGAGGACAGTGATATGAGCGAGTCAACGGACACACCAGGTCCACGAAAATATAGCTTACGTCAGAAAAAGCCAACAGTTGACAGATTCCAGGCAAATGTCGAACCAGTTCGCCGATCGATTCGCGCCTTAAGAAGCGTTCTCAGTAATTCGATACGGCGTCGTAAGCATCGAAGCAAGAGTTCGAGTTCAAGTGACTCGACCGACTCCGAACCCCAGAGATACGACAAGAAGAAGAGCAAAAAAGCGAGGTAATTTAAATTCAACAATTACGTTTCAAAGTCAATGAGAATTTTCAAAAGTCAAAATATTCAAAATGTTCCACGAGAAACTAATATTCACTCTTTTTTAATTAGACAAAATATTATACAACAAGGAGGACCACAAGATCGAAAGGCGGACATCAGTCCAATAACATTGGACACGAATATTAGTTTTTCCGATGTCGGTGGATTGGAATCGCATATTCATTGTCTCAAGGAAATGGTCGTATTTCCAATGATGTATCCCGATGTTTTCGAACGATTTCACATAACACCGCCAAAGGGTGTGTTGTTTCATGGACCGCCAGGCACTGGAAAGACATTGATAGCGCGCGCTTTAGCAAATGAATGCAGTCAGGCCAATAGGAAGGTGGCATTTTTTATGCGCAAGGGCGCTGATTGTCTATCGAAATGGGTCGGCGAGTCGGAACGTCAGCTACGTTTACTTTTCGAGCAAGCGCAACAAATGAAACCATCAATTATTTTCTTCGATGAAATTGACGGCCTCGCACCTGTTCGAAGTACAAAACAAGATCAGATTCATGCCAGTATTGTATCGACACTACTTGCACTTATGGATGGCCTCAGCGATCGGGGAGAGGTGAGAAAATTTTATTTTTCTTACCTTCAGGATTTTATGACTTATTTTCAAAATTTGCAACTTTTTCGACTTTTCTTCCAAATATTGCAATGAAATATCACATTTTTAGTAAAAAATAAATTAAACTTATTTTGATTTTTATAGTATAAAATATAACTATAGACAAATCTTTCAAAAATTATTATCTTCTCAAGAATTCAATTATTTACATAAATAATAACATTCTTCGTAAGAATTAAAGTATTTTTATAAATATAGTAAAATTTTTTCCAAAAATTCAATTATTTTCAAACAAAATTTTAATAACATTTCACGAATGAATACAATTATTTTCTAAAATTTTAATAATTCCTTCGAAACAATTCAATTATATTTATAAATAGCAAAATTCTTTGCAAAAATTCAATTATATTCAAAACACTTTCACGAAAGAATTCAATTTTTTTTCTTAATTCGTTATAAAAAATTTCAAAGGATTCAATTATTTTCCAAAATTTTAATGAATTTTTCGAAAAAATTCAATTATTTTTTAAACTTTTAATAAATCTTTCGTTATAAAATTTTTCAAAAGAATTTTCAAAAATTTTAATAAAATTCAATAATTAAATGTTTAATTTCAATTATTAACATACACTTAAAAACTTAAAAGAAATTGTTTATAAAATTAATTATTTTTAAGATTTTTAATTAAAATTTTTATAGAAAATCCATTGTTTAAAAAAAAATTCACAGGAATTCTTCAAGAAGAGTTTAATTAGAATTATCAAAAATTTTAATATATTTCTTCTTGAGAATTCAATTATTTTTCTAAATAATAAAATTCTTCGAAGGAATTCTATTATTATCAAATTTTTTGCACCAATTCGATGATTTTCAATAAATTAATTTTAAAAATGAAAATTATTTAAAATTGAAATTTTGCAAAATTCAATTGAAAATAATTGATTATTTTCAAGTATTTTAATGAATAATCTTATAAATATAATTTTAAAAATGATAATTAATGAAAACTAGCTTCTAAAAATTATATAAAAATATTTTTGAAAAAAATAATTCTTAAAATATTTCTATTATAATTTTTTAAAAATCATTATTTTTTATTTATTTTTCCACAGGAATTAAAATCTCAAATAACTTCAATGAAAAAACTTTTAAAAATTAATTATTTCTAAAAATTGCAACTGTAATTCTTTTAAAATTCAATTACTTTTTTAGAATTTTTGAATAAAATTATTCAAAACTTTAAGAATTTTTTAAGAAAAATAATGTAATTAATAATTTTTCAAAATAAAAATTTAAATATTTTTATACTTCTGCTTCCCTAAAATTTTCTAACAATTTTAAATATGTTTTAAAATTTAATTAATTCGTAAAATTTTTGCTATAACCCTTTAAATATTAAATTATTTTCTAAAATTTTAACTGGAATTTTTTTAAATCAATTCCTATCAGAGTTCAAGTTTGAGAATTTAATTATTTAAATAGAATAATTTTTGTAAATTCATAAAATAATGTACTTTTAAAAATTCAATTATATTTCTAGATAATTTTTAAAGATGAAATAGTAAAATTCTTTAAAACATAAAATTTTACAAAATTTCCAGTTGTTTAAATTTTTTGAAAATTATTTTCGTCAATTCAAGTAGGTATACCTTCCAAAAAATAACAATTACTATTTTTCAAAAACTTAATTCTCTTCTGAATTTTAAAATTTCAATAATTTTTGTAAAATAATTAAATTATTTATTATTTATATTTAATAATGTTCTTTGTAAGAATTGAATAATTTTTATAAATAATAATATTTTTTAGATTAAATTCAATTATATTTAAAAAAAAATTAATATAGTTCTTCGTGTGAATTCAATTACTTAAAAAAAATAATAAATCTCATCGCAGGATTTCAATTATTTAAACAAAATTTAATAAAATTCTTCCCAACAGTTTAATTATTTTTATAAATGATAAAATTCTTCAAAAAAATTCAATTACTTTTAAAAGTTTTAAAGAAATTTATTTCAAAACTTGAATTATTATTTAAAAGTAACAAAACTCGTCGCAGTATTTCAATTATTTTTAACAATTTTATTAAAATTCTTCGAAAGAATTCAATTATTTTTAAAAATTTTAATAAAGTTCTTCGCAAGAATTCAAAATTTTTATAAATAATAAAATTTTTCTAAAAAAAAAAATTTTTTTTTTTTTTTAATTTTATTATCGTTAAAAACCAAATTTTCTTCAGAATTTTTAAATTTCAATAATTTTTGTAAAATAAATAAATAAACTACTAATCTTTCAAAATTAAATTATTTTTTTAGAATTTTTGAATAATATTATTGAAAACTTTTAATTGTTAAGGAAAAAAGAAATCATGTTCATGTTTAAATTTTAATTCTTCATTTAAATTCTTCAAAAATTTGATTATTTTTTTATATTTTTCAAAAATTCTATTATTTTTAAAAGACTTTATTAAATTGCCAAAAATTATGGAATCACTTTCGAAAAATTATCAAAAATAATTCATATAAAGATGAAGTTTAGTTCAGAATTGTAGAAAATAATTAAATTTTGGATGGGTTATAATTAAAAATTTTCAGATATTATTAAATTTCAGAAGGTTTTAAGCTGAAATTTTTAAAATTTTATTTCCTGTGAAAAAACAAATATGTATTTAAATATTCATTTAACAAAATTATTGAAGTTATAAAAAAAAAAAAAAATTTCTGTGACGACACTTAATTTTATTAAACAACTTTTCGATTTTTTTTTTGTATTTTTAATCGACTAAAGCGACTTTTTTTATGATTAAAAGTTTTTAATGTAAAGTTATTAAATTGCGTGAGTGTTTAAAAATTGTTTTCTTTCAGGTGATAGTTATAGGGGCCACTAATAGAATAGACGCAATTGATCCTGCATTGAGACGTCCAGGACGTTTTGATCGTGAACTTTTCTTCCCGCATCCGGCAATGAAGGAGAGACTTGAAATTTTAAGGATACACGTGAAAAAGTGGCAAAATCAACCGGGCGATCATCTTCTCGAGGCGTTAGCGGAAAAATCGACGGGCTATTGCGGCTCGGATTTACGTGCTCTTTGCACTGAGGCGGTGATACAGGGTTTAAAGAGGACATATCCTCAGATTTATTTGTCGAGCAATCGTCTTCTCCTCGATCCAGAGCGTGTGGAGGTAATTTCAAGTTATTTTATTACAAGTGCAGAATTTTAAAATTCTTTGAAATTGAAATTTCTTTGTCGCGGTAAATAGGGTGAAAATTTTAAAAATCGAAAAATTTGTGTTAAATTTGCGCAGGTGAAAAAGAAAGACTTCATAAAGGCGAGTTCACTTCTCGTTCCGTCCTCTCATAGAGTGACGCCATGTGCAGGAAGAAAACTTCAGGCGTTCATGGAACCTCTTCTTGGACCAACGCTCTCTCAACTAGTTGACGTAGTGAAGGGAATATTTCCACAGGGCATTAATCCAGCTTTGGCGAAGTAAGTATTTTTCTCTTCTCTTTCTCTCTTTGTTTTCGCGCGCAGGCTTCGTACACAGTTACTAAAACCTACTATTTTTTACTTTTTTTTTACGATTTGCTAATATTTTGGATCCTTTTTTTTAGATTTGTGACACTAAAAGCAACTTTTTCCTCTTTTTTTGAAAATTTGCAGTACTTTAAATACGATTCGAGTTGAAATCAAAAAAATTATTCTCAAAACTTTTAGTAAAATTCTTATAAAAGATTCAATAAATTTTAATAAAATTCTCTCTAACGATATAATTATTATAAAAAAAATTTCAAAATTCAATTATTTTAGATATTTACTACTTTAATAAAAAATTCCCCCAAAGAATTCAATTATTTAAAAAGAAATTTTTTTAATTCTTTGCAAACATTCAATTATTATTATTTTTCTAAATAATAAACATTTTCACAGGAATTCAATATTATTTAAAAGCACAAATATAAAATTTTTCGAAGAAAAATCAATTATTTAAAAAGATTTTTTATAAAATTCATCGCAAGAATTAAATTATTTTTCTAAGTAACAAAATTCTACTTAGGAATTCAATTATTTTTAGAAGTAATAAAACTCATATCACAGGATTCAATTATTTTTAATGCAATTTTAAATCAATTCCTCAAAAAATTTTATTAAAATTTTTCGAAAGAATTCAATTATTTTTATAAATCATAAAATTCTTCTCACAAATTTTATTATTTTTGAAAGTTTTAATAAAATTCTTAACGCAAACATTTAATTATTTTCATAAATAATAAAAATTTGACAGGAATTCAATTATTTACAAATTTTTTTTTATAAAATTCTACGCAGAAATTGAATTAAATTTTCGTAGGTAATAACAAATTTTACGAGAATTCAATTTTTCTCAAGAATTCAATTATATTTTTATGAATAATGAAATTTATCGAAGAAATTCCAATTCTTTTCAATACAATTTTAAATAAATTTATCGCTAAATGCAATTATTCTGAAAAATTTAATTTAAATTCAATTATTTTCACAAACAATACGAATTTTCTCTGGAATTTAATTATTTAAAATTTTGTAATAAAATCCTTTGTTAGAATTCAATTATTTTTTAAAATATTAAAGTTCTTCTTACATATTCAATTATTTTGACAAATAAATATAATTCTTCGCAAAAATTCAATTAATTTCAAAAATTTTAGAAAATTCTCGTAAAAATTTCAATTATCTTTATAAATAATAAATTTCTTCACCGAAATTCAATTATTTTCAAAAATTTTACTAAAATTGTTGGCAAAATTTCAATTATTATCATAAATAATCAAATTCTTTTTAGGAATTCAATTATTTTCACAAACAAGACGAATTTTCTCTGGAATTTAATTATTTAAAATTTTGTAAGTTTGTTAGAATTCAATTATTTTTTAAAATGTTAAAGTTCTTCTTACATATTAAATTATTTTGATAAATAAATATAATTCTTCGCAAAAATTCAATTAATTTCAAAAAATTCAATTATTTTTATAAATAATAATATTTTTTCTGGAATTCAATTATTGTTAAAGGTTTAATTTAAATAAAAATCGTTGCAAGAATTTAATTATTATTAAAAGTGATAAAAGTGATGACGGGATTTCAATTATTTTTAATACAAATAAATTTATTTGTATTAAAAATACAATTTTAATCAAAAATTGTATTAAAATTCTTTAAAACAATTAAATTTTTTTTTTTAAATGTAACAAAGTTCTTCATATGAATTTAAATATATTATAAAAAATAAAGAATCTTATCGCAGGATTTCCATTATTTAAACAAAATTTCATAAAATACTTCCGAGGAACTCAATTATTTTTATAAATAATAAAATTCTTCGAAACAATTCAATTCTTTAAAAAAATTTAATAAATTTCTACGCAAGAATTCAATGGTTTTTAAAAGTTATAAAATTCGTTACAAGAATTCAATTATTATTAAAAGTAATAAAACTTATGGAAGGATTTTAATTATTTTTAATACAATTTTAAATTCATTCTTCGATAAATACAATTATAATTAAAAATTTTATTAAAATTCTTTTTAAAAAATTTAATTTTTTAAAAAATATTTAACACAGTCTTTCGTAAGAATTCAATTATTTCTTTAAAAAATAAGATTTTTTGATTAAATTCAATTATATTTAAACAAAATTTAATATATTTCTTCGTTTGAATTCAATTATTTAAAAAAAAACAATAAATCTCATCTCAGGATTTCAATCATTTAAACAAAATTTAATTGAATTTCTAGCCAGGAATTCAATTATTTTTTTAAAAGTTCAATAAAAATTGATTTAAAAATGAATTACCGAATAATCGATTTATTATTTATGAAAATAATAAATTGAATTATTGCAACGAATTTTATTATATTTTTTTTTAAATAATTGAATTTTTTGAGAAATTTTACTACTTGTAAAAATAATTGAATTCTTGCGAAGGATTCTTGTAAATAATTAACTTTTTTCTGAGAAGATTTTTTTTAATAATTTAAATTTTGTCATGTCATGTTTTGTAATAATATTTTTATAAGTTGTTGAATTTCAAAAAGCTTTGAATTTGAATGTTTTGAAAAATTTTAATTCCCACGGAAAAATAATAATGATTAGATATTTATTTAAAAAAGAAGTTATTGATGTTTTTGAATAATTTTACAATTAAAGAAATTTGTAAATAAATGTAATAGAACATTTTTTTTCAGTATCTAATAATTTTTAGAGCGAATTAGAATATTCTTTAGGGTCAGGGAAAAAGTTAAAAATTTTTCTTGTAATCAGGGAAAAATGAAATATTTGTGGCAACCCTGAAAAGGCTTTAGGATTGAAATCATTTAAAATATTTTAATTTCTGTGAAAAAAGTAAATTGTATTTAAATATTTATTTTTAAAAAATGGTTCTATTTTTTAATGTTAGATATTTAACATTACTTAAATTTTACTTTACAAACTTTACTTTAAATTAGAAAAAAATTGAGTCGTCAAATTTAATTTTTCGACAGTTACTTTTTTTTACTACTTTTTTCCATTCTTAAAAAAATTGAGTCGTCAAATTTAGTTTATCGACAGTTACTTTTTTTTACTGCTTTTTTCAATTCTTAAAACTCCTTTTTGAAAATAATTTATCGAGTACGAAGCTTATAAGTGGGAAAAGTAATTTTTTTGCATTTTTCACGAAACAATTGTAATTTTTTAAATTTTTCTGTCAATAGAGTGAAAGTAGCAAGAGGAGTTCACAGGCCACGACTCTTGATATCCGGTGGACCGATGGCGCAAAGTCAGAGTCCTCGACTCGCCCAGGCCTTAATCTATCGAATGGAGCATGTACCAGTGCAAACATTGGATGTGAGCGCACTTTTCGCCGAGAGTGCACGCTCACCGGAGGAAGCGTGCGTTCAAGTGTTCAATGAGGCCTCACGAAACGTACCGTCCATTATTTACATAAGATCAATCGACCAATGGTGGCCTCTCGTACCGGAAACAGTGAAAGCCGTTTTTCTCTGTCGCATCGCATCCCTCGATCCACCATTGCCAATTTTAATTCTCGCCACCAGTGATTCATCCTACAATGAACTTCCCGATCAACTCAAGAATTTATTCAGTGAACTACGTGGCGAAGTTCATTCAATGAATTCGCCCACTGAGGAGCAAAGATTTGTCTTCTTCAAGCATATATTCCTCGTGCAGAGTTTAAAACCACCGCACGTGAAACTCGATAAGCCGCGTGTCCTCGAGGAATTGCCAATTGCTCCCGAGCCAATGCCAAAGAAACTCTCTGAGGAGGAGAAGAAACTTCTTCGCGATAAAGAAGAAATTTCATTGCGTGAATTGAGGATATTTTTGAGGGAAATTTGTGCCAAACTCGCGAGAAATAGACAGTAAGAAGTTTTAAATTATTTTTTAAAATAAAAAAAAATTGTTTAATTTGAAATTTTTGGAAATTTTAATTTCTAATTTTTTTGTTTCTTTTTTAGATTTTTTATGTTTACGAAACCGGTGGACACGGACGAGGTGCCGGATTATAATACGATTATTGAAGAGCCAATGGATTTGGAAACGATGATGACAAAAATTGATATGCACTCTTATCTTTGTGCTCGTGATTTTCTCGATGATATTGATTTAATTTGTCGGAATGCTCTTGAATACAATCCTGACAGGTAAGTCCATAATATTATTTTTTTATTGTTTTTCCTTCCTTCTCTTCTTCATTATCATCATCTTCTTTTTCTCTTAAAAAAATCCCTTTTTCCGAAGCACTTTTTTCAATTGTTGCATAATAAATGAAATTTCTTTTAAAATATAGGACAAGAAGACAAATTTTAAAGAATAATTATTGTAAAATAAATTGTACACTGTTGAGTTGATTGTTGCATTGACTGACTTAATTCTATGAAATTGCATAGAGACAGACAGACTTTTAAGCAAACTTTTAAGAATAAGCAATAGCGTTGTTGCTTGAAGGAATCTAATCAAAGAATCCAAAAAATGATCCACGGGGTTTGGCCTTTAAGATTGTTACTAAGAAATTTTCGACAAAACTGGACTTCTAGTCTATAGTTTCTGTGTGGTACAAAAGCAGGAACTTTTTTGCTTAAATAGATATAATTCTTCGTGTGAATTCAATTACTTTTAAAAAAATAATATATCTAATCGCAGGATTTCAATTACTTAAAAAAAATTCACTATAGTTCTTCGCAAGCATTCAATTATTTTCATAAACAATAAAATTTTTCTCAGGAATTCAATTATTTTTAAAAGTTTTAATAAAATTCGTTAGCAAAAATTCAATTATTACTAAAAGCATTAAAACTCATCGCAGGATTTCAATTACTTTTAATATAATTTAAAAAAAATTCCTTGAAAAATGCAATTATTATTAAAAATTTTATTAGAATCCAATAATTTTATAAGTTTTTAAAGGAAGAAATATTCTTTGAAAGAATTCAATTATTTAAAAATTTGTTGATAAAATTCTTTATGAGAATTCACTTTTGAGAAACATTAAATCATTCAATAAATTATTTATTTTTATATTTAAATCATTGAATTTTTGTAGAATTTTCTAATAAAAATTGATTTAAAAATTAATTTCAGTTAAAATTGTAGATAATAATTGAATATTAAAATCATTATAGTGTGAATTTTTAGAAATAATTGAATTTTGAAAAGATTTTAATCTTTAAAAATCTGAATTTTTCATACTTTTAACTAACAATTATGTAGAATTAATTTTTTTGAAAAATTTTAATTTAATTTTTTTCAATTTAATTATGTTCCAAAATTTTTAAAACTATTCGTCAAAATTTCAATTATTTTCATAGATAATAAAATTCTTCTCCGAAATTCAATTATTTCCAAAAATTCTTGACAACATTTCAATTATTTTCAAAAATGTTCCTCAATTCAATGATTTTCAATATCTACTATTTTAATAGAATTTTCCAAAAGAATTTAATTATTTAAAAATAATTTTAATATTACTCAAACATTTAATTATTTTCATAATAAATAATTAAAAATTTAGAGGAATTCAATTATTTACAAATTTTTCATAAATTTCTTCGCATAATTCAATTATTTTCATAGATAATAAAATTCTTCGCATGAATTTAATTATTTTCATAAATAATAAATTTTTTCACTCGAATTCAATTATTTAAAAAATTTCAATAAAATTCTTCTCAAGAATTCAATTATTTCATAAATAATAAAATTCTTTTTAGGAATTCAATTCCATTATTCTTTAAAATTTCATTGAAATTCGTCGAAAGAATTTAATATTGAGAAGCACTCGGTGAATTATTTATTTTTGTATTTAAATAATTGAATTCTAGTAGAATTTTCTAATAAAAATTTATTTAAAAATGAACTTTAGTTAAAATTTCAGATAATAATTGAATATTAAAGGCATTATAGCATGAATTTTTAGAAATAATTGCATTTTTAAAAGGTTCCAAATTAAAATCTTTAAAAATCTGAATTTTTCATACTTTTAACTAACAATTTTGTAGAATTAATTTCATTGAAAAAGTTTATTTGAATTTTTGTTGACATTATTTAAAGTTTTTATTTTCTAAAATATATTTAATTGGAGAATTTCTGAATAATCAAAATTTAACGTAAAATTGAAGTGTAAACAAATAAATTTAAAAATTCTCAAAAAGAACTTTTTCAAAAATTATTAAAATTAATTGATTTAAAGATGAATTTTAGTTAAAAATTCTAGAAAATAATAATTAAATTGAAATGATGAAAACAATTTTGAAGAAGTTACAATAATTTACAATATTTACATATTTTAATCAAATTCTGCCCAAACATTTAATTATTTTGATAAATAATAAAATTTTCACAGGATTTTAGAGTGAATCAGAATTATTCTTTAGGGTCAGGGAAAAAGTCAAAATTTTGCCTGGAAATCAGGGAAAAGGCAGGAAAAAACGAAATTAAATTTTTGTGTCAACCTTGATGACTATTAAATAATTATAAACTTGAAATAAATGTCTAAAATTTGTTCCTTTCTATTTTCTCAAAAAGCTGATAAAATTCTGAAGAAGTGAAACCTTTACGACAAAAGAATGTCAATTTTTCAAACAGATATTTTACAAATTCCCGATTTTCAATAATAATTTGCCTAATTTCTTTTTATCTTCCGAAGAAATAAACTTCTTTTAACGTTCATAGGCTCATCTGAATCGTATTTTTTTTATAAAATTTAGATTTTTTTCAAATAATTTATCTCTATATGTACATTCCTTTAGAAATTGCAAGTCATTAAAGTTGTTTGAAATTTTTAAACTTTTTTTATTCAATATTCTTGACTTGTATTTTCTAAAGAAATATACATAGATAAATTCTTGTAGGATGAAATTTCACTTCTATAAAAAAATACCATTTGATACGATTCAAATGAGCCTTTGAACGTTAAAAAAACGTTAATTTTTTCGTAAGATATAAAAAAAACTAGGTAAATTACTGAAAATGGGTTTTTTTAAATATTCGATTAAAAAATTAACATTTTTTTTTGTCGTTAAGGTGTCATTTTTATCAGAATTTTATCAGTTTATTGAGAGTATAGAATATAAAATTTTTGTTGTAACTGCAAAAACTACCCCTTGGGCATTAAAATTAAATTTTTATTACATTCACCAAGAATTTATGGTTTAAGAGTCGCCAAAAAGTGTTAATTCTTGAAGAAGAAATTTTTACAAATTTTATAATATTTTTAAATAAAATGGGGATTGAAAGGAAGAATCTGACAAACAATCGGAACAAAAGTTAATCCAATGTCATAATTTCGTATTTTAAAGAATTTTAAATTCCTTTCGGTAGAAGCGTGAGGAATTTCATTCTCTACATTTTGAATAAATTAAAGTTAAATTTGAATAAAAATTATACTTTTTTGTCAATAATAAATGATTTAAGTAACATAACATAAAATTTAACAAATGTTTCTTATTTACAGAAAATTGTAATTTTTATTCAAATGCAACTTTCAATCGTTTTAAATGTTCAAAATTAAATTCTTCGCCTTTCCACCAAAACGAATTAAAAATTTAATTTGTCTCTTTCTTTTAAATTACGAAATTATGACATAAAATTTTGATGACAAACATTTAGATAAAGTCATGTTTTCCAATTTAATTTATTTATTGGCTACTATAGATAAACTTTTAGAGGGAATGGTACCAACGATCATGCAAATTCTGATAAGCGACAATTGCTTTTACCAGGAAATTAGTTTGGCTTTTGAAAAGACTAATCAACAGTTGATTCAATTAACAATCAATAATAACAATAAAAAAAATTGATTTACAAAAATGCTTTTCTTGAAAAAAGTGACTTCCTAAAGTTGTTATTTTGCAATCATCTGGCACTCTTAATTTCTCTCATTTTTTCAACGGATAAATTAAAAATGTAGAATTAATTGTAATTTTAATGAAAATATTGAATCTCTTTCCTTGAGAATTTTTATTTTAAACGTATAAAGTTGTTTCTTCTTGAGATCTTCTTAAAACCACTTAGATTGTTTTCAATGCACGAGGGGGCGAATGAATATTTCTCCCGCGCATTTCTACTTTACCGATCGAACACAGATGGGAATGTCATGTGTGTAAATAAAAATGAAGAAGGCGGGGGAATATTTACGCGCCTCAGCACGCACCCTAATTAATATTAGAAAATAAAGAAGAAATGACAATTTTTGATATTTATTCTCAAGGATTTGATGAGTATATTAACTTTAAAAAAGAAAAAAGAAATTCCGTGTGAAAAATAATTGCGGCACATCTATCGGTCGTTTCCTCATACTGACATATATTCATTGTTGTGTGTTTTTTCATGTCAGCTTGCGCGATAGGCCCTCTCTCGGAATATTAAAGAGGTAGTTGAGTCTTTCCTGTTTTTTATCCATTGCTGTTGTTTGCATCGTAGAATTTAGTGGCTTTCAATAATTTCTTTATTATAGATAAATAGGGCTTTCCATGAGCAGGACAAACTTTAAATCTCAGATTTTTTTTATATTTTTACATTTTGTTGTCTTAGGAGTCAATTATAAGCTGTGAAAATAGTTTTGCAAATATTTTTGAAATTTCGATTATTTTGCAAGATCTTGTTATTTAAACTTTTTGAGTAACTTTTATTTCATTATTATTTTATTATTTTTTAATATTGTTATTAAAAAATAACGGTTTATATTTTTATGGGTACTAATGTAACGCCCGTCTATATAATAAATAAATAAATTTTTATTTCGAAATCTGTTGAAAAAAGGGTTCGATATGAAAATTGTAGGGAAATTATTGACTTTTAATAATATTTTCTTCGAAAATAAATAATTCATTTTTTTCTTTAATTTATTTAAAACAATAATTTTTAATTTTTTTACTCGATGCCCGTAAAATTTTTTCTGCAAAAAATATTTAAGTGAAAGTTTGTAGTGTCCTTAAAAAACCTTATTTTTCAATTTTCATAAAAACTATCTTTTTTAAATTTTTTTTTATCATTTTGAATGGAAAGCTGAGATTTTTTCCAATAAATTATGTAAATTTTAAAAATGGGACAACAATAGGTTTTCAAGAAAATAAAAAAAGAACAAATTTTTAAACACTTTTTGTTTATTTTATTAAAAAACCATTGTTGTCCCAATTGTTAACTTTATATAATTTTCTGGAAAATATCTCAGCTTTCCAATAAAAATAATGAAGAAAAAAAGAGGTAGTTTCTGTAAAAATTGAAAAATAATGTTTACTTTTGTAAAAACAGGGGTTAAATAATTTTTTTTGAAAAAAAGGTTTGGAATTTAAAAGAACACAAAAAATGTGGGCGGCTAACTTCTTACTCACTTTTTTTTAAAGAAAATTAGCAACTTTAAAAATAATAGAAATAATAGAATTTATTTCAAATAACTTACTTCTATTGAAGAACTGCCACATAGTTATTATTTGTAATTCATTTAATGAAGTATTTTTTAAAAAATTTTAATTTCAATTCTGTTGAAATTAGTTTCAATTTTAAAAATTTTAACGCAATTTTTTGAAACAATTAAAATATCTTAATAAATAACAAAATTCAATTATTTGAAAAAATTAAAAAAAAGTTCTCGTCAACATTTCAATTATCTTTATAAATAGCAAAATTTCACCGAAATTCAATTATATTCAGGAATTTTAATAAAATTCATTACAAAATTCAATGTTTTTTAGGAATTTTAATAAAATTCATTGCAAAAGTCAATTATTTTCATAAATAATAGTATTCATTACAAGAATTCAATTATTTTTAAAAGTAATAAAATTCAATTATTTTGAAAAATTTTAATAAAATTTAAGGCAAAGTTTCAATTATTTTCAAAAATTTTTCTTAATTCAATGATTTTCAATATTCTACAATTTAAATAAAATTTCTCAAAAGAAATCAATTATTATTAAACAAAAATTTTGATAATATTCTACACGAACAATCAATTATTTTCCAAAATAATAAAAATTTCACAGGAATTAATTTCAGGGATTTAATAATTATTTTCGTAAATAATAAAATCATTCGGAGGAAGTCAATTATTTTCATTATAAATATAACAATATTCATCAGAAGAATTCAATTATTTCCAAAAGTAATAAAATTCAATTATTTTGAAAAATTTTTCTTAGTTCAATAATTTGTATATCTATTATTTTAATAATATTTCCCAAAAGAATTCCATTATTTATAGACAATTTTGACAAAGTTCTACACGAATATTCAATTATTTTATAAAAGAATGAAAATTTCACAGGAATTCAATTATTAAAAATAGAATTTGCATAAATTTTTCGAAAAAAGTCAATATTGTTTGAATCTTTTTTATAAAATTCTTCGCAATAATTCAATTATTTTCATAAACAATAAAACTCATTGCTGAATTTCAATTATTTTTAATACAATAATAATTTTAATCCAATTCCTCGAAAAATGTAATTATTCTTAAAAATTTTATTAAAATTCGTCAAAAGAATTCAATTATTTAAAAATTTGTTGATAAAATTATGTATAAGATAAAATTATGTATAAATAATTAAATTCTCGAAGAATTTTCTAATAAAAATTGATTTAAAAATTAATTTCAGTTAAAGTTTTAGATAATAATTGAATTTTTGAGAAGTTACTAATAATTACAATTTTTAGAAATAATTGAATTTTGTAAAGGTTTCAAATTAAAATATTTGAAAATCTGAGTTTTTCATATTTTTAATTAAATATTCTGTGAAACTAATTTTTTCAGAAAGCTTAATCGAAATTTTTTGAAATTATTTAAAGTTTTTATTTTCTAACAAATATTTAATTGAAGAAGTTCCGAATAATTGAAATTTCACGTAAAATTGAATTGTCAACAAATGGATTTGAAAATTTTCAAAAGAACTTTATCAAAAATTTGATGAATTTTAGTTAAAAATTCTAGAAAATAATAGTATAGTTAAAATGAAATGATGAAAATAATGTTAAAGAAGTTACAATGATTTACAATATCTATTATTTTAATAAAATTCTATGCAAATATTTAATTATTTTCATAAATAATAAAAATTTCACAGGAGTTAGAGTGAATCAGAATATTCTTTAGGGTCAGGGAAAAAGTTAAAATTTTGTCTGTAAATTAGGGAAAAGTCAAGGAAAAACAAAATTAAATTTTTGTGGCAACCCTGATGAAAAAAGTAAAATATTTATTTTCCAATAAAATATTATTGAAAGTCAATAGTTTCTCTACAATTTTCGTATTGAACACTTTTTTCTTTTATAGATTTAGAAATAAAAATTGCTAAAAAAAGTGACTCAAAAGTTCGCTCATAAGTTTAAATAACAATATCTTGCAAAATAATCGAAATTTTGTAAAAATATTTTCACAAATTATAAATGACTCCTAAGATAACAAAATGGCAAAGTATGAAGAAAATCTAAGATTTAAAGTTTGTCCTGCTCATAGAACGCCTCATACATAATCTTTTGAAAAGAATGTTATGTTTCTTGATAAACATTTAGAAATTAGGAAAAAAAATTGAATGCCACTTGTCATTTAGTCTCACACGCTTTTCAATGTTATTCCTAATCGGTTTCTCTTTTTCTGAATAATTGAAATAATTTTTTTCTTTCTTCCCTCCTTTCTCTTTCTCTCTCTCTCTCTCTCTTTCTTTAACAGAGATCCAGCGGATAAACTTATAAGGCATCGAGCTTGTTCACTTCGTGATAATGCTTACGCCCTGATAAAAGCCGAATTGGATTCGGATTTTGAGGATAAATGTCGAGAGATATCGAAGAATAGAAAAGTCGTCAAAGTAGTGAATGTGATAAAGGACGGTAAGAGTTCGAAAGTTGATGCAACACCTGCTAATGAAAAGAGTGAGAAGAAAGACGCCACTCCATCGAGCGGTTCATTGGTTGTTAATGGGAGGAAATTTTCGAGCTCGAGAAAAAGACGAATACCCGCCTGGGCACGTGGTTACGTGAAAAAGGCCCACAAGAAGAAGAAAATTGCCTTCGAGGACAGTCCGTGCGAACCAAATACACTTAAAACACCTAATGGCGAGACAACCGGTGAGTAAAGAATTATAATTTCTTTGATTCGTAATTTACACTAAAGAATTCTAATTCCAGAGCTCGAACTAGGTCCGTAAATCCCGTAAAGGTTCGTAAATTTGCCTGACGTGCGTAAAAGTCATTTTTTTAAAAAAAAGGTTCATAAAGTTCGTAATTTGATTAAAAAAGAAGGAAAAGTTCGTAAATTGTACGATATAATTTGGAGAATTTTAAAGAAATTACAAATGTATGCAGAAATTCAATTATTTTCAAAAGCAATAAAATTCTTCGCAGAAATTCAATTATGTTAAAAAATTTCTTTAAATTCTCTTCAAAATTTCAATTATCTTTAGAAATAATTAAATTTATCTCCGAAATTCAATTATTAATATTTTCAAAAATTTTGATAAATGAACTTCTTGGCAAAATTTCAATTATTTAAAAAAATTTTCCTCAATTCAATGATTTTCAATATCTACTAATTTAATAAAATTTTCCAAAAGAATTCAATTATTTAACAAAAAAATTAATAAAATTCTACTCAAACCTTTAATTATTTTCATAAAATAATAAAAATTTCACGGAAATTCAATTATTTAGAAAATGTTTTATAAATTTCTTCGCAATCATTCAATTATTCATAAATAATAGAATTTTTACAGGGAATCAATTATATTCGTAAATAATAAAATTCTTTTTAGGAATTCAATTATTTTCATAAATAATAAAACACATTGCAGAATTTCAATTATTTTTAATACAATTTTCATCGAATTCCTCGAAAAATGTGATTATTCTTAAAAATTTTATTAAATTTAAAATTTTTTTCCGGATTTTTTAAAAAAAAATTTTTTTTTACATTTTCTAGAATTTTTAACTAAAATTATACTCAAAACTTTAATTATTTTTCAAATTATTTAAATATAATTGAATTATTTTTATAAATGACACATTTTTCGATGAAATTCAATTATTTTCAATGCAATTTTTATAAAATTTGTCAAATGAATTTCATTATTTAAAAAAAATGTAATAAATAATGGTAATTTTTTTATAATATTTTTTAATAAGAAATCAATTACTCTGAATACGATTTTAACTAATTTAATCCTAGAAAGAATTATCATTTTCTTCGCAAGAATTCAATTATTTTCAAAACTTTTAATAAACTTCTTCGCAGAAATTCAATTATTTGCAAAAATTAATAAAATTATTCACAGCAATTCATTTATTTTCCAAAAATAATAAAATCCTTCGAAGGAGTTCAATTATTTTTTTAAAAAAATAAAATTATTCTTCACAGGAATTCAATTATTTTCCAAAATTTATTAAAATTCTTTGCAGATTTTTAAAAATTAATAAAATTCTTCGCAGGAATTCAATTATTTTTAAAATTTATTAAAATTCATAGCAGAAATTCAATTATTTTCAAAAAACAATAAAATTTTTAGCCGAAATTCAATTATTTTTAAAAATTAATAATATATTGACAGGAATTCAATTATTTTTAAAAATTCTTAAAATTCTTCGCAGGAATTCAATTATTTTTAAAATTTGTTAAAATTCATCGCAGAAATTCAATTATTTTCAAAAAACAATAAAATTTGTAGCCGAAATTCAATTATTTTCAAAAATTCTTAAAATTCTTCGCAGGAATTCAATTATTTTTAAAATTTGTTAAAATTCATCGCAAAAATTTAATTATTTTTTTGTTAAAAATAAAATTCTTGACATGAATTTAATTATTTTTTTGTTAAAAATAAAATTCTTGACATGAATTCAATTATTTTCAAAACTTATTGAAATTCTTCGCAGATTTTTAAAAATAAATGAAATTCTTGGCAGGAGTTCAATTATTTTCAAAATTTATGAAAATTCACCGCAGAAATTCCATTATTTTCAAAAAACAATAAAATTTTTCGCAGACATTCAATTATTTTTAAAAATTAATAAAATATTCACAGGAATTCAATTATTTTCAAAAATTCTTAAAATTCTTAGCAGAAATTCAATTATTTAAAAACTTTTCATAAAATTCTTCACAAGAATTAAATTATTTACCTTAAGTAATTGAATTCTTTACAGAAATTGAATTATATTTTCAAAAAATAAATTCCTGCAATAAAATTCTTCGCAATAATTCAATTATTTTCATAAATAATAAAACTCATTGGAGAATTTCAATTATTTTTAGTACAATTTTAATCAAATTCCTCGAAAAATGTAATGATTCTTAAAAAAATTTATTAAAATTCGTCAAAAGAATTCAATTATTTAAAAATTTGTTGATATAATTCTTTATGAGAAACATTAAATTATTCAATAAGTTATTTTATTTTGTATTTAAATTATTGAATTTTTGTAGAATTTCCTAATAAAATTTGATTTAAAAATGAATTTCAGTTAAAATTGTAGATAATAATTGAATATTAAATCGATGTAGTGTGAATTTTTAGGAATAATTGAATTTTGAAAAGGTTTCAAATTAAAATTTTTGAAAAAATCTGAATTTTTCATATGTTTAACTAACAATTTTGTGGAATTTTAATTTTGGAAAAGTTACAAATTATTGCAGAAATTCAATTTTTTTCATAAATAATAAAATTTTTACAGGGATTCAATTATTTTCATAATTATTAAAAATATTTAATGCATTTTTTATAGAAGAATTTTAGTTAAAAACACGAAAAAAAGATTTAATTTTGGAAAAGTTACAAATTATTCGAGAAATTCAATTAATAAAATTCAATTAAATTTTATGAAAATTCGTCGAATGAATTCAATTATTTAAAAATTTGTTGATAAAATTCTTCATGCAAATTGAATTTTAAGAAACATTCAATTATTCAATAAATTACTTATTTTTGTATTTAAATAATTTAATTCTCGTAGAATTTCCTTATAAAAATTGATTTAAAAATTAATTTCTGTTAAAATTTTAGATAATAATTGAATATTAAAAGCAACGTAGCGTGAATTTTTAGAAATAATTGAATTTTGAAATTAATTTTTTTTGAAAAAGTTGAATTGAATTTTTTTAATATTATTTGAAGTTTTTAGTTTCTAATATATATTTAATTGAAGAATTTACGAATAATTGAAATTTCTTAAAATTAAATGTTGTAATGAAATAGATTTGAAAATTGGCAAAGAACTTGTTCGAAAATTTTTTAAAATAATCGATTTAAAGAAGAATTTTAGTTAAAAATTCTTGAAAATAATATTTGAATTGATAATGATTTTATCACTCGGTAATCACTCGTAATTTATACACTTAAGACATATTTTGTCTCATTTTTTATCTCTTCTTTTATCTTTTTTTTTTAAAGGAATCGATCTCGAGAAATTCCAGGAATTCGAAACGGAAGCGCAAAATGTACTTAATGGACACGTGAATATTTATGAGAATTCAGAATCGGAAGTGGAATCGCAAAATGAAAATTCCAAGGACACACCTAAGAGCATTAGCGAAATAAATAATAGTAAATCGGAGAATATGGAAGTTTCGATTGAGGAGGAAAAAACGAATGATAAAATTGATGAGAATGTGAGTTCAAATTCATCGTCGAGACGAGAGAGTATTGATGATTTGTCATTTGCTATTGAGAGCGATTCTAGTCTGACTAATGTTGAAACAAATGAGAAGATTTTAGTTGACAAGAATGAACTCGAGAATGCATTACAGCACACGGTACGAGTTACTAAAGACTTACCAATTGAAGTCTTGTGCGATATTTATGTGCAACTCAGCAGATGCGTTGGAAGGTACGCTCGTGTCTACGACAGAAAATCACTGCCAAAGGTAATTTTATTCTTGAATATCTCAACATTTTTTTTAACCTCGACGACTTTTTTTTGCACATTTACATCAATTTTTACTATTTTTAAAGTAAATTTGAATATAATTTTTATTAAAATTTACTTATTATTAAATTATTATATTATAATATTATATAAAATTATTATATGATATTATAATATTATTATTAAATTTTTATAATTTTTATTAAACGTTACTTTGCAAATAGTAGAAATTGACAGTAATGTGTAAAAATTAGGAACCTAAACTAGGTCTCACTTAAAAAAAAATAATTGTCAAAATACAACTTTATTAATTTAGATCCAATTTTGGTCTCTGAACCTTTATTTGGTTTATTTTATTACCTGAAAAAAAATTTGATTCGAAACCCCTTTGTTCTAATTTGATAACATTTTTTTACAGTACTAAAAAGTGAAATTATTATTTAAAAAATTTAGTTTTAAATATTTTTCAAAATTTGTTTTAAAGTTACACTTGTTTTCACACATTTATGAATTTTGGAAATAACAAAGTTGCCCAGGTTAGAAAAATCAGAGAAGTTAGGGAATTTTATCCAAAGTTATAAAAATTTACATATCAAATTTCCAAAAATGCCTTTTCACGTTAAAAAATTTTTTAAAAAATTATAAATTGTTAAAGTTTGCAATTTTTATTTAAAAAATTGAACTTTTGCGTATAAAATATTGAATTGTCAAATAAATTTCTGAAAATTATTAAAAATAATTAATTTGTCAAACAATTTTAGTAACAAATTCTAGAAATTAAACTTTTAAAAAAATTTTTAATTTTTAGTAACTTTAATCAGGCCTCGGATCCTATTATGACTTTTTCGATTATTTTCTAAAAAATGCGACTTTTTCGACTTTTCTTCTGAATATTGCAATAAGACACTACATTTTTAATATAAAATGCAACTTATTTCGATTTTTATAGTGTAAAAAATTACTACATATATAGACAAATCTTTCAAAAAATTATTTTTGAATATTTTTTTAAATTAAATTTTTAAAATATGCAATTAAAACAGATTTTTAATAATTGAAATTTTGTAAAATTTAATTGAATATAATTGATTGTTTTTCAAGAATTTTATTACAATTTTTGAAAATCAGCATTTGAAGAATTCTAATTGTAAATTTTGAAAATATACAATTATTTTATAAATTATTTATTTTTGTATTTAAATAATTAAATTCTCGTAGTGAAATTCTGATAAGAATTGATTTAAAAAAGAATTTTAGTTGAAACTTTAGAGAATAATTAGAAGTATTTAATTTACAAAATTGATTGTTTAAAAGATTCAATTTGTAATTTCTTAAAAAATTAGGTTTTTGAAAGATTGAAATTAAAATTTTTTGAGGATATACTTCAATTCCCGAAAATAATTTTTAAAAAATCGAAAAGAATAGGAAATTTTGAAAAAATTTTATTAAAATAAATTTTATATTTTAAAGAATTTTATTTTTTCATCTTTAAAAATTATCTATAAATATAATTGAATTTTTAAAAGTACATTATTTCATGAATTTACAAAAATTATTAACTATTTAAGTAATTCAATTCTCATAGTTTAATTCAGATAGAAATTGATTTAAAAAAAATTTCAGTTAAAATTTAAAAAAATAATTGAATATTTAAAGCGTTATAACAGAAATTTTAGAAATGAAGTAAGTTTTAAAAGATTTTTTAATTAAATTTTTTGAAAATTTAAGGGAAGCAAAAGTATAAAAATATAAAAAATTTTTATTTAAAAAAATTATTATTTATCTTGTAGCTTTAGATCTCCTGAATAAAAAATGTAAATGATAAAATGCAAAAAAAATGAACAGATTTTTTGTAAAATAAGATTAAAGTTGAAAATTCGCAGTGAAACATGTGTAGTTACTAAAACATGAATTAAAACAAAATAAGTGAATTACCCAGTTTAAAACACGTTACTCGGGGGTTCTTGAGGTCGCTGATTACGAATCCAATGTTAGTTTTTAAAAATCCAATACGTCGCTTTCAATATGGCGGACAACTTTTTATAAAATATATTGAATTCACATAAAACTCGAATGAAAACCAACGAATGGAAAAACTTTCAATAAATAAGAGGATTCTTATTGGCCAATAATCTTCATTTTTTAAAGATTGAGTCCAAATATTATATGTATTTAAAAAAAATAAATATTCTAATAATAAATAATGCCATTTCTTTCCATGGAATAATGAAAAAAATTGTACTTCCTAAATAGGAGGAGTTTGAATTTTATTTTTTATTGGCCAAAAATCATTATTTCTGTAAAGGGGTTGAAACTTATATTTCAGATTTAAACAAAATAATATTTTAACTCCTCCTATTTACAAAAAGCAATTCTTTGATTCGTAGCCTTATTAAAAAAAAATTGGGAAAATATTTCATTGTTAAAAAATATATCATTTAGTCTCAACCCCTTAAACAGAAAATAAAAACTTTTGGCCAATAAAAATAATATTCGAACTCCTGTCTACAAAAAGCAACTCGTTATTCGTTGCTTTAATAAAAAAAATTGTGAAAATATTTCATTGTTAAAAATTATATCAGTTAGTCTCAACCCCTTAAACAGAAAATAAAAACTTTTGGCCAATAAAAATAATATTCGAACTCCTGTCTACAAAAAGCAACTCGTTATTCGTTGCTTTAATAAAAAAAATGGTGAAAATATTTCATTGTTAAAAATTATATCAGTTAGTCTCAACCCCTTAAACAGAAAATAAAAACTTTTGGCCAATAAAAATAATACACCTGTTTCACTGCGAATTTTCAACTTTACCCTTATTTTACAAAAAATCTGTTCATTTTTTTTGCATTTTATCATTTAATTTTTTTATTCAGGAGATCGAAAGCTACAAGATTACAAAATTGCAAGAAATTTGGCCGAGAGTATTTTTCCCATGTATTTGGTGCGGGGTCCTTTGATTGAAATGCTAATTATAATTAATTGATTTAGAGAAGAATTTTAGTTAAAAATTCTATGAAATAATTGAATTTTTGAAAAGTGGTACCTAATTTTTAGAAATAATTAAATTTCGGATGTTTTGAAATTAAGTAAACTAATAAAACAATGAATAGTGTAATTAAAATAAATATTTCCATGTTCAGGATTTGCTCAAGGAACTACTACGATTCGAGAGCTATAAGGTGGACAAAGAAGTGAGGAGGGACAGTGAGAGCACGGAGGACCCTCTGTAAATTATTTGCCTTTGGAAACCAAGAACGTGGTAACCGATTCGTTTTACGTAGTCTTAGGCCATTAATTAAATGAACGGAGAAAAAAAGAAACGAAAACTCGTTCATAACTCGCAACGACTGCCAATTTTTACCTTAAAAAGAAAAAAAAAATAACTGACATTAATGTCAAATTAACTGTTAATAATCTACAATTCAGTCAGTGTAAATTATTGTTGTAAACTGCGCGAATTGATTGGTCGTGAATTTTTTTTTTTTCTTTATCATTGATTACATTTTTTTTATATTTTATATATATAATCCTGTGGTCGATGTTACGTTTAAAAGAGAAAAGATAAACCAAAACATAAACCACGTGTACAGTATTTTATTCGAGACAGGAAAATGAACAATGAAATTCACGTGAGACAATTTACTGAAACAAGAGACAAAAAGTATGAAACACCTCCCATAAAGTTACCTTAAAAAAAGAGGCAAAAAATTAGAACGTTTTGGCATTTTTATAAAATAGGAAAAAGAAGAATTTTTTTTAGAGAGTATTTAAAAATTTTCTTAAATTGTAAACATGTGCAGATCTAGATTATAAAGAAAGGCAAAGATTCTCTACTTTCGACGAAGAATAAAAAAAAGCGTTAGTTTTACTAAACGTTGAATTTTTTTTTAAATATTAATATTAGTCACGTTTTTTTTTAAAGCGATTGCTATTTGAACATTCCATTAATTCAATCAAATTCAATAAAAAAAACAACTTTCTGTAATGATTGTTTTTTTAGTCAAGAAATTAATTTTTAATTACATAATTATTAAGCACGCTGATTAATTACTTAATTATTTATTACATTAATTGAATTTAGTTATTTATTGAGCCTTGTACTTGATTAATTAACCAGCTAATTATTAATAAATTAATTAGCGCATTATTTGATTAGTATGTTAAAATAATTGGTTTCCTAATTAACTGGTTTACTAATTAATAATTTAATGATTAATTACTTATTAATATCTATTAATACTTATTAATAAAAAAACATTTTAATTAGTTAATTATTATTTTTATGTACTAATTGATTCATTGATTTTTAGTAATTGAATTATATTAAAATTAGCTATGTGTTTAATAAAACGATGAGTAATTTAATTAGTTTGCATGTTTAATTAATTATATAACTAATTAAGTAATTATTTAATAATTATGTGGACAATTAGCTAAATTATTCGATTATCAATTAAAATAATTTTTCCTATTTTAAGACTCGGTAGTTAGCATAATAATATAAAATTAAGATGAGAATAATTGACTTGATAGCGAGAAAAATTAGTGACTAGTTTTTTTTATGTTTCAAAACAATTTTTTTTTTCCAAAATCATCAAATTTATTACTTTCCCTTTTTTTTAATGAGAAAGTATCGAAACAAAATTTTAAGTTGTATATTTAAGTAAAAAATTAATTTCGCCCCTACGCCTGTGCAGTTAATTTATTATTGTTGTTAATATTATTATTATTATTATTATATATTATTATATTATTATTAATTATTATTATTAATATTATTATTATTACTATTATTATTATTATTATTATTATTATTAATATTATTATTATTATTATTATTATTATTATTACTATTTATCGTTTAATTAAATTTCTCCTGTTTTTAAAAATAGTTGTACGATAAATTTAGCTGCAGGGCAGCTTTTTTCGAAAAATGTTTCTGTACTTTTTTTCTATTTGAAAAAATACAGAATAAGCAATCTGCGCATGCGCAATAGACCCCTTGGATTGCGATTAATTTACTTTAAATTTTGATAGTATTGGTTTTTTTTCATTTAATATTGTCATCGAAGGAAATACTTTTGTAATTGAAATATAATATTAGGATTTATTTAAATCACGATATACCTCGATAAAATTAATATTAAGTTTTAGAATTAGAATATTATTACTAAATATTTAGTTACCAAAATGCGATTCGAAATTTTTTTTTGTTCTTTATTTTTCTGTTTTTTTTCGATTTTAAAATTCACTGTGATCTCTTTATTTAAACTAAGAAAACAAATTATTTCATTATTTCGTTGATGAATTTCGAAAAGAAAATGTTGAATTTTGAAAATGTTTTTGTATTTTTTTTCATTAAACATTTTAAATGGACAATTTTTAAATTTAATTTCTCGATTTCAATTTAAATAGTTTATATTTTCTTGTTTCTGATTTAAATAAACGTCACATTTTGTTTCATCGTAATATTAATTTGTCTATGCGGTTTAAAAGTAAAAAGGAATGTTCGATTAATGTATAGAAAAGTAGAATAAAATTTATCTTGTGTTAAAAAGAAAATAAAAGTCGTCTTTTGAAATTCAATGGTAGAAAAATATTGGAAAAATTTTTAATTAATTTATCGCGCATTAATAATTTTGCTCAGGTATGTAATTCTACATAAATAAATAAGAAAATTTTGAAAAATTTATTTTTTAAGATTATCGACTAAGTTGTTAAAAGAACGAATAAATAAGAATTGAGTAAATTGTAAATGAATATATAAATATGTAATTGATTAATTCCGCTCATTGGCCTAGAGAAAAGTAATTGATCAGCAATCAGACTGATTCTTCATCAATGTTCGATTAAATTATTATATTGTGTATATGTTGAGAGAGAGTGAAAAATAACGAGCGAGAGAAAGAAAGTCCTAAAATTCTCATTATTATTGAAATTCCACGAATGCTGCCAATTTAATAACTGTTTTAAAAATAAATATAACACAATTTTTTTTGTGCACTGTAAAATAAATATAGAGGTGCAAAAAAAAAGAACTGAGTAGAATAAATTGTATCTAGTTAAACAAATAAAATGTTTCGATATTGACGAAACAATATACAATTTTTGTGTGTAAAATGCGAGCGATTTTTAAAAACCAAAGAGAGGGAGAGATATCATCGTTTACAAGTAGCTTTTGTATTTTTGCCTAATTTTTCTTCTCCTTTTGTCAACTTACTCTCTGAAAAATGTTAAGCAAATGCGAAAATCAATTTGTCAGGAATAAGTTTTGGATAAAAGGAAATAAATACAAAATGAAAAGTGACATTTTAGGAAAAATAGTAGCTTAAGGTAATTTTAATGGGAGGTTGCGAAAACGATTGAAATCGCTCTTTTAATTTACAAAAAAAAATTATTTGTCAATTTTCTTATTAATTCTTTTTTTAAAAATTATTTTGAAGATCTCGCTTACAAATTTTGATCTCTTCTGACCACTAATATTGTCCTTGGCATTAAGGTGTGATATGAGTTAAGTAAATAAGATAGAGAATTTAGTAAATGGACCAAGTGGCAGAATTTTTAAAGAAGAAATAAAAAGTGAGTTCTTCATTTTTCGACTGTTCTTCAGGGCTTCCCCCCTTTTTTTCACAAAAAGAGCCAATAATTCTCGAATTTTTTTTTCTTTGTGATTGATAAGAACTGATTTTTTGTCTTTTAATTAAACAAATTTTTTATCAATGAATTCCGTAATAATTGTAATATTCACAAAAAAATGTGTATTATATTTGAAAAAAATAATTTTTTTTCATGAGAAAAATGTTGCTTACTTTATTTTTTCATTATTCTAATTTAATTTCCAAAGAAAAAATAATTTGGATTGATTTTCGAGAGAATTCCTTTTTTTTATAAGAGACAAAATTAATTTTTTAAAAGTATTTTCAATATAAGAATTTTGTTTAAGATATTTATATTTTATATTGTTTATACGAAAATTGTTCAATGAAATGAAAAAATTTGAAAATTCTTGCAAAAATATTTAAATCATTTTTCCCATGAAAAATCGTTTTTTTGGTACAATATTTTGAAATGACTAAACAAATCATTACTCGCAAAAAGAAAAAGACTTACGTTTATGGTCCTTTTCTTTTTGCTATAATACATATATATATATATATATATATATATATATATATATATATATATATATATATATATATATATATATATATATATATATATATATATATATATATATATATATATATATATATATATATATATATGATAAAAAAACCATAAAAATATAATTTTTTTCTTTAAATTCTAACTCGAAGTTGTCGAGACTGCTTAAAAATATTTTTCCTCTTGTCCTTTTGTAAGCATAGTAAAAATAATATTTCTTGTTATTTTTTAAATACGATGGATTAATAAAAAGGAAAATAGCAGTCTCAAGTACGTAAGATATTACACGAAAGTTATTATAATACTTATAAGTTTGTAAACGTTATTGACAAGCAGAAAAGAAAGAGCGAGAAAGAAAGAGAAAGAGCATACACTGCCTTATTTATTTTAACATATACGTACATTTAATTATCATAAATTGTAGTTAAATAAACAAAATTTCGTAATTTATTGAAAGTTTTTATTGTGAAATCCTAACTTTTGTTTACAGCTTTTTAGTATCTTTCATAGACCCTACAGTAGGGTGTCCCAAAAAAATAAAAAGTTTTTTTTTATTGGGTCTCATCCCCTAAAATTCTTTCAAATTGTGTAAAAATAAGAACACAATATTTGGAAATAAAAAATTTTAATATTAACCCGTGGTTCAGAGCCTTTGAACCATAAAAACGCTAAAAATGTAGTGTTTTTTCATTTTTAACATAAATATAAATGTCAAAATATAATGAATAGGGTGTCATTGTAAAGATAATTAAATTACCTTTTGATCCATATGTCATAGTATAAGATTCAATGAAAATTAAGAGTGTTACAGTCGATTAAAGATTAAATTTCATGAAAATTTTGATGATTTTTATTTTTTAGACACTCAAGTAACTTGTACTTTTTTACATTAAACAGTAAAAAATATTTAAGTTTTAATTTTTTTATTGAGAGTCTGTAACATTACGAAAATTTTTAGCCCTTGTGGACCTCGATTTGATTGAAAATGACAATTATACACTAGATTTAGTGAACGAAACTATTTTTTTTATTCTTATCATTCCTTCAACATTTGGAGCAAAAATTGAAACAATAAATTTAGATATAACCACTAAACTTACTAAAATCAGTGATAAAAAAATACTGAAGTCGCTGATTTAGAGTCCAATGTCAGTTTTTCAAATTTCAAAATGGCGGAGAACTTCATAAAAGTCGATCGAATTCGTCTCAAAATCGGGTAACGGATTTTGAGACGAATTTAATCGACGATTAAATTACGGATTTTTGTAATGTTACAGACTCTCAATAAAAAAATTAAAATCTAAATATTTTTTACTGTTTAATGTGAAGAAAGTACTAGTTACTTAAGTGTCTAAAAATCATCAAAATTTTCATGAAATTTGATCTTTAATCAACTGTAACACTCTTAATTTTCATTGAATCTTATACTATGACATATGGATCGAAAGGTAATTTAATTATCTTTACAATGATACCCTAATCATTATATTTTTACATTTATATTTATGTTAAAAATGAAAAAACACTAAATTTTTAACGCTTTTATGGTCCAAAGGCTCTGAACCACGGGTTAATATTAAAATTTTTTATTTCCAAATATTGTGTTCTTATTTTTACACAAATTGAAAGATTTTTAGGGGATGAGACCCAATAAAAAAAAACTTTTTATTTTTTTGGGACACCCTACCCTACAGTCCTTAATGTTTACATATTTGAAAGGTCAAGATCATTCTTCAAGAGAGTCACATAAAACTCTTCGAGTGACTCTCTTGGGAGTTCCAGTGTAATTTAATTATTTGAACCTATCAAACTGCATGCAGT